TATTAATATTCTTTTTTTCTCTCTTTGACCCCCTTTCTTACGTCTCATAAGCTTTTTCCTTGCTGGTAGGAGTCGATGCCTGTCTGGTTGTTTCTACAATAATACATACTATGTCGTAGTATTAGCGTAGTGGCGTTTCCAGGGCGGGCTCTCCTCACATCTCGTCAAGACTCTTAGCGATCATCTTTCCCATTTAGTGTCCACTCCCCGAACCCGCCCAGGCCGAACTGGTCGTATGTCTGATGAGCGGATCACAAAACAGCCTTCTTCCCCCTACCCCTCCCCCTCTCCTTACTTAGCTGCTTAGGTCCCTTTAAGCCCTTGAATCGTGTTCCAGTTTTTCCCAACATCGCAAGTGCTTCGTCATCTCAGCTCAGCTCAATATGTACTGCACACTAGCACACTAGATACGCCTTCGTAGGTACCATTAGGATTGGAATTTCCCGGTAGCATCCATCTCACTGGTCGGATATTGCGGGATAGATTATGGGGAACAGCGCAAATGGTTTCGCCGTCTAAGAAGTATTACTTTAGCGTTGTAGCGTCTAGACAGTTCCGCGATGCAAAATACTTCTTCCCTACTACAATACAGTAACTACTCCTACCACTTTAGGTACTACCCAAATACGACGACGCGAGGCTTCCCGAAACCTCTACACTATCAGCTCTTCCTTGTGATAATTAAATCCCGTGTCATCGTGTCATTCAAGAACGTCCACTGGCACCAAGTAGTAAAACCATCATTGCCCCTTTTTGGAGAAATCACCACTACATTAATCCTCTAGATTAATACCTAGCGTTAGATACCGAGATTCGTGCTTCCCTCCCTGCCGACGCAACGAATGACCATTTCGATCAGCGTGCGCCCATTTTGCCTTTTTTTACCTTCATCTTCCTTTCCCTTTTTCCCTTTCCACATCCCCTAAAGTGAAAATGCTTCGCCGCTAGGAGTTATATCCGGTGATACACCCATCCATCCATCCATCCCTCTTCTACATAGTATCTACCTATTTTATTTTATTTTTCGCCCGCTCCCTCATAGTCATACATAGTGTCAATCATCGACGGTGTCGAGTCTTGCCTAGACGGTCAGAGATGCTTGTCGCTTCCCTGCATGCGTTCGAAGTTGGCCTGCATAGTAGGATGGTATCCTGCCGAGCCGACGTGTACTTCGCCGCGTTTTTAGTCTAGCCGTCAGTCAGTCAGCATTTCGTCTCCTTTTTTTTTATCCTTATCCCTTCCCTTTTCCCTTTTTTTAATACCAGAACCACCGGGCAGTACATACCTACATACCCTAATCTAGGCGCCATCGTTTTCACTTTTCTTCAATGACGTTTGCCGCCTCGTCGTCCTTGCAGGTGTGTCAGCTTCCTTGATCCCGGTCCCGCACATCGCAAACTCCCACAATACCACCTGGCCATTCCCTTTGAGACGGAGGCCGCAAATATCAGTTCACCATCTTACGTCCCTTTTAGCGTACCTATTACCTACCTAGTAAATTAGTGTGAGGAAGCTTCTGATTCAAGCAGTTCGAGACCCTTTTCTTCCAATCTTTTTTTATTTCCTTTTTTTTTCTTCCACTTCCTCCTTTCACCGACACCTCGCACTAAACTAACATGCGCGGCACGAGCGATTCTCCACATTGCTGTCCGCTGTCCCCAACATACCATCTTTGATGCCGAATATGGTTGGTGGGTATATTTGTGTCGGAGGCAACGCGAAGGACCCGCGAGAGGAATACCCAGCTTTGGAGGCCAAATACGGGTCGTGAAGATACCGTAACTCTTCTCGCCAGTTGCATACTCGTTCCTATTGGTCTCCTCCAAGAGATATCTTGGTAACTTTCTGTCGCCACAATCCCTCGCACCACCCTAGATGGTCGTAGCCTCACATAACCGGCGTGGGAGACCAACATGCCGAGGCGCGGTCTATTTTCGAGAAGCCATCTTTGGCATCCGATATCCAAGCCCTGCCAGCCAAATTTGATACACTGGCCCACTGACAGGCACGGGATGTGCTGGATATTTCCCGAGCCTGCCGCCACCTAGGGCTCTTACGTCCGATTCCTGGTCCGGAACTGCACCATTTCGTGTCCTAATTAAGGTATCCAGACGCAAGTGCCAGAATCCGAGTAGAAAACGGGCTTGGTCGTTGAGAAGAGGCGCAGATGTCGCGGACTGCTGCGTTAGCCCGGGAAATATACATAGACCTAGGTATGCATGTGCGTGCGCTACGATGCAGATGTCGAACATCGAATTACTCCTAGACCGACCGTTGATGAGTGGCGAAGATGTATCGACCCGTCTGGCAGTTTGTTGTCACTTCACCTGATGCCCGGGTAGTCATCAATGTCATCCACGGCTGATAGAAAACTACTACGGCATTTCTGGCCGATGCGTGTAGGTAGGTAGCCATGCACAGTAGACATGTCATGTCCATAAACAGCGTAAATATCCGACTGATCGGTGTAAGCACCGGCGGTTCTGCCCGCTGACCGGGCCTTTAATACAGGTCTCTGCAATGTGCCATATACTAGTGGCTATGATTATATTACGCAGCTAGAGGGTTGGAGTATAACAAGCCTCTTACGTGTATGATATTATACAAAATAAATGCAATAATGGAATATTACATCAAATATAAGCCTCGATAACTGTCCAATTATGCCATTTACCACCTACCTACCTAAGTTTTTCTACATAATGTGAAACGTCGATGTCGCCAGCCCCATTTAGGAAGTTCTTATCGACGGCAAGCGTTGTCTTGCTTAGGTATATTACTTCATGAAATCAAAGGCGTGTCATAACCACGTGCCACTCGAATATAGCTTCCTGAAACAGCGATCAGTCGTCCGACGAGTGTATACGTAACGGCTTTAACTTAGATCACATATATGTTGCCCTGTAGACAGATTCGGACACAGGCTCATTCCATCCTCCGATGAGTAGGTAGGTATCGGGGATGGCATGCCCAAGCCTCCGGGACTTTGAATTGCCCGTGCCATATCCATATCCATATCCTATTCAACAGAGAAGGATTGAATAGGTGGGTAGATGTAGGAAGACTCTAAGTTCAATATGATAATACAGTGTCTTCGGCTTCTTATCAAAATAGATACTAGGTATAGAGCTTACCTATGATCACACGCCAACCCAGTTGTGCCCCCTTGAAAGGCTACCTACCTAGGTACTCAAAGCAGGAAATAGCACCCAGCGATTCATGTGACTTAAATGATGGCGACGTTCTCTGCCACCAGGGAACTTCCCTAATAGTGTTATAGAGTGTATTCAAGTCTATGAAAATCTATAATGGAAGCTCGAGTCTCACGCAAACTCCTAGTCAACAATGTAGTGATCTAATCAAAACGAGGTCTTTGGATCAATGAAGAAATATCACCAAAACGGTATAGGAGAGCTAATAACCCATAATAGTATGTTATCCCGATCCTAAAACACCTTGCTCATAAGGTGAACTAGGCACATACCTGACAGTACGACAGAAGAAATACGCATTAGGCATTGGTCCTATTCAATATATGATCGCATTTATATAGTTCTGCTTCGTGCTAATCTTATGGATTTCCATGGCCTTGAAGTGTCAACGGCTCGAGGAAGGCGTATTACATACTACCTGCTTCCGTACCTATTTCCTGGAATCAAGTTACATGAAGTCTATACATAAGTCGTAGATCGAGTTGTTCTACCTCGAGCTCTGTCTAGCTAAAGGAAGAACTCAAGAAAATTACCATTCATGACTGCTTCTAGCCACGAGTGTCTCGCAATCCCCCCTTCTTAAAAAGAGAACCGCGTTCTCGTCATTGTCCGTGTCTATAGAGACGTATCGTCTCACCGAGCTTATACCATATCTGTTCAGAATGGTAGTCAGTTTACTTGTAATAGACATAGATTTAGCTAGCTTTGCTACCTTCGCTGATGTGACGACCGGTGTGTTTCTTTTGGGTAGAATCGTAAACTGGTAGGTAGTCTATTTAGCCAGACTCATCTGGCGACCCAAGTAAATTGTGGCAGTGTCCTATCTCTAGTCTCCAGGGCACTCAGTCCTCAAAGGTAGAATAGATCAAATAGATCAAACTTCTTTATTATCTACATAAGGTTCCTCAAAATGTCCTCTTCGTGCGTTATAAGTATACTTCTATACTAGGTACCTATGTATGTCCTCTGGACCTAAGTGTGTACTTACATACCGTAGCGGGAACCCCTGGATCACGGGAATGATTGGATGAAGCTTAGAATGACTTTATTGAATGAATGATTCTAATATAAAGAATGGTTTCTCCTAATTTCTATCGATCTTATGCATGTAATGCTTCTATAAGGTTTAGAATCATTCTCGCGATCTAGGGGTTCCCGCTACGGTACGTACGTGACAGAGATTAGGTATTCTCCTGGCTTCCATTGCTTCAAGTTTTATCTAAGTCATATCGTGACCATGATAAAGCTATTCTAATATCACAACTAGTACATACCTACCTAGGTACAGGCAGCAACAGAGTAGGATGCCAACGTACATCACAAAACAAAGAGGATAAAGGGGTAACGGCACCCCTACTTAGTTGGACCTCAAGCTCACCATGGGACCCATCAATAAAACCACGATCAAAATTCAACAAAGTAAACACAAGACCAAGCCCAATGTCACAACCCATACAAACCTACAAGCACCTTCACCTCACGCATCACACAGACAAAACCCACCCGTCCAAAGACTGACAGGCCGTCAATCGACGCAAGATTATTATATACCATTGATATCAACCCCATTATAGTAAGCCAACCCGGCCTCTCCCACAAAAGGGAAAGCAGCCCTTCTACATGCTGAATTATCGTGCTTCCTTTCTTATCAGTGTGTAGCTGATGGAAAGACCCTACTATCAAAGCCCCCCGGTGTCTTAAGGTTCGCGACGCCCTTGCTTCTATGGCAAAACACACACCAAGCCGTACCAAGATTTCCGGGACTATGTAAAAACCCTTTTCCCCTTTATTGACACAAAATGCTGCACTCCCGTCAGCCTTAGCTACGCCCGTTTTCTCCGAAACCCAAGTTCCACATCACTTCTGAGAGACCCCCCCTGGTGGACAGAAAGCGATGAAGAAAATTTTTAGACCAAATACAAATGTCGTTCCATCGTTATTATTCTGTGGTTCCAAGTGATGCCTTGAAAAAAGGTCCCTTGAAGATATCGGGTATCCAACCGTAGTTGTTACTGCTAGGGTCGCCGAGAGCGTTGCCTCAAAGTCAGCAAATTCCTCACTACGGGCTAGCCCATCCACCGGCTACATCAACCCATTCCGCAAGACATGATCCTTCCTTGCCCTCAACATCCACGATATCAGTATCGCAACGGCAACGGCAACCGACACCGTTCTCCTTCTCGGGATCCCATTGGTCCCAGTATTCATCTTCCTCGATTCGCTTCCTCTCTTCGGGGGTTGTCTTCTCGAGGTAGGGTTCACGTGGAAGTTGGCGAGCTGGAGCGTTTGCCGGGCAATGCTGGATGGTAGTATGTCGGTAACCGAAGTCACGGAAGTAATGGATATCCTTGGGACCTAATAAAATACCAGCGGCAAGAGAATGGATAGGAGCATCACCCCACTAGAATGTGGTTAGCAACGCTGTCTTTATTTTAAAACTTGGGTTCACTTACTCGTTCCATCCAGAAGCCACCACTGCGGTCCATCATCTCAAAGAAAGCCTTGTACTCCGGACTTCGGAACCAGCTGAGCTTCGCGATTTCGAAGTTGGACCAGAAATGACACATGTTGTAACTCTCACCCTCCATAGCTTCCGGATCAATTTCAGGTAGATTCATCCGGCCGGGGTCGGTACGTAGAATTTCCTCAGGTAGAGGAGGCTTGTAGTTGGGATCGTTCTCGGGAGGTGCTGGCTTCTCTGGCTTGGGCTCGACAAACATTTCCCAAAGTCCTTGAGATGTGATGTTGTTAAGACGCTTGTAAGCAGAAGCATAGCGGAAGATGTTGGGAACAGTTTCTCGAAGTTCCTTGACAGCGATGGTAAATCCATAAGTCTTGTTGTACTCGATCATCTTGAGGAATGGGTCACTAGATATCGGGGTTAGCGAATACGGACGACAGCAAGCAACATGGAATGGTTAGACATACTAGGTGATGTCGCAGAAGTACTTGATCTCGGGCTCCAATCGCCAGTACCATTCGTATTTGGCAAGAAGCGGGTGATCGTAGAAGAATCTTAATCCGTGTTAGTAGTATTCGAGATCCATAGTATTCGGTATATATTTACCCAGAGTAGAAGCGGCACATGGCGTGATAGCTCTCAAGACCACCGTACATGACAGCAGCATCTCCTTGTTTAGCAATGCCTTCCTTCGCAATCTTGGGGTCGATCCAATCGGGGTATCCCCACATCTCGGCGCCAACCTTGCCAAACTCGACGGGAGCGGAGGTGTAGTTGCGGATAACGTCTTTGAACGTCTGGTTGAAGTCTCCGTCGTTCAAGAAGACATAAGGGTAATGGTACCATCGGTTAAAGTGTCGTTCGATAGACTTGACCGATTGGATAACACCGTCCAACTCCTTATTTCGAGCAAGGACGACAAACGCGCCATTCACTCTCTTTGTCGTCGTGTCCGGCTCGAGACAGCCGGTAACGAATACCTTATCGTGCTCTTCGCTAATCTTTCTGTTTGAGGATGCGGTAGTTAGTGGATCTGAACTGTATGACGGCAGATATACATGTAACAAGAAAAACGTACCGAATAGCCGGAGGAGCACCGGCCGGCATTAATATTCTGCCCGGAGAACTCGGATGTCTAACAAATAAGACTAGGATAAGGACCACGACGATACATGGGAATAAAACAACCACGCCCAGAGGAACAGATATACTAGAGTTGCCTTTTAATCGTAGAGGTCTTCTGAAGAAGGCGAGTCGCGCCGTTAATCTATTTTGTGGAGGTCTCTTCTCGCCTGTTGTGGGAAGTTGAGTAGGGCCCATAACTGCAGGCACACGCCTGTAGGCGCGCCTAAGCAAATCCATAATGGCGGCTTAGCGACGCCCTTCCAAGCGCCGGTTGGTGAAGTGGAAAGCAACAAGCAATTGGAATAGAACAGAGGTAGGTTCTAAGCTAGTAGTGTTGATAAGTAGGAGATGTTTATGTCGTCTTCGTCGCAATCGTGATTATTCTATTCAACCATGGAAAAAGACCGGGGGTATTTCCACCTTCCGTAATCTATCGGTGTAGGTCCGCCTTGGTGAATTGCGCAAAGTAGCGAACGACACAAGGGATTAAACCCTCTCGAAAGATTCGATAACGGTAATGGCGATGGTAGCAAAGAAGGCTACGCAATGTTAGAAGAGTAGAAGAGTGAATTGTGGGTGTGGATGCGGGTGCGGACAGCTGGATAGGTGGTCAATACGCATACGCGTCAGACTTGTGTCTTGTGTGTCTGGTGGCGTCGCTCAAACCCGTCAACGAGTCGAACTAAATCGGATCAATCTAACAGATCGTAAACGACTGCATTGGGGCCGCCGATTAAGTTGAATGGCAACAAACCACGAACGACGTGCGGGATGTTGCCAAGGGGTGATGAATAAAAAAAAGGGGGTTTGGTAGAAGATGGATTGGGAAGCAGATAATGGATACGAGATCAAAAAAATTGAGATGAGATGAAGGGGTACAGAGTACAGTAAGAGAAAAAAAATAACTTAGGACGGTTACTTTCTAGGTTGCAGGTTGACTGGTTGGTTACTGGATTGCTAGGTACAATACAGTGCCCTTGACAATAACTTTTGACAGGCGATGGCGAAATTATGCTCGGACTCATGCTTAGACCAGGGGCTTATCACCAATCATGTTTCGAATAATAAAAGGAGATGGCGCTGAGACCACTAACATTCACTAAAACTCACTAAAAATACGAGCTAGCAAAGTATGTATCTTGTACTGAGGCTGAGAGATACAAAGGTACATAACAGGTAATGATCTTCAAAATGAGTAAAGTTTTTCCGAACATCTGAGGCTTTGCTGCTCGCTGATGTGGCTTGCTTACATAAACCAAGATTCAACGATATCTAAAAATAGATTCCACCAAATTTCCCCTTCCATGTTCTAGAACACTCACAAATTCACATAATATTGATCAAAAGCTGCTAGTGATGGCCTCATTTTTGATATACCTCATTACCATTAGCTTGGACAACGTGAGCTGGAAGATTGAGGTTATCCCCGTTTCTCACGTTTCTCGGCCTGCGCAAGCCAAGGATGATTGATTTACCGTTTCTTGCGTGTGAATTATCTGGTTTAAGTTTCCTAGCACGAATTGATGCCATTTTTGCAGGACAAGCCTACTCGTCAAGTTGGTGACTTTCTGGATATATGAATATTTGAAGATGGCACTCAAAGACTAGGTAATGATGATAGTACAAACACCTATAACACCATTGCCAAGGTTATCGCAAACAAGCGTATTCGACTCTTAGTCAAAGCTTATACGCTTATTCCACTGGGAATTGATAGTCATCAAGCCTCATGAAGCAGGAAGGGCATTCCTGGATTCACCATACTTCTTCAATCGACATGTCTATCTTTTCGTGGGGAACATATCTCATGCAGGAAGACTTAGCCCTGGATACTCCTATCTTGGTTCTAAGCACGACATATTATGTGGTTCGATGAATATATGAAGCATTATTGGAAAAGCGTCGTCTCGCGATAGACACCTCCAAAATTCTTGATAAGAACAATCTTCGAGAATTACGATATCAGAATATGTTTCCTAGTAAAGGATGCCGTGAGATCCGAAAGTTTTGTTGGCTGGCCGTTTCCCCATATTAACTACCACTCCCCTCTCGATCTATCCGCAACGAGTCTCTAAAAGAGTGCGATTCCTCCTCAAAGGTGGGCGGTGAGGGGAGATGATACATGAAGCATCTTACCGTCAAGGATATATCATCGAGGCTTACGACGCTGCCCTGGCTATCCTATATTACTTAGCCCCCAAGAACACTCTCTATTTACCAATGACGTCTAACTTTCTTTAATTATTCATATTGGCCATTCGTTACACTGGCAAGGTCGTTTCTTCTTAATCTGCCGGCACGAGACGAATGACCGCGGAGACCCGAGGCGAGACTCGTTTTTGGAGTCGCATTTTATCTTTCCGCCTAATTACATCAATAAACCAGTTGCCTCCGCAGACCGAAAACAACAATACCTCATTCTATCATCCACGTAATCCAACTGACCTATAGCTAAAGCAGACATGGTATCATCGTTGCTATGTAAGGAAATCTTGATCGCCATTGCCTAAACTAGGTCGACCTGTCACCGGTCTACCCAATCATGGCTTCCCCTTGAACCAGCATCTCAAGATAACCACGCCTTATTAATTGCTTAAATGTGTTAAGCATCCCGGTTCGTGGACACTCCGCATTCGAGATGGTCTCCAACGGAGCATTGCTTGCATCACTAGGGGGTGGTTGAAGGGGGCAAACTGTAGATCTGTTGGTATATAACACGATACTTCCTCGAGCCCATCCCATCGCGGCTCTTTCCAAGGACTTGGCTCTCTGTCAGGTGACTAAGATTAATTACTTAGTTCTATAATTATCGTAAGTCAGATATCAGCATGCGTTTGTTGACCACTGTTTCGGCGGTAGCTGCCTTGGCAGGCCAAGGTGAGTAGTTCTGCTTCTCGTAGTGTCGGAACACCCATTGATGACAAGGTCACCAGCTCTGTCGCAGGACCCTCCCACATTCCCATTCCCAACCTCCTGCTCTGGTGTCGCTGCGCCAGCATACGCCTTCACCCTCGACTCCGGATGGCAGGTCACCAAGATCGCCAGCGGTCTTCGTCAGCCGCGAACCATAATCTTTGACAACCTCGGCCACATGCTAGTGTTGCAAGCCACCTCCGGCGTTTCCGTGCACACTTTCGGCGCAGACGGATGTGTTAACAGCACGAAGACCCTCATCCAGAGCTCCGGTCTCAACCACGGTCTCACTCTTACGCCCGACGGCAAGACCCTGTATGCTAGCTCCCAGACGACAGTCTGGTCATGGACGTACGACGCGACTGCATTAACGGCCACGGGCCAGAAGACCATAATTACCGGCATGGGTCAGGGCATTCACTCCACGCGAACCACCGTTGTTTCTCCCAAGAACCCAAACCTGATTCTTGTCTCTGTCGGCGCTGCTTCGAACTGGGACAACCCGACCATCGACCCGAAGGTCGGCCGTGCGATCGTCAAGGTCTTCGATGTGAGCCAGGTGCCCGCCAGTGGCTACTCGTACAATAGCCAGGGCACCGTGCTAGGATACGGTCTACGTAACGAAGTTGCGCTCGCATTCGACCCGAACGGTCACGTGTGGGGTGCCGAGAACAGCGGAGACGACTTCAGGAGAACCGTGAACGGCCAGGCGACTGACATTCACATCGACAACCCTGCCGAGGAGCTGAACTACCGTAAGTTGCCCAACAAATCTAACTATACCCTTATTCCCCCCCCCCGAGAGAGAACATCCTTTTGGGAACTGACACCAAATCAAGTCGGCGACCCCGAGAAACCCCTCGAGAACACCTGGTTCGGCTACCCGACCTGCTTCACTGTCTGGGAACCATCCAACTTCCGCGACAACACCGCGCTCAAGACAGGCTCCCAATTCGTCGTAACACCCAACACGACCTTCAACGACGCCTCGTGCGAAGGCAAGGCCAACCCGCCACGTCTCGCGTTCCCCGCGCATATGGCACCCATCACCAACGTGTTCGACCCAGCCGGCGAGAACATGTACGTGACCTTCCACGGCAGCTGGGACCGGCAGCCGGCGCAGGGATACTTCGTAGCCGAGGTACCGTTCCAGAAGGGCGCCGACGGCAACTACGAGCCCGTCGCCCCGCAGGACAGCAAGACTGGGTTCAAGAACATCATCGGCGCCCAGAGCCCGGGCTCCTGCAACTCCCCCTCACTCACCATGAGCACCTGCTGGCGTCTCGCCGGGCTCGCCTGGGACCAGGCCGGCAAGAGGCTCTTCATCAGCTCCGATAACCAGTCCTCCGGCGAGATCTTCGTCTTGCAGAAGAAGGCTTAGATAGATGAGGCTGTGGTAAGTTAGGGGTATCTACCTAGGCCAGTGTTATAGGAGGGGAAGCAGGGGGTCTATATGGAAGAGGGTAATAAAGCGTGTATGAAGTTGAAGGGTTCTCGTAGACTTTCTACCTTCCCTCGTTTGTACATACAAGTTCACGGATATCGCTAAATTCTAGTGAATGAAGAGCTTTGCAATACATGATCTCAATTTTTTTCTGCTGCCATAATTAATTTTCTTTGAGACTCGCACCTCCCCTCTCTTGACGTAGGGAACTTGAAAGGTATTTGATCAAGAAAAAGAAAAATACGAGGTGCTAGGGTTGTGCCGGAGTTTTACGAGGCGAGTTGTGCGACCTGAATACTTAAACGGGTGGCCGTTTGGGTGGCACAATAATCCGAGTTTTAACCGGATTTCAATCTTGTAAGACATCCATGGATCCAAGGGTGGCCGTCGTCCGATAGGCACGAGGCCTTAATCAGGTAGGAGGTGGACAATGTTGTTAGAGAAGCGTTGTTGGCGCTTCTAGATAGAATCTAGAATCTAGATGCTATCCATATCCATATAGTGGGGACAGATCCTGGCCCCAGTTATACCCGCACCAAGCCGCCGTCCGCGGCTCCACCAAAGACATCTTCAAAGTTATTGTAAATAGCTCCTTCCAAGTTGCTTTTACTTTTCATATCAATTAATCTGCGTCCATGCAATTACTTTCTCAGAGACCAAAGACCGCACACATTACCGGTACTTTCAGCCTTGCGCAGACCCAACCCACCCATACAATAGCCCAATGTCGTCCCAACCAAAAATAACCTCCAAGAACCTCTCCTACTCAACCGACCTCCCGCCCTTCCTAGCCAAGCTCCGCGGCCAGCAGGAACGGGATCGGAACTCCGACTCTCCGGACCCCATCCTCGCCGCGCGACGACGGGCAGCGCGCCCACGATCCGCCAGCGAAGAAGCCGAGGACGCGCCTCTCGTCGTCGATGAGGCGGGGAACACCATCACCTTCCCGTCTGCTGCGGACGCGGACGATCATAAGACAATAGACGGGGTTATAGACGGCGGGGATGCGGAGAATACCAAAGAAAACAGGAAGGAGAAGGAGAGGGAGAAGGTAGCTGCCATCGGCGCAAGCAAGAAGCGCAAAGTCGGGCGTGTGGTCGGTGGCGATGAGGAAGAGGAGCCTAACGGCACTACAACCACAACCACAACCCGATCCCGAATTGAGAAAGAGAGCTCGTCAAAGTCGAAGGATAAGAAAGAGAGCAAGAATACCGCCGACTCTAACTCAAAAGACGCGAAGTCCGGCTCGAAGCAGGGCAAGAAGAAAGCGAAGAAGATTAAGCTTAGCTTTGGCGACGACGGTGATTGAACGGGCCGGAGAATGCTAAGGATCGAATTCACTCGACTGTTACGGGGAACATGGGTATTCGCCAACAAGACGAGGCGATACCCAGATGGATGACTGCCTATAGTGGCTGGCAGACTCTGCGCGTCTCGGATCATGGTCCCATTATCCATTTCCCACCTCGTTGGTATGCAGTAATACCCGCTAGCCTATCAGCCCATTTACAGCTAGTCATAATCAAGTGGCTGAGAAAAGCGCGGGGTTCCAACACGACGAGATACCGCATTCCTCGCGAAGGTAGACATGGCGCAAAACCTGTCTAAGACAGAAAAACACTTAAACATGACAAATGGATTCTACGTCATCAACAACCTCGATAGAGATTGCGGGGTTTTCGTGGCTGGTCTTGTGGAAGAGTTGGAAATGAGCTTTACGAGTGTCGCCATACCGATATTCCAGTTCTATACCAGCCAGGTATTGTATAGCTGGCAATGAAAGTGAGGATATCGAAACATAATCACCACAAGTGCTACCACCATATAGAATATCATCGAATCTTATTCCATTCATATATTCGTGTGAATTGTGTAGTATATACAACGTAGATACCTATTAATCGACCTTTTGTCGCGACGGCTCTTAATCCTATTCACCCTCCTCTCCTCTTCGCTCCTCCAACCCTCCCCTCTCCCAAAAAGCAATCGCTGTCGGTGCTAATACCCTAATATTGAAATACCTGAAGTAGGCTTAATATGTTTGTCCAATAAAAAAAACCCCACGTATGAGTTTCTCCCAAGAAAGCCGAGACGCCTAGCAAATGCAACCTGCTCGCCATCTTTTCAGACCACTTCGTAATAGACGATCTCCCCGTTTTCGCTCTCTTCCTTCTCGCTCTCCGAGAATTCCTCGATCCCAGGTAACTAGTAGCGGGACATTCGGTTCCCCGAAGGCGAAGAAGAGTGGTCGTATGGGCTTTGGCCGTAGGATTCGTCCATGTACACAGTCGTGCGGCGGTCCTCTTCGGGTAGGAGTTCCTTCACTTCCCAGTTGTTCATCCGCGTGCCGACGGAAAACTCGAGGTCCTCTTTTGTGATCGAATCCCAATACTATAATTTTATGATTAGAATACACGTAGAAGTCGTGATATATAGGAGCGAATCTCACCTTATAAACCATCATAGTAGAGAGCAGGTTGCAAATAGTCGTAAAGAACAAGCCGTCCACGTAGTGACTTGTGGCCTGGCAAATCGTGGAGCTAAACACATACAAGATGACCTGGCCCACGACGAAGAAGAATATACCAAAAGCGATATCTCCCAACGGCCAACGGTCCTCCAAAGTCCGGACAACGAGCAGAATTTGCAAGGCTATGTAAATAACGAGCTGCACGCCGTTGAGGAGATATAGCACCGTGAATAGCCCAACGGTATTTGCGGGGCCCATTCCAGCCCATGATTTAAATGTAGCTAGCGATACCAGGAACGTGACGACAAAGGCAGCGAACGAACTGACCCGGAGCATCCACACCGACAAGGGAGTACCATCTTCGTAGAGTTGAAAGCCGACAAATCCGTTGATCAGCAAGCAGGTGACCAGCGCAGACGTGAGACCGCCCTGTATGGAGACGAAGTAAGGATACGGATCGGAGCCAGGGGGTACGACACCGGCGTCGACTAAAAGCGAGAAGAACGACAACAGCATGTAGAAGTAGAAGAAAGCTAAGATCTCCTTGCGACCGACGGCGGTAAATTTCCCTCGGATATGCAATATCATCACCACGGTCATGCCCAGGGCGATGATGTGCATGAAGCTCGACGCGCCTTGGAATATGATCGTGTTCGCCAGCTCGATATTTCGCGCAAAGCAGTCGGTCTCGATCCCGACGCCGCTGGAGATGGAGGTGATGGGGCCGACGGATGGACACAGCGGCAGAGGTGCCGTGTGGCAGATGTCGGTGAAGTCGCCGAAGCCGCCCATCTTGTCAGCGACGGGCGACTATGGGAGTTCGGGATGTCGTCGGGTCGTCGGGATGACTACGAGGTAGGCGGACGGGAGGCGGAGATGGGAGCGGAGACACGGGAGGTTATAGCGAATGATATCGACGATATACAAGCAATAGTAGTAGTTATTCGACGGAGGGATACGTCGTGGATGACTGGTCAGAGCTGACCGAGCCCGGGCGGATGATCAAGAGATGGAGAATCGAGATGATCGGATCCTAAAAGAGGAAAACGAAAGTAAAAAGCGAGGTTAAAAAAAGCCAAGGGTGGAATTAGTATTCATTAATTAACGGAAGTATATAATTGTGTATCTGGAACGAATGACTGTTAAAGCGTGCGAATGTAGTGTGCTATTACCCTCCTATGTCATGGCCAGGGTTTTACTTCGTTGCTCGGCCAAACGAGTGGGCTGAAGATGGGCTGGATGGGATTGAAAGTTGGAAGTTGGCTGGAGATGGAGTAATCGGTAGACTGTTGCCATGGAAAATTGAAAAGGGTGAGACAAGACCGACAGGACGGGGCTGACCAGGGACCCGCTAAAATGACCCATTTAAGAACCCACCAGATGAGATTTAGCAGGTATTTTTGGGAGAATGAATGGCTGTGATGGACCGTGCTCGTGTTCTTCGGTGGTTGGGATTGGCTAGATTTCATTAGATCGGTCACGACTTGCCATTCTTAATTGAAGAATAATAGATACTTTAGCCTGATTAGGAGTAGCGCATATCTGGTACGATCGCCAATGTACCTGCGTATCTGTGGTCGAACCTTGAAAAGGCTTGAATGAACCTTATGTTTGGATGTATTTGAATTCTAAATCGATTTTACATGATGCTATTCGCACGCTATTCCTCTATCTTCTTTAAGCAAAGCTTAATGTATCCTATGAACGACAGGATGTCTGAGTTTCTACCAAGCAACCCAGTCACAACAAAGTTACGAAAATGAGACCAGCCATCCATCTATCTGACCCTCCCTACCAACCCACGTACCGTATTATCGGTAATGAATAAGCGCCCACCAGCTCCTTACCTGAACACTTAACAGTGCTCTATTAAAAGCGTATTGGCCTCCTCGTTTGAATATTTGTACAATCACGGAATTCTTGTAGGGTTACGTTGATTTAGCCATGATCGGTGTTCTTTCTCACCTAGAGAACCCGAATATTCGCCTGGCTGGGATATAGGTAGAGGCTGAGACAACTTGTCTCAGACAACCGCCGCCACCCATTAATTTCTCTACCCGTCTGCCCGTACCCGCGGATATGACGACAGATTCGGAGAAATATTATCGACCTTGCACTGATCTTGACCCGACGATTCGAAACGAAACGCCGCCGTTCAGTCGGGACCGGTCGACATATACACCATCGCAAGATCGCTACCTAGTAGTTTTCTGAAAAATCGTCCCAAGGGCCGGGCCAGCGATAGTGTGTTCTTTTTAAAGCCACTGAAGCTTAATATAATATGGCTATGGCATCCGAGATTTCATTTGCCTCTCTTCGTCTAAAGAACTAGAGGATGAACATACCTAGCTTGTACCTAATTTATTAGCCAGAAGCATAGAGGGAGTGGGTAAGATGAAGATGAGAAGTTGAACTTATATATATCTTAGGGGTTTAAGTCTAGTTCATTCAAATTTCTGCCCTATCAACTTTCGATGGCGGGGTCTTGACCTGCCATGGTTACAACGAGTAACGGAGGGTTAGGGCTCGACTCCGGAGAAGGAGCGTGAGAAACGGCTACTACATCCAAGGAAGGCAGCAGACGCGCAAATTACCCAATCCTGATACAGGGAGGTGTAAGTTATCTTATCTTCTTAATTGTTTTTATTTTATTCTTGACTGTGAACATATACTAACTGTCTTCTTCAGAGTGACGATAAATACTGATACAGGGCTCTTTTGGGTCTTGTAATTGGAATGAGTACAATTTAAATCTCTTAACGAGGAACAATTGGAGGGCAAGTCTGGTGCCAGCAGTCATCCATGGATGCATTCAAATCGACAGCCCATGATTGGACACACATTTCGCGGGGTCATGCAGTCTCACTCCAACCACGCATCTTTCATATCGACATTCCCGGGAGATGTTCTAGATGTTCTAGATATTCAGGCCTCGAGTACATCATTCTTCGCCGAGATTGTTTGAACGAGGCTTTGGAAGAGCTGAAGTACCTAGCTCCTGGGTTCCTGGAAAACCTCCGGGATGATGCGAGATAGTATACCGGAATTAGTGAACATATCCGTCAATTCGAATGGAAGCATTACCTTTAATGTATAAGAATATTTCATGGTTCTAGCCCGACCGGCGACCGTTATTCTCACCTATGTAGGTATTCCATCATTGGGTGGTCATATCTCAGAAACGGCCAATTGCCTTTTTGGATGAAGTCGGACAATGTCGATCGCTCAATAGAAGGTTTTAACCTCCAACCCGCTGATATCATGGTGAGGGGTCAATCCCCAGATCACATGGCGGGCACCCCCTTTTATATACAGACAAAGGTCCCTCGAGTCTTACACTATTCCAATACCCAGAACATTCCATCTTAAGGACTATTAGGTTCGAAGACGAAGCTACACTTGAATACCATATCACCAAAAAAAAAAACATCAAGAATATCAAAACAATTTACGAAGACAAATCCCAAGATGTCGAAAGCCTTTCTTCTAGCCAAGGAGAAGTACCAGGCTGTCATCGACGACGCGGGGAGGGGTGACTTCGTGTGTGAGCATTTACGGGATGCCCTGGGTAGAAGCTAACCTATACACGTATGTACTAACCGTGATCAATGATAAAGGCCGAACCAACCGCATTGGCACAACTCGGCATCCTTCGAGCGGAGACTGCCATCCCATCAATAGGGTCGATCATCCTCAACAGCGTCGCCGGAGTAGCACGACTATGAGGGAGAAGATCAGAGATATGATGAACAGGCCGGCTTATTAAGTCGCGTGTATTACATTGTTATACGGATAACTAGCTGCCGTTTGGTCAGGGGCATCGTGAATTATGTGTACTAAATTGCCACAAATAAGAACAAATTTCATGATTTTGAGAACTGGCTCGAGGATTCTCTTTGGCACTAGTAATACTCTAGTTGCCTTTCAATCTTCGTTCAATCACTTATGGGGAATGTTATCCTATATACCTACCTAAACTAGAAGCGCCGAGATATCCATATTCCACCAGCCCATCTTATCCAATTTCGAGATGGCATCTACTTCCCCGCACGTAAGCATCACTTCGGACGATCAACCGGTCAAACTCTGCTGCATCATAAGGTCTAAGCAGGGTAGTCGTCCTTCGAACCATACGTGCCACCGACATACCTAAATCCGCACGACCAAATCATAGATCGCCAATACTAACCTAGACAACAATACCAAACCAAGGTACTGCATCGACCATCACACCCCACCGACCTTCGCTCCCTCAGCATCCCAAGCGATCCTAATAGGCTCATGATTCCCCGAGAACTTCTGGCCCGAAAACCACAACTCGAACCTCAGCTCCGCGGGCGCGACGATAGCCCTGACCTCGAAAGTACAGAGGTAGAATTTCTTGCCCTGGAAGATAAACCGCTTCGACTTGCGCTTCATGATCATGTCGCTGTGGCCTACGCCTGTGAGGTCGCTTTTCACTACGCAGAGTTGTTTCGCGCCTTCTGTGGGGGTGGGTGAGCTTTCGTAGATTCTGATATACATAGGTATATGATGAGTGGAAAGGGGGATGGAAAAGGGACTTACTTTGACTCATACTATGCGGCAACAAGTGAGGCTCGAGATCCGATATCATGACGACAGACTCCCACGTGCGATTCGGGTCCTTCGGGTCGACCTTCTTCGTGTATGTCGTGGTGATAGGGGCGCTTGAGCTTACGGGGTCACCCTAAACACCATCATACCAGCTCAGCACACGTTCACAAATTACAACTAACCAACGACACGAAAATTGAAAACATACCTTCCTAATAATCCAATCGATCTGGCTCATGGCATATTGCTCCCCATCATACGAATCCGTCTTGATCTCCTCGTCGAGGTGTATCGCCGGGTTGTACTTCGTCTTGCACACGATACCGTAGCTCGCTCGCGCTACCCTGCTTATTATGACCGGAGCGAGCCCCGAGTCTAGCTTCTGCAGCCGGTCTAACAGGAGGCCCTTGACTACGACTAGTTGCGGGTCGGGGGCTTGGAGTACCTTGACTTGGGGCGCGTATGGGTGCAGGCTGGTCATCATCTCGTGCTGGATGCGGTCGCGCACGTATTTCGAACTCCCGAGTCCGCCGGATAGGATCATGTAGCTCTGGTTTTGGGTTGGGGTGTCAGTGTTTAGATGTTTGGTTACCTGCGTCAGCGATTATCGCGAAAACTTACTATCGGCCTGTTCACGCCGTTGGCCTGCATCCAGTCGAGCTGTTCGTGGATCTTCTTGGTAATATTTTCGACATGCGGGTCGAAGAGGGATTGCATCTCCTCCCTATTTCACAGATCGTCAGATTCAGTTTTCGTCTTAGATGGTGTTAGTGAGCGTGGTACCATGAGATCACTATCCTTCCATTCTCGATGCGCGCTTGGCTATGACTTAGATTAAACGGAACGCCGTCTAACGTCAGCTTATAACAAGTCGATTGATAAACTCGTTCTCCGAACTTATGCTTCGTCGTCCGATATCTCTCGCTCTTGACGAGTCTCTCGGCACAATCAGGCGGAAGATGTGGCAACAAATCGGGAAATTTACTAAGGCGGCTGTTGATCATCGACGTGAATGCCTGGTCAATCAACGTCGACCCTATCCCGATACCATCAACCTGGTTCATCTGAGATAAAGCCGGAAACGGTTCCCGCGCCTCAATAACCTGCATCAAAGCAAGGTCCGTTGTCCCGCCCCCGGCATCGACGGATAAGAAAATATCGCCTGCCTGGAAAGCTATGGTCGAATTCTTGATCGTCCCAACGGCCGCCGCCTCCGACTCCGTCAACTCGACAGTGGCGGTGTGGTACCGGCCCTCCCGACCAAACCCAGCACTTGCGATACATTCCTTGAACATGTTAATGATCTCCTGGCTTCTCCAGGTAGTCGGCACGCTGAAGATGAACTCGACGACTAACTCCTGCCAGCCGACATGGCTGATGCCCGTGTGCAGCTCAACCGTCGATTTGACATGCGCATAGACCTCGCGCATATAATCCGAGGTCAACTTCTGCGCATCGCGGACGGACGTCGGGGCCTGACCAATAGCCTGGCGGTGCGCGTCCTCCAACGTCTTCCTGTCGAGGAAGATCTTGAAGAACTCCTGCTTCTTCCTCTCTAGAAGGTCCTCGTCCTCGCAGAGGTAGCCCCATGACGACAAGCTGCCATCGTCGTTGTATACGAGACAAGTCTGGACTTTCTGCTCGTTCTTGGTGGAGCTGCCTGGCCAGTTGTGTATGATCTGGATGGGACTTTGCAAGGCCTGGTTGCGTTGCGGTCTAGCCCAAGCGACACCTTGTTATGCACGATGAGCATCGATCTCCTGTCTAGGTAGGTATGGACATGACGAGTTTGGGTATTTTTAGGTAGAACTAACCTGTATAAGTCGTTCCTAGATCGATAGCTACCAGTATGTCGGGTCGTTCGCTCGCCATGATGGGTCAGAAAGCAAAGGGAAGTGCATGATTTGGAAATAAGCTAGCAATCAGATCTCTGTGCCGCCGGTCTGGGTTCCTAGACTAGTGGGCTATAACAGGGTACATATCTTGGTTGTTTTGTTGACTTTTGTTTCACTTCCAAAGAGCGGTCCCACCTGAGAGCCTCATTGATACGACGTGCAGACGGAATTAGAATGTTCCCTTGTCCTATCCAGATCCTGTAACCATGGATCGGTCCTGGTGGATATTGCTGTAGGGCTAGGCAGCTAGGTATGTCCCCGGTTGGTTGAACTTGTTAATATTTTATCCATGGGCAACTTAAACTTCTGAGGATCGCATCCTAGAGGACGTGGGAGTTAATAGGATCACACCTTAGCTTGTGAGAGGTCGGGTTTTGAGCTATCTCAGCTGCTATTCTAGTTTGTCAAACTAGTTCAGAAATGGGGTATAGCTGAATGAGATCTAACTCAATGTTTGTGCTCTAACATAGGTTAGGTTTTCGGGTCTTCCAGTTGTAATACAATACATTGATGTTTCCCGCTGCTTCCATATGCAGCCTAGGAGGGGATGAGGGGACGAATACCTATGGTGGCACCACAGTAGCAAGCAACGAACGATATCAAGGATAAGTCTCACGGTAAAAATGTGTATTATTATGAGTGGTTAAGTTGAGCTTGGTTGCAGCCCCCAGCGTTGAAATTTCACCGCCGGAAGTGAGAGGGGGTGACCTCTGATCATCTCCTTTTTCACTCGTTTCCTCCACAACACGCCTAGTTTCTAACCAATCAGCATCGAAGGAATGTCCGCACCTGGCCTATAAAGGCAATCAGTACTGTTAAAGGCAAGCATTACCCAATACGGCAACGAGCAGGGCGTGACGTGAGAATTGCCGGGTTTGGAAGGCTTAAATATATTTATTTCTAAAGAAATGAAGCATCGTATGGCATCTCCAAAGGACTACCCCAGCTTTTAACTCGAGACCAATCCTAGAGAACAAAGAACCAAACTGGGGTTCGCATCCTGATGTGCTCCTCTATTGAAAATTCGTATAGAAGGATGGTCGAAGGTAAGTACATTAGTAGACGATCGTCCTCTTCTCGGTCGTATTAACCAACAACCAACGTACTACAAGTGTCTGTTAAGCTCTCACTTTCTTTTATTGCGTCGGGGCTGTGAGACCTACCTACCTAGTAACTAACCTGCAGAGATTTTTTTTGTGGCGCTGGCTTGTATTTTACATACAGTAATCAAGTCCTCGATCGACCCAACATAGTAGATCCTTCTCTCCCTTCTACTCGTTTCAAATGGGATTCACATTTTTCAAGACCTTCCGCTCATCAGGATGGCGGCGGCACCGCTCGTCTCTTCGCACACGGCTTCGACGGCGTTCGCGGGGGGGACTTCTTACGAAGCTGTCGACGTATTCACGAGAGCATCAGACCAGACCGCATATGTCTTTGAGACGGAATACTGGAATCCTTTCTCCAGTACCTCTGTTCTAACCACATCATCTTCGTCCAGTACGGGTAGTTCGACGTCAACAGGCGCATCTTCAACATCATCGGCTACAAATGCCACTCAGTCAGTCGGGTCCAGTACAAACTCGGGAATATCGCCAGGGGCTACAGCCGGGATTGCCATAGGATGCGCCGCCGCCGGATTGATCTTAGGAGCCATCGCGGGTTTCTTATTCCGACGTTCAAAATCTGAGGGGTCGAAATCTAGATACAATGTAGCTTCGTACGCTAGCCAGGAGAAGCCATTGCGAAGTCCTTACTCAACTCCTATGGCAATGGACAAATTACAGCTTGAACAATTTCTCTTAGACTCGACACCAGACGCTGCAATTAGTGCGGAGATGGGTTCACTCGGCCAATTAATTCAACAGCACGTCGAAAGTTGTTACCACGTTTTACCGGTTTCGCGTAGCGAAGAGGCGCTCACTACGATATTGATTCATCTCGGGTTGGACCAGAACAGCACAATGTCAGCTGCCAGACTCGCATCCTTGGCAGTCGATCCAAAGACCCGGTTCAGTGCCATTCAACATGTTATCGCCAGAGTTACATTTGCCAGTGTCACATTCAATGGAGTTTCTCACTTTTCTCTGCTACCGCAGCCGATTTCTTCTTTCGCATCGCAAATACCGGCTACGGAAAGCCACAGAGGAAATGTAGAAGGTGAGTCAGATTATTCGGGTGCTAATGTTACGTGTCCTAATACCGGTTTGATAGCTGTAGATACTGCGCTCACTCAATGGCGACAGCTGTCCGCTTTTCTGCTTCACCCTAGTAGAAGTGATCGGACGCCGTTGGCTCCCTCGGAAGATATCTGTACCCACGGAGCGCAGCAGCTTGCTGTGGCCCTTAACACCTTTCTTGAGCCTTTCGTGAGCGGCGATCGCCAAGATAGGTACGAACAAGAAAATCATCTCCGAGAAGTGATAGTCGAGTGTGTGGCTTTTGGCTATCTCTTGTTTTCCCAACCCTGCGAGTATCGGTACCGTTTCGAAGGTGGCGTAAGACCCAACTACATTGTCGTTTTCCCCGGCCTGGATAAAGTCAGCGACGAAGAAGGCCATAGATATCCTTCACCGGTTTCATCTATTGTTTCTCCCTTGACTGAAATGATTTAATTGCATAGCTATTGGACGCATTGGCATTTTCTTTTCATTTTCCTTTTTTTCCTTTCTTCAATGTATATATCAATAAAGGGGCAACGAATAACTGTTTATGGATATCCCACTCGTTGACCTAAAATTTGCTGTACATACCTACCTACTTAGACAATTAGAGACAAATGCTTTATGAATCCTTCAAATTTAATGTGTTCGGGTTTGAACCTGTGAGAAATTGTCGTGTTGGCGCGATGGGCAAAATGGGGAACAGATTCGGCTTCGGAGTCTGCGCCGTAGTGGAGTTATGTGAAACCGTCAGCACTAGGATGCTTAGACGGCAGCGGCTGGAAAGGAGCCCAATAACCTGTAAAAGCGTGTAAAACTCAGCCCTAAGTCTCCTCTTCATCTTATGCCACGCCGCAATCGATAGTCTCCGCCATGGCGTTTGCGGTAGATCATAGCCAGTTGTATGGGGCATACTATTCGTAGGCCATTCTTGACGTGGATCAAGATGTTTATACCCCATCAACTCGACTTGCTGCGAGCGGGCTTCTATTATCCATCTTATGGTACAAGACCATAATTAACATCGAGTGGGCTCGTTGCCTACCAGCTCCCGAGTCCTAGGACCGTTATGTAAAGACGACCGATACTTCATTGCGCATCGTAATTGTAGGATGATTCAAATATAGGTATCTTCGTCGGGCTAATTCCACTAGCTGCTTTATTACCGCTTTCTGTTATAGATCTGTTTGACAATTATTAAGACCTCATCGAGTATTGGGACCTACTGTTATTGGCGTATTGATATAACACTAGAGAACCCTCCTATAATATTCGAAAGACCTCAAAAGTGTGCCAACGCTATATCGAAACTTCGGATACAATCATGTTGAAAAGGATGGGGATTTTCAAACGACGTCGGTCAAACAAACCTCCCATAGCAGAGGCGAACGAACTGGACGAGCAATTCGCAAAAGTTGACGTCTCGAATTCTTCGATAGGTGATAGTAAAGGTGTAGCTTCGGGTACGTGATCGAACTATTTTACCGGACGACACCTCATCATACTGATTAGATGTTTACCTACCTAGGTCGATCCGCTAGTTCTCTCAACAAATCTCCAAGCTCCAGAAGTTCGACAGAAAAAGAAATAGCACATGCATGGGAAGGGTTTGATGGTCCAGCGCAATCTTCTGTCCCGTCTCTCGCGAGCGACCGCAGCTGTGCCGTTAGAACAGCGTCCCCAGTGCCTACGATTCCATTACATTACGAGTTATATGCGTTACCTGAGCCGACGGTCTCGGGCAAATTATCCTCGAAACGTTCATGCGACTCTTTCGACTCTTTCGACGAACCCGAACAAACTTTGGACACATCAACATCGTTTCTACTTGACGCAACACCTCCTCGGGCTCCAAGACAACGCAAGGAGGCAGCGGTCGAGCTAGAAGCTGGGTTAACGGCGTTGTTCGAAAAACCATCTCTTTTTAACTCACATTCAGGGCCATCTCCAAGCGAACCCATTCCCTTAAAAATTCGCTCCGATGATTCGAAATTATTTGGCCCTCCTCTTCAAGGGATATCGACTGCGACTCCAGATATATCGAGCCACCACCTCTTGGTCACCGGCTCCAGTGCACATGAGCTTCCAAGCGATACAGAACTCCAGAGTTCTCAAGTTCACGTACCACCCGTTAAGCCCCTCCTAACATTGACTCCACCCCCAGTCCAATCGAGCACCAAACCCACACGTCCACTCGATAGTGGGACGAGTAGAATAATAGAGGATGAGCCTTCACCAAGCCAGAAGATCGCATTAGCTCAGGTATTCATGTACCAAGCTCGAATGACTGGTCAACCACCCGAGAGAACGAAGAAAGCTTCAGCTATTACTGACGAGAATATTTCGTTCGGATCGAAAACGTCTGGACCGCGACTTTCCTCAGCTGCGAGAGCCGAAGCGAGGCGACCGAGGAGTGCGTCGACATCGTCCATAATAACGAACCCAGATTCATCATTATCGTATGATAAATCAATGGTCCCTCAGCCGCTACATATAAAATTGACGACACCCGAGCTCGACGGTAGCTGTATTAGGAGAAATGTGGTTGACAGCGAGGCATGGAGGAGAAAAAGCAGGATGCTCCAACTGGATTCGTTCGGTAATCATACAAGAATCGTAGCTTGAAATGAGAAGGAATAAAATGAAACAATACGGCGACGCATACAAATCAACTACTAGGTAAATATAATATGGCCATCGTTCAGACAAAGGTAAGTTTTGACTCCATCCATGGATGCGTTCTCGGATCTACAAAACACCCATCTAACAGTGAAAAGGCATTATGCAGGCTGAACAGACTCCGAAACATCGAACAAAGGTCTTTCATGTACACGCTTTCGTCGGAAGATCAAGATCGGATTTGAAGGTTGTCGAGGGGATTCACGACATGGGCTTTTTGCGAAACCATATATGCCATCACGGCAGATTCACTGATATGAATAGTACGACTATCTATATCATATCGAGACCCAATAATTCTAGGGTGGATAGCAGAAGATCCTGAGCTGGAGGTTATTCGTTGGGACTCGACGGGGTAGCATCTGGATAGGTATCATATATCAGATTTGTTAGGCGTCATTGAGGCCTAAAAGATGTTTGTTCAATTAGAAATACCACGCCGAAGCCACAATAAATTGATGATAATAATCGATGACTGGTTCCAATATTATCTGGTGCCTAACGGAATTCGATTATTGATCCCATTGGGTTACATGAAGAACTTCTGGGGAAACTTGATGTCATATATAAGATGTTAGGTATTAGAAGAAGACTTGAAGTGAAGTTTCTGGAGCTGCAACATTTGAAGTTAAACCATGTGTCGGGTACCTGAATACTTTGGTTAGTTCATGTTTTTAGCCCTATGACATAAGTTGGTCAGGGCGTTTTTAGCGTGTTCCAGCATCCAATATTAGTGGATTTAGCGTATAATACCCCTGAACGCCTTTCTTCTCAACTTTTCACGTTCGACGATAATTATCTACTACCTGACTAGTATTTTACCTAGGTCTATATAAGATTTGTTGAGTATCATATAGGGCTTGACTATCCCACTCGATTGCGATGGCATCACAGGATCCAATCTGCCAGGTCAGTCAACCGCTGCTATCTCTATCTGAGACATCCGACCTGATGAGATAACAAGGCAGTGAATTTGTCTGGTGGCCAACCATGCACAGCTGTTGCGACAACGTGGGAGAATCTATTCTGTAGATTCCACGGAAAACAATGCCATGGCTTATACATAGGTTACAAGAGGCGAAATGCCAAGCTGGATGCCCTATCTGAAAACCTCCCGACTTACCTGCGGGAATCCAAAGTCCCATTAGCTAACGAGACATTTGATGTTAACGATGAGAAGACATTAAGAGAAATACATGCCCATCTCTACCAAGAGTATGTGCTACTAGGGAAAGTGATAGATGCGAGAAAGCTCCATCACAAGCATTTTTACTCACTTCAAATGGATTATGGTCATCAAGCCTATCTTGACACTCTATCAAGCCGACGTCATATCGTATTACGCGCCTTAGAAAAGCTCGAGACTCGTACAGCTCAAGTTCTCTATGAGAAAGAGACATGGTACACATGGATTCGCGAGGCTCAAAAGGAAGAGGAAGCAACCCGAGAAAAGGAGTCTAAGAAAGTTAAACTGGAGGCGGCTATGTTCAAGCGACACTGGAAGAAGATGGAAGCTCGCTTGCGAACTCAGCGCGAAAAAGAAGAGAAACAGCGGCAAGATACCTATCTCGAAGCAGCGTACCAGGAACGCATGTCTGCACTAGATAGCGAAGACGACGCGGAGATGTGGGATCCTATCGAAGATATCACGGAGGACGAACGTAGCCGATTTGTGGATCTCATCAAACACTTCTTATGGATGGAAGTTCTTGCCGACATCGACGAGAATGAAGATTCTGCCCGGCAAGCTACCACATCGTCTGAATTGGCTGTCGAGGCGGAGAATCTCCCAATCTTGGAAGATAAGCAACCTAAGAAGGGTAAGAAAAAACCCAAGTCAAAGGCTGCAAAAGCTTCAACTTCACAAAATAAGACCAAGCCGCAGAACGCCACTAAATCCAAGGACCGGCGGACGGGCCAAAGCCGAATTATGGAAATGATCGACGATGACGAGGAGGCGCCTGGGGAACTTCCGGACCCAGATAAGAGCAACATCGAAACCGAAAGCGAAATGCGGAAGCGTCTTAAGGAAGGCGTCGAAAAGAATTATGATGATATCGAAGGGCCAATTATAGTAGGAACATTAGAAGCTCCTCATGGCACGCATTTGAAGACAGCCCCCTTAGCAGATGAGGAGATCGATTCCCTTACGAAGGACATCAAAGAGATCAAATTACTATTGTTCTGCCGACTTCTATTATCTCACGCCTCATTACTCCCAGCCGCTGTGCGGGCTCCGAGCGTAGAGGCATTTCTTAGCGACCCCGAAATAGCCGCGTCTGACTTGCGAGACCTCTGTCTGAAAGTTGAACAACCTAGTCTTCAGGACATACGAGATGCATGCGCCGATCTTATCAGAGGAGACGAGCCTGAAGCCGAGAACGAGGAAGAAGATATACTGGAAGAAGAGTCTTTTGAGGATGTCATACTACAAGAACATCGATATGGCCACCTTCAAGATCCCGAGTGGTTCCTAACTAATATGCTTGCCCAGCGCCAGAAGCTCATCAATAGCGAAGGGGGTCTCGCGAAACTCAAGAAAAATTTCAGCAAGAAACCTCAAAAGCAACGGAAGATGAAAATCCAAGTCTGTGGCAAGAGTATTTGGAATTATTCGAGCGAAAGCTCAATGTCGCGTGACGGTTGGCTTCAATTCTCCGTTATGGCGAAGGACTGCGACCTCAGACACGCCGTTCAGCTCTGTAGAAACTGGGATGAGTTTTCGCGACTCAACTTCCTTACCGTTTGGCAATATTTCCCTGCTTCGAATTGGGTTTCCTGGAGCAGCGATAGGTTTACCCAACAGCTTCATGAACTTGTAGGTCTTTGTTTACAGTATCCCCTTTCATTTCTCTGTCAACTCTAGACTATTATAAGCTATTGAACATAAGACTCTAACTAGAAACTAGGGTTTCTTCCCGTATTTCAAAGATTTCGAGGCCCAGAAACACAGCCATTACCATCAAGTCGGAGGCCGAAGCCAACACCGACGCCAACACAGCTTTTTCGAAGTTAGGAACATCATTGTTGGCCACATGAGACGTAACGACTCGGTAACACGCAGGTTTCTCCAATACTGCACCATGCGGACCGGCGAACTCTTGCTTCTTGTGCGAGATGGTAAGACGGGAAAGATAATTACCGCCCCCGAAGAGGAGCACCTATGGACCATGCGACGTAAAGAGGGTCTTGGCCGTGCTTCTAAAAAAGAGTGGGAGATAATGCTCGAGGTCGGACCTGAGTACTTCGACATGGTAGACATCCTACGAAGGTGGCGCTTAGGTTTTGAAGACTACTACGAGGTCTGGTTATGGGACTTTGTTCCTTGTAACGATGCAGCTCCTCTATATAACGTAATCGCCACGGTAAGATGTTCTCAAACATGAAAGATATGCACAAGCTAATATTACCTAGGAACTTCGTAAAGCATGGCGTGTCACCAAACCCCTAGACATATATGCGCACAGAGAACCTTTCCTTCGTAGCCTTACCAGGAATCAGGATACGATGCGCGTCCGCTCTATCCGGCCCGGAGAAGACGCCCCGAGCTTATGGGACGATGTTACTCATCCTTTAAACACATTCTTTACCGCCGATGTGTTGAATAAAAAGGTCCTCGAAACGAATGGCGACGCACATATGGAGGCTTCGCCATACTTGTTCTACAATGAAGCTGATGCTGCGGAGGACTTAATCCTTTTCTCAGACGAATTAATCTCGCCTAATCGAAACGTCCCTTTCAGGGAAGTTAGCAACTCGATAACTCGCATAGAAACGACTCCTGCTACTATGATCAACGTCCTAGCTGAAGAAGCTAGGGAGATGAGCAAACGTGGTAAGGATGTATCCAAACTTCCCGAGGCAGACGACGACGAAGATTGGAGTACCGAATCTGAATATGTCATGGACGACGAAGAAATGAAGATGACAACACATTGGAGTCTGCCGCAAATATGGGAAGATTCGACCGCAATAGTTAATAATAGGCACATCAGCAGCGAGAAAAAGCAACTACTACGTCGAGTTGGTCTTCTAAGCGAAGGGTCAAATTACATTCGCGGAGGAATTAACAGCTTAAACGGCGTAGAAACCAAATTGAGAACCGCGGATAAAACCATGGTCATGGAAAAGGATCGCGGCGCCGGTGAGTTGACACTGCATCCCTTATTAATAATATTAATCCCTAACGGTAATACCTATAGCCCTAGTAGAGGCCTTCCATGCCGGAGATCTGGAACCAGGTGCCCAGGAGAAATACGCCGAGACCTGCAAGATTCTCCGCGGCATCCTTGGACCTCAGAAGACTTTCGGTTCGACAGACTGGGTTTGGTTCTTGGTTGACATACTCGACTGGCTTGAACTGAGAACCGATTATACGACTTACAGCCACGAAGCTCGAGCAGGATGGCCACACCCGTTCATCACCCAAGATATCGTAAAAGCCTTTATGCAGATGGCCATGTTCTTTCCCACCCTCGAACAGTGTAAACCAGCGAAAGACTTCTTCGAATCGGAAGAGGGAAGTCAATATAAGGACAGCTTACTTTTCAACCTCACCGAACGTGCCAAGGCGATCCCAGATTGCCGCGCAAGGGCCAGTTTCAAGCACCGTCCTAAAAGGTTCTGGAATGAATGGGATGCGTTACTGAAGGACGCCGAAGAAAACGATAAATATTTCGCAGACGTGTATCCCATCAAATGGAGCGTCGCCGTACGACCCATCCTCGCAAAACGTATGTCCGACTTCCCCTTCTCCGGTATCACCCGCTACGTGCATACGTACTAATCTTCGTAGTATACCTCGCCGGCATCATCGCCCCAGCCTACATCCAAAACGACCCCCTCGTAATCCCCGGCTTCGCCGTCGCAGGCGAAGAGTCACACCGCCCGGGTAAGCTAGACCTATTCATGGACTACACCGACCGACAAGGCGCGATCCAATACCCGCAGAACATCCCTGGCTTCGTCAGCCCCTCCGACTGGCCCGTCCTGCTACCCCTCGCCCGCGCCTTCGCATCCCAGCACGGATCAGGCGCTAGATTCGCCATCCTCCGCGTCTGGTCCGCACCACACTTCTACCCGGCTATGCTCGGCGACTGGAACCGGCACGCGACCGCCTTCCTAGACGGCAACGGCCGCTCGTGGATCTGGAAGTTCATCCCGAAGGATATGCCGATTAGCGAGTGGAGCATGTACAACACGCTCAAGCTACGGCTCGAGCTTCTAAACAACCAGCTTAAAGTCGGGGAGCGAGTGGTTCATCGGAACGAGGTGATTTTGGTGATGGGCACTGACGAGGTGGATTTGTTGAAGTACGTCACGGCGGTGACGTTTGCGATTCAGACGAAGCCGTGGCATCGCGAGATCGATCTTTGGAAGAGCTTTGTTAATGTCGATTTGGGGTTTTTGGAGGGGGTGGATGAGTATTGGCTTGATTAAGGAGGGTTTTGGGAAGGGTGGTGAGAGACTTGGATGTGAAATGCGATGGATAGGAAGTTGTATAGTGAGTTTTCGAAATATACTAGGTACATATAAGAAAGATTTCTAAGAAGATGTTTATAAGTGATACCACGAAAGCTTCGCACTTAACCTCTATAGTCACATGTCCCCCTTGCTCCTCATAACCGGCGGTCAAGTGTATGTTATTATGACGGTTCCCAATGCCTAGGAAAAGTCAATATCTCATTACGTGTTCTAAGTCCTGAGGCTTAAGTTCACATACGACCAAATGATATTTCCCAAACTAAATCATAGGTAGATAGTTATCCTTAGACATGCCACACAAAGAAGCTCTACTTCCACCACATCACATTCACCCTCCCACTATCAATCAGTCCATATCCCACCAAGCTACTAAGCTACCAAGCTAGGTACCGAACTACATGAGAGACAGATCCTAAGATCCCGATTGATAAGATTAGATGCAGCCACGCACTCCGAAAGGGAGGCCCTTAAACAGTGGCGTCCGAACGTCTCCGATGTCTCCGAGCCGAGATCCAGGACAAGCTCAGCCCAGCTGCCCACCTCCTATGAGAAGACCTCCTTTCTCCTTCCTTTTCCTGATAAGATGGTTAATCCCTACAAGTGAATCATATCAAATGACGTTTCCTTCCCGGTTCTTAAACCGCTAAGATCTAATTAACAGTTGGATGAACGCGTGTCTAAACCGACTGATCCATGGTCTAGAACCGCGCACATACGCCCAGCTGAATGGAATATAAATCTATGTGCGGGAGCTTATATATATCCAATCTTTTTTCCTTCCCAAAGATGAGCCAAATGATCCTACATCAGCTCATCTTCTCAGTCGTACAGCCACAGCTTTGAGGTATTAAATCCGAGCATCATCCTGACGTACCTACCTATCTAGATACTCACCTCTTTCTCCATCACCATCACCATCACCAATATCACCAACAGCAGACCCCACAATGTCCCTAACAACTCTCCCAACTAAAGCCCTAACCCCCCTCCTAACCCTCTTCAACAACCACCGTACCCTCATAACCGGGTCCGCCGTCTGCGTCGCCGCCGTATTCGGGCTCTCCGTGCTCTCGGACCTAATCGAAGACTACAATGAATGGTACGAGCTAGGTCCAAACGGCATCCCACTGAACTTCTTCGGGTACATAGCGCAGAAGCTGGCCACCCCTCTCGCGCGCACCGATGTCCGCGACCCTATCGGCCCGTACGATTTGGCTAAGATGTCGAAGCTGTACGGGCCGATCGTGTTGACGCCGTTCTTAGACGACATGTACCACGACGTAGGAGAAGATGGAGAAGCGGGACTGCGGCGGCGACCGGGCGAGAGACCTGTGGTTCCCGGTTACGTGGGCCCGCACCGACAGACGACGCAGAAGGCCCCCGCGGCTATACGCGCTAAGCAGGATGCCTTCCTACACGACTTAGCTGCGGCGAATCCGGCGCTCTTCGAGGTAAAGCCGTCGAGTTTGGAGGGCCCGTATTTCAACGCCATATGGATCAAGGACTCGGTGCCCCAGCGCGACGAGATCAAACACCTCCACGGCGAGTTCGCGCACCCACACGGCGAGGGCAGCACGCACTTAGTTCTGAGCTTGGCTGATGCTGCTACGGCTATCGAGGCCTGTTGGGCTGAGCGTCATCGTATGAGCGGGGTTGGCAATCTGATACCCTGGGGTTTCGTGATGATATATGCGCCGCGGGATGATGATGAGTTAGAAGTCTGGAAGATGTTTATTGTTGTGAGTGCTCGGTATGCGCTTGGTGGCGAGACAGAGGTGAAGATGCCCTCGCCGGCTTCGCCGAAGTCTTCTAAGAAGAACTAGTCTTGAGAGGGTTGGTTTGGGGATGTGAAATTTGTAGGAAGGCATCGGAATCCGGAACTGTACAAGAATCTCACCTCAAAAGTGAAAGTCCCTCTGGACTAGAGGATACATACTAGGTACTAGTCATCTATAAATAGTAATATATGATGTATGAATATTTTTGTTTGCTTTATCTTGCTCACTACTCGCTGTAGTCTAGGATAGCAACAAATACCACTAGGTTTACTATAGGTTAGATATAACTGCGCTACCATGCCAGTATACTCGCATTACCTCCTGGGAAGCAATTTAGGGTCCCAAGAGGCTAATTCCTGAATGTGTTCGCGCCATACTTGGATTGGATCCTTAGCCGCGGCGGTCTGAACATCGACACTTGTCGAGTTGACGCCATAGAGGTACGGTTTCTCATCTGCGAAACAAGGTGTTTCCTGTTCTTCGGGCACAGTACCATTCAAGATAAATGCTTTTGCGATAGTATCCGTGCAAGTAGACTTGTCTCTCGACGAATGCCCGTAGCCGTGATGTACGATTAACCTCGCATTCTTACCCATTTCATTAAGAAGCCTTCTTCCGTTACGTAAAGGAGTCGCAGGATCGTACGTCTCCGCAATCAATAGAACTGGGCTTTTAAGCGTGTGGTTTAGGTCCCCTCTATAGACTTCTGCAGGTTGAGGCCAATAGGTATTAAAGTGCCGGCAAGGGAATACGTTGAAGAAACGCGAGTTGCCAGAAATCCAAGCTTGAGTGGTCATATTAGCCCATAAAGATTGCCACCAGACGAGGCCGTCTGGAGGCAAAGGCGCGTCATAGGAATCCGCGCAGACGACCAAAGAACCGAGTTCATCGGTCGAAGGCTTGGGGGAAGGCGGAGATGGAAGCGTAGGATCGTACTCCCATTCGGAATGATCAAGAAATGCCGTCGCTAAAGTTGAGTTTCCTGCTTCTAGCTCGTAGAGCATCTGAGCAAGAGCAGGCCAACTATCCGCATTGTACATTGCACCGTAGATAGCGGAAACTAAGGCAGAGTACGTGATGATCGACGGTCCGCTTGATTCGATATAACCCGCGACGGGTCGTTGGCTGATCGAAACCACCAATTTCTTCATTCGAATTTCCAAGTCCTGCAAGGTAACGGTTTCGGAGTCTCTCGGTTGCGATAGGGCGCAATATTTCGAACCAGCTTTTAGACATTCGCCTAGAAAACCGTCACGCCAGGCGTCGGTCGCATTATCTAACGCAGTCCACCCAAATCCGCCAAGGAGACGGTGATCTCGTACATATTCAGTTCCGTCGAGGATCACGCGGCCCACGCTATCCGGAAACATGTTGGCCCATGTTTGACCAATTCCCGTGCCGTAACTAACGAGGTAGCCCGTCAATTCATCTTCGCCGAGGGCTTTACGGATCTCTTCCATGTCGCGAGCGACGGAGGCCGTGCTGACAAACCGCGCGAGGTCGCCGTGCTTCTCCCAACAAGCGCGGAATGTAGCATTGTTCATAGCATCTGCGAGCTCAAGCTGGGCCTCGGGAGAGCCAGACACTTCGCGGTATTGCCCCGTCAACATGGCCCAGCGGTCCCGGTCGGCATTGTAAGGAAAGCAAGCGATGGAAGGTGAAGTCGTGTTAACGCCACGCGGATCCCAGCCCAATACATCGAACTTGCCATCGCTAAGCCGTTTCGTGATATCCTGTGCAGCTCTCCAGGCATACGAAGTGCCGCTGCCACCCGGCCCGCCTGGCTCGATGACGATCGTGCGCTCGCTCTTGCGTCCCGCGGATGGGTTTACATACGCGTTAAAATGGGCGGTATCGACTTGAGCAAGGCCAGAAACTTGATACTTTGTCACGGCAAGCCGAACAATGCGAGGCTCAGATTCGTTGATGTAGTCCAGGGGAACGTCGAGGTAACCGCACAAATAGATCCCCCGACCAGCATACGGATCATCATCTTGCGTGCTCTGCTCTCCCGTCGCATTCCCCCAATTCCAATGGTCGGGATTCGGATCGAACAGGCTCGCCCAGCTTTTTTCCGGGTCGGAATCGTCGAGGGCGGGTGGCAGGGTCGTGCTCGTGCAAGGAATGAAGCGGAACGGGTCGTCGGGGTGTGGAAATTGGCCATATGGTGATCCGGAGCGCCTATTGCAATGTCGAACAGCACCACTCGTGAGAACGTCGTAATATTGCGCGTGGAATCCCTCGTATGACAGGCCCGGGAGGTAGCTAAATAGAGCAGCCAAACTGACCAAGCCCACGACGATCTGCGTCTTCAGCCATAGTTGTTTATTAGGCTGAGACTGTAGATGTAGAAGCTGATCAGACGGGAGAGAAGATTTCTCCATGATGATCTTGAATGAGTTGTTGCTCGGGCGCAAATCGCGCTTCCAATCAATTCTATTACCAATTCATGAACGGTTTCGCTAACGTGCAATGCAAAAATCAAGATTGAGGTTGTTAGAAGGAGCTTGGAAAATGTAGAGGGAGCTTCCAGGCAGCAAGAGACATGCTTCGGCTAAAGCTTATGCCCTGTAACGTCTGAATTTAGGCGGGGCCAACAAGAGATGCACCTTCTTTCAAATAGCTTCCAGGGTCAAAAGCGACTTCCTTACTCCTTAAAAGCTACATCTTTCATTCGATAATTGATTTTAATTTATATTCACATGTGCTACGTCGGCTTTATCTTGTCAGTCAAACCTCGTTACATTCCATACCAATGAAACCGTGATTGGTGAGGAATAATCGTTAACGATCAATATGGCGTCTTCAAGACAAGCTATGGCGTAACGTCATACAATATATCTACCCTCTTACTTCCCTACCACTCTAAAACGAAGTAACATATCTACTTCTTCAACCCCGTCTACATACGTCTACATCTACCTATAGCCCTAGAGGTATAAACTCACCTCTCCCACCTCCTACATAGGAATCCGTCGAATCTCCTCAACACTCCAATACTGCCTCATATTCTCCGCTCCCAGCGTCTGAACCTCCTGCTCCAGATGTTTCCACAACACCGCTCCCCAGCCCTGCATCTGCTCCTTCAAAACCCCCATATCCAACTCCCTTTCGCCATCCCTACACCCCCTCAAATACTTCCGCATGCCCTCCATCCCAACATGTATCTCCTCATGCTGCCTCAGCAGCTCCGCCGCGCCCTTGCCTCCTTTCCCATCAGTCCGAAACTCCGGCATCCGCCGCGCCAGGATCGGGAAGATATACGTCTCCTCGATGTTATGGTGCATCTCCAGCTGCGAGATAAACGCCAACCCATCGTTAACTACCCCCCGTCCCGCCCGCGACCCTTTTCCTTTTCCCCCGCTCGAGCAAGCAGCCGCCCACAGCGTGTTCCACGACGTCCGGAAGTGTGCGTGGAAGACGTCCATGTGCTCCGCGAGCCGGTTGTACGCCCTGAACTCGGCGCCCTTCAGTGGCGGCAGCTTTTTCTTCTTTTCTTCTGTTTCTTCTTCCTCTTTTGCGATCGTGGTGGGGGAAGTAGTCGGCTCTTTCGAAACGCTGGGCCCTGCTACGGAGCTACTCGCTTCAGAGGGTGAGTCTGCGGTGGTGGACATGGTGGCGGCGTTCGAGTGAATGCGGCGCACCCAATTAAGTCGTAATAGAAGTTTATATATGGGGAGAGTCGTAGAAGTTGGATTGCAGCAACGAAGTAACCCTCGGTCTCCAATCCCCGCCAGAGACAGCCGCGCAGTGGTTGGGGGCGAACAGTTTGTGATATGGCGGAATCCAGCAGTACTGTTCGTAATTATGCGTCGCGGAAGTAGATTCCTCGTCATCATATAGTTGAAAACATTGTTAAAAGACGTATATATACCTACCTATATACAGGTATATATCGTATGCTAACTACATAGTGGCGACCCAAGTATACTAGAATTTTTAATAAGTCAGCGATTAGAAAGCAGAGAAATTCTGGTACTAAACAAGGACTCGTATAAGCCCTCTTTCTTTTTGCTGTGATTGGTTGGTTGACCCCTGGATCGCCATGCTACTGTTATCGATATCTAGTGTGTCTAGGTAGGAAGTTCTCACGCTTGGATTAACCCCGTGCTCGGCGGACGAATGAAGTCGTCCTGGGACCTGGACTTATAGATAGGTATTATGTATGCACGTAATCGACACATGAGTTCTCTTGTATGACAAATTTATACCTGTGTTGTAGAAGTCAATTCTCTAGCTATAGCTATGTAATCAACACGAGCCAACCTCATCACCGGCGACTTGCCAGTCCCATACCGAGGCATTTTCATTAAAAGTCAAACCCAGCCGTATGCAACAGATACAAACGAGAGAAAGTTAAAAGACAAACCCATATCCGGCAGTCGTTTAACCTCGGACCGCACCGCTCAGCACACCTCCAGTAAACTGCGTGCCGCCAGCTTGTCTTTGACCAGTCCCGCCTGTCCTTGCGCCACCCCGGCCCGTCCGTTGCCCACCGCCTCGGCCACCTCTCTGGTTCTGTCCGCCTCTTCTGTCGAATGCATTCGCCGTGCCTTGCGTACGCTGTTCGAGTGTTCGTTCGTTGGTCTCGATAAGTTGTGCCGCCTTGTCAGACAGAGTAAGCGCAAGGCTCTGGAGGCGAGATAGTTCCACGCCCTTTCGGAAGATGACTGTCGACGTAACTTGATCGAGGGCGGCAGCTAGCTCCTCGTGGCTGATCATCTTGCTGACGATGGCAGCCACTTTGCGGTCCTCGAGCTCGAACATAGATGAAAGCGTCGAGATGGCGAGGGTATCGTAGAACGGAGCATATGTGAATAGGTACGTCCGTAAACCTTCCTCTTGAATCTGCTTCGAGAGCATGGTCTTGATTTCTTCCGTGTTCGGCATCAGATCCCAGATCTTGATGCTGTGAACGAAGTTGGTAGCCTTCTTCCATTCGCCGGCAGCCAGAGCACGGGACGCTTGCATCACGTGGTCGCGAGTGTTCTCCGGAGGTCCGGTGAAGATTTGTCTCTCGTGGTATTCCAACATGCGTCGGTAGGTCTTGCTGATAACTCGCTTCTTGATATCGGGCGAGGAACCAGTTTGGGCAAGCAGCGGAATCTCGAGCAACATGCTGCATGTGAGGTAGACGCACTCTAAGAGCTCGAGGTTGATATGCATGTGGAAAGGCAGTTGCCGTTGCTTCTCTAATCGTTCTTGCTCGGGCGACACCTGTGCAAATCGTTGGATCATGACACCCTGGGCCAACAACTCCTTCTGTCGGCCACTACCGCAGATCTCCTGTAGCGTGTTCTGTGCCTCGTACACCAGGCCCTTTCGGAACGCGCATAGTCCAACTTGAACTAGCGTTCGGTTGTAGAGGATCTGTGTCTGAACGTCAAAGCTACCGATAGTCTCCTGCAAATGAGACATGAGCATCATATCTCGAGCCTTGTAATATTCGTCATGCAGGGCCAGGAAGTAAATCTGGCATAGCATCGCGCGGGCACGAATAATACCCTCGCTGTTGACAAATAGGTAGTTACAGAGGACGTTGAGGAGGTTAGTAGCATCGCTGATGCTGCCTCTGGGAGTGATGGTAGATTCGACATCCGCGGGTACCGGCTTCCAAGCGTTCTCCTCGAGGATCTTAACGACTTGAGAAGGCTTGAAGTAGACGTGTTCCAATCTACGCATGACTATGCGGTTAAGGCTATCCTGGGGGGTTTGCAGAGACGTATCCTTGGCAAGGGTTTCGTAGTAAAGGAGGCCTCGGAAGATGACGTTGTACAGAGAGCCCTCATCAGTAAGTCGTTCGATATACTCGGAAGTGTGAGGGTCGATGCTCTGCAGAGATCGGGTGAGTTCATCATCGAGTCGCTCTACATATGATACAATGCTTCCGGGGATCTTAATGTACTTCTCGCCCGGCTGTAGCGTAGGCGGCTTCTCATCATCATCCCATTCCTCGGCATTTTCAATCACGATGTAGTCCCGGTTCGCTTCTAAAACTTCGAACAAGGTAGAGATCTCCTTTTCGGCAGCCTTCCAATGCTCCAGAGGCATGGATGCCGATCCGCCGGACCCGAGATCGAATCGTGCGGAGACTATAGTTAGAAGGACCTTGATTTGTTGGTATGGAGTGGCGGCAACCTCGTGAAGCTTCTCCATGATCTTTATCTGTTCAGTACGATCCGTATTCTTCTTACCACGAGACTCCATGATTCCGCGTAGATGCTTGAAGATGCTCTCAGGGGTAAATAGGAGCGTTCTGCCACCTTTTCCAACGGTCGCAAACCCTTCTTGATCATCGTCGACTTGGTCGATGAGATCCTCTGCCTTGATCTTCTTAGGTTTAGGGGCGGGAGCCTCTTCCTCCTCGTCCGAGGCAAGGAAATCAAGGGGATCATCTCTGTAAGAATCGACCTGGGGTTGGTAATCTTGTTTGAGCTTCTTGATCTTTTGCTTTACGGCATTGAGACCACGGGCACTCGTGGCATTCATCTTCTTGGGGGTAACCTTCTGTTTCGAAATGGCCTCATTCATCGCATCCTCCAACTCTACGATAGCCTTGATGTAGAGCTTCGGTGTCCGGCCGCGCTCGGAGATTTTCGTGGCCTGTCTGTTGAGCTTGTCGAATTCTACATTGCATAATGAGTCAGTACAAGGCACTTACTATTCGCATGTTTCGCGGTGTCAATCAATCAAACTTACCGACGGAGATGGCACCCCAATCACTAATCTTCTGACGCTTCTCGATAGTATCGATTATTGATTCTAATTCGGCCAACTGCTTGTCCTTGGCACTCTTGAGGGTTTTGGGAGCGTCATCCTCGCTCTCTTCACTTTCGGAATCGTCACCACGTAAGAAACGAGCAGCACCAGATTTTTTACCACCCTCCTCATCGCTGCTTGATCCTTCTTCGGACTCATCCTCATCTTCGTCTTCATCTTCTTCAGACTCTTCTTCCTGCTCTCCCTCTTCTTCCTCCTCCTCCTCGGAGTAGAGCTCCTCCTCTTCGGAGCTGCTCTCAGACGAGCTGTCGTCGCCGCTGCGGAAAAATCGAGACATATTGTCGGGCGTTCTCTTGATTATACGAAACGGTCGAGTAGACGATAGATACAATTAAAGAGTAGTGTTTCCCTTATCGCGATGGAGTGGGAAGTGGGAAAAGATGCGCGCCAATCTAGAAAAAGACGACGATGGGAGTTGGAGGGGCAAAATTAAAATAAAAAGGTGCACACACTTTTTTTGGAAAATCAAACGAATTTTTGGTGTGGGGTCAAGGGGTAGGGGGTAGACCGATTGGCAAGGCAGGCGCGACTGGCAGTGGCAGGGCCGGCAGCCAGGTGACAGCTGATCCGTGTTGTGACTCAGATTGAAAACATTTTAGCGCATTTTAGTGTCTTTTAAAGTTCATTAGCAGGTGCCAACAGTCAAACAATAATTTACATAAGCAAGAAAACGTCCTCTGCACGGACCTCCCATCAACAGTGACATTAATTAAAACCTCGCATTTAAGAATATTCGACTATAGAGAAAGTTCCTCTCTTCCGTGGTAATTCTCGAAATTTACCGGTACTTCGTATGTAGGTAAATCCTGGATAGGGTACCCGTTATATCATTACTCAAGCCGAGATTCATATAAAATTCAATATATGATATGAACGATATTACAATTACGAATACCTGAGGCGTTGGAATATCTAGATTACGAGGATTGGTGATTAAACCCCATTAGATTTGATCTTGAGACATATTTAAATGAGAATCCATGTTCAGTTGAAAGATTTATTAATGATGAATAACGGTTCCAGGTATATTCGTGTAAATCCCATGAAATCCATACGCCCATAATGACCATAACTCCATTGCTGCCATCGTGATCTAAAATGACTGATCCAGACGTGAAAAGTCCGTGATAGACACTTCAAGTAACTCGTAATACCATCCTCTATCGGCCAGGAATTAAGAACTCAGAATAGGAGGTCTATCGAGCTACGTCCAGCCAGTCGGGGTGATCTTTTGCCCGCCACGGTTTGATTCCCTTGGGATTCGCATCGCGGCTCTTCTTCGCCTGGTCTAGCACCTTCTTAGTCTCCTCGCTATTGTAAAGAGTGCCGAAGTCCTTGATCTCAGCGTCCGCCGTGACCACCGACTTTAGAAAGGTTTCGTGGACTTCCTCAGCTAATTATTGTCAGATACAGGTGGTCAGTGAGTGGATTGTTTGCGGGGATTAGTCATTCTTACGAGTAGTAGTCCCAGTTGGAATAGCCTCTAGCATTCGTTGAATTGTAGTTCGTAGCTCTCGACACTGTTGGCCCAACAAATGTCAGTTCGAAATCGGTTCAAGGTTGTCAAGTGCCAGAGCTTGGGCCACTACAACACCCATCTAACAGTCTGTTTGCACTGGGACTCCAGCTGAGATATCGCGTACCTTCACGTGTAGGAGGTCTAGCTGTTTAATATTTAACAACAGCTGTTCCTCTCCTAAATTTCCTCCTCCTCCATCCTTCACCTGCCCTTGGGAAGCAAGTTTCGACTGATTCGACTGGCCTAAGTGAGTAGCCATTTTAATTATTGCTTCCCTCCTAATACTTCTAACTTCCTAAATTCTTTTCTTCTTAATTTCCCAAGCTCTATAAGACAGCTTATACTAATGTCATCAAAGGATCTTGGCGGATAATATCTTGATTGCTCATTTGCCTGCTACCTTTCGCACTTCGCATCGATTGGTATCCACGATTATACGCAGAGTTTAAGTCGGATTACTTCTTCGGAATAAGAAAGGAAAATATCACGTCGACATTTAATAAGATGTCTCCGAATGCGATGCCCTCAGATGAGGAGTGGACGCAAATCTTAGTCACTAGAACTAAGCCAAGTCCCGACGTGCAGCCTCTTCAGCCTCAAATGGAGGCCAACATTCAGCAACAGCCACAGGATGCACAAGGTGCACAGGCCATCCAGGGCACCCAGGTGCACGCACTAGGGTCGCCCGTGCAATTCCAGCAACAGCAGCCGCAGCAGGAATTGCCTTATTCCTGCGCTAGCCCGTCTCTGGCTAGCATGGCTCCATTCTCTTTTAACACGCCTCTGCCGATGTTTGCCCAGCCGCAGTATCCTCATGCGGCAGGTGTGGCAGGTGTGGCAGGTGCCCACTATGGCCAGCAATACCCGCAATACCAGCCACATTGCGGGTTTCCATTCATGGACAAAGTAAGTAACGATTTTCCGTTGTTTCCCTTGCTTTCCCTGCCCCATCCACTCCTAATCCAACCCACCAACCAATCTGCCAATTTCTTTTCCTGCGCGTTCCCGATCTTCGTCCCCAATTCAACTCTTCCCACTGTCCTACCGCAGCAATATCTGCGTCAACGCCAACGAACTCACACGGTGACCACCAAGCACGATCGGTAACCCACCCCACCGAGCAACCCGAAGCACTCTTAACACCCGAGAATAGCCTCATTTTTCTCAGTCTTCCGTTTATTTCTCCACATCTTTCTCATATTTCCTCTCTACCTCGACGTTTTCTGGAACAACCGCCAACATTTCTTTCCAGCAGACCCCTCACCACCGCGCGGTCGCCGCGGGCGTCGTCGTCAACGGAAACTCGAGCGCGCTGAACACCCCGCGCACGGGTCCGACGACTACCCCGGCCACCCCGGTGACCATGCCGACCAACGAGATCGCTCCCCCCGGATCTCTCCGCTCGCCTCCCGAGGCTATCTACGCGACCTTCGACGAGCTGATCGGATCAATTCAGCGTCTTGCTAAGGACCAAGGCTACGGGATTGTGAAGCTCCGCGCTAGCAATTACCGCGATCACAAGCCGACGCGTTACGACCTAGTGTGCGATCGAGGCGGCGTGAAGTACAACAGCACTGCGAAGAAGCGTAACCCAAGCACCAGAAAGGTGGATTGCCCCTGGCGCGCTAAGGCTGTCTGTGAGGTTCAGTTGCAAAACCAGTGGCGTTTCCAGGTGCAGTGCGACCATCATAACCACGAACCTCGACTCCAGAGCGGCAATCCCGGGCAAGAGAATACCCCTACCGCGCAGAGCATCCGAAGCTTCACCAACAAGCTGGATCGGATGAATCACGAACTCTTGCAGGCTATGGAGCGTCTCGAGCAGCACATGGACCGCATCGAGAAGAAGGTCGACGGCATGGATGCGCACCTCCACACTGTGGACAATCGCTTGGCCAACCTCGAATCTCGCGGGACCGGCTTGGACGTCCCGATGGATAACATGGAGATGGGCGGTCCCATGATGGATGGACCCCTCGATCGCATGTAATCCTCGCGAACTCGACGAGGATGGGACGGAAACCGATGCCAGGGCTGATGCCAGAGTGATTACTTCAGCCCGACGGGTGACGATCGGTTTCGTGATGGGAGGGGAGAAAGATACAGACGCTTTTTTCTATTAGGTTAGGCATTGGCGTTTATAGGAAAGGGCTTAATTTGCGAATGACCTGCATTGCGATGCGATGTATTGTTTTGGTGGCACTTTTGACTGTGACGGCGAGGAAAAAGTAGTTCCTGGTTTCTACGTTCTGGCTATCCATTCTGGCGTTGGCAAGTGAGCAGTAAATTACTAATTCCTTTAAGGCGGCTCGAGGCTTTCGGTAAATGCGAAATACGGCGAGGGGAAACTTGACTTCATCACATTTACCACAACCACAACCACCCCCCTTTCGCGTCTAGAGGCGTCTGGTATTCAACGGTGTTTTTTTTCTTTCGACTCGACACACTCGGTCCGCATCAGATTTTCAATTTGCATTTTTTGTTTCGGTCGATTTCGTCAGAAGCTATCCGTCTATTTAATATAAAATGAGACGATGGAAGTCAGGGTCAATACTGCTTATTATCAGACGTCGTAGTTCACCTAACCTCGCCGTCTTCGGGAGGTTGTGATACTACCTAGATACCACAACAACGCTTTCTACAAGAGCCATAACAAAATGTATATGTTCTATTCAAGATATCACGTTTCCTGGGTGCGATATGGTGATGTTTGATGTTGGTGAACATGACTTCAGACGTAGTGAAGTTGTTTACTCTACACCATGACGAAGGATGGCTATTAGTACCTACATATGTAAGAGCCTGGAATACTGATATTCCTTGATGTCCGATTGGGTGAGACAGCAAATCTGGTTCCTGAAAGGGAAGGACAGGACAGTGTGTCTACCTACTGTAAGCGCTTACTTATTTTGACGAATATCATGTAGGACCGGGTTCGATCTAAGCTAGGGCTTTTAATTCCTTCACTGTACGGGAACCGGACGTCGATCCCTAGTTACGACACTCTTAGTTGCTGATCCGGGATAGGCCTTTTCTCCGGTTGGAATATATTTCCTCGGATGGTTTTTTTGGCTATAACTACTTTCCATTCCTTCCTATTAAATCCACTGATTACCTGGAGATGTAGGTGGATACGGATGAACCGTTCTCATCCGGCACCCGTGAACCCGAGCTCTCAGCTTCGTGACTAAGATGAGGGTTAGGGTTGCTACCCAACCGTCAAACGCCTTCGTCTAAATTTCCACGAGATTTAAAAACTACCCAATAGACCCAAAAAATTCACGTTCTGGGGTTTAACGCTTTTCATCGATTATGTTGTGTTTTGAAATGACTCAACTTGTGTTCATCGAAGAATCGCTTCCGAAGCCACCAAGTCCACTAATTCTTAATAGTACATTTACTTCGTCGATATTACTGAATGCTAAAAACCCATTTAACCTCATAATATGACGGATCATTTCTATATAAACAAGTCACTCGTTAGCTAAATACCTACCTACCTTGTAGTTAGTTGGTATTTTTTATTACTTGAAGGTTAAGAGCCTACCCGATGAATTACTTAGGTATTATAGACGACAAGAACTTGACAATTGGGAGGTCCAATCTATGTAGGGAGTATAGGTATATACCTAGATAGCTGTTACATGCAGTCAACTCAATGACGCTTGATGGATGACAGGCATTTTAAAGAGGTAGGTATCTTAAGGAAAGACATGTCATTCGGTGTCTACCTACTCACCCGGTAGGTAACAAATGTCAGACATACCCCTATCCCATGCCAGTGTGCATTCGTTCCATATAATAGAAGAAATAGGGAGGATAGGTATGGATTACGTGATGAGATCCTATACCTCAAGCCTATTCAATCACTACAATTGGTGGTGTGTTCTCTTCCGAATGATATTCATACACATGCTATGCGCTCAGGTATGTTCAAAGCTGCAAGCCCATCCTAATCAAGAACAACAGATGTCTATCCCACTATACCTAATCCACACCTCGAAAGACGAGTTACTCTTGATGGAAATAGAGCCGCGTACGCTGAATGCAGCCCTAAGACAATACGCAGGCTCCCATCCGGTTGGTAGCTCTGGCTCCCGTCCCTGGAGATCATAACATAGGTAGGCAATCGCTAGTCTCGACCATTGTTATACTCTGAGACATGAGTATACGAGCGTCGACTAATTCCAACAAATCCCACATCCAATCACGGCCGAATTGCTCAAGTGCGTCTAGTTAGCAAGTGCTCAGATCTCAAGCCCATCAACATCATCAATCTATCACGTATCACCAGACCACCGCAATAAACGCATGTCTCAGCCATCATTCATGCCCTTCCTCTTCGCACACCCACGCCCACATCCACACGCATCTTTTCGCGTATGTAATGGATACACACACACTCACACACACATACCTACATAGTATATCAAATAAATTCTCCGCAACTGCCGACTCACACACGCGCACGGTCTACACCCTCGACCAGGGAACCTCCACGTTTCGACATGTCGTGCTCCGAGACGGCTACTTATCCGGACCAGAGCGCGACGGACGGAAGTGTGGCGCTAAGAGATGCGATCTGATACACCCTACCAACTTTGTGTAGTGTATGTATGTGCTTCGGTCGTCCGTGCCCGAGCCTCGTGGACGATGGCGGGATAATAAAGAACATCATCGTCTTTCTTGGGTAGATATGTAAATGTAATAGGCCTAACTCCACTTTTCGCCATTTGATTCGCATGAACAGGTTTAGTGGCAGTGAGGCGTGCGGTCTAGCTCGTCTCGTCGGAATTCTTATTGTACATAGGTAGGCATGGATGACCTGATCAATAACTAGTTCGAGCTAGACTCTGGGCTTAGTGACGTGCTGCTAGGGCTTGGGGTTACGCTATTCCAAAGATTCTAGCCATCACCGGCCGGAGATTGTCTTGTTGTATTATGTAGGTAGAGATCGTATCAACGGCCCGTTGCTTAAGTGGTTAGCGACCCGTACTGATGAAGTGAGCGGTAGCATCTCCACGTGAAGGCCTGTGGCTATCGCGTCAGTCTGGGGATTGCGGACCGTGGTCACGGAAAACTTATGTATGTATTCACAGAGCAGACTCGGTCGAAGCTAGATTTATCTAGACGTGTACATATGTGCTTAGTGTGTGCATAGGCATTTACATCGTCTGATAGTCGAAGATAGCATGAATTCTTAGTGTGAGCGGTGTGTGATCGTGCTGTGTTTAGATGTTTTTAGATGCTTTCCTGCGTTACATCGTCTATAAAAGATCCATACGCCTAACTTGGTTAATTGCCAGCATTGATATGCCAATCAACGTCACCACTAAAGGGGTCGATCTTTGCGTCTAGAGTCGAAAAGGGTGTAGTGTAGAGGCCTGACAGCTTCGTATCTAGGGTATGGATGTATAGCATTCAATGACGAGACTACTATATATCCATAGATAGTAGAAGACAGGCCTTTTAATTAGTATCGATTAGTGTCGATTAGTGAAGTTCTAGGGAATGTTCTGGTGCTTAAAGCAGCCTTGTGTCAACTTGTGGGATGTCTATTGCCGTTGACGATGGATGTACATACCTAGGTGCCTGCCTGGATACACTAACCATTATCTTGAAGTCGATTGAGTGAATAGAAGTACGGAATACGCACATATGAATAATTAACATCCATCATCTCGCCGTGCCGTCTAACTCTTACAGACTTGGAAATCCGAAAGCAAAAAACCCCGGTTCAATCAACCTGCACCGGGCGTCCCGGACCGGGATACAAGTCTGGATATGAGGCAAGTTTCCTCGGTTCCTTGCCGACGAAGTTGGTTTTCGCTAGCCTATCAAAGCCGTGTCCTGGCTGGACGCTTCATCTCTTGAGTGGGGAGAAAGCGACGTTCGAACCAAGTCCTGACAGGCGAGAGATCGTCGCTGACAACCCTTGAGGTCCCGCTTCAGGGGAATTAATACCCCAGCTTGCCGACGCGTTCTCCTACACGTGTATACGAACCCGGTTAGCACATGGGGTCAATGCGACGAAAATTTTCCGTTGCTTGCAGATGACCGTATCGATGTTATGGAAATTATGGTACGGCGAAGTGCAAACTGGCGGGGGTCACTCCGTCACCGCTGCTGGCAGATGGTTGATATCGTAGTAATATGGATCGTATTATCTTTCTGGAAGTCAAACATAATAATAATGAGTCGACGAACTAGGCTGGACTTCTTTCTGGTTGACGCCATAATACATACCTAATATATTATTCACATAAAATTAAGTTGCAGGTCATTTTGGTAACGTCAACCAAAAGAATCCTCAAGGGTCTTCTTTAAGCCGCGTTCGCTTCTCCATCGAACTTGTCAGCTCATGCCTCTAGGCGCTGTTTCGCCATAGGAACGCCCCTGCGCATACCTGCCAGGTCCCCCGTACGACATATTATATCATAGCGCAAGGTTTATAGGTTGCCGTGACAGGGCTCATATATGTATATGAAAATAGATGCAGGCTTATGTATGTTAACCTCAGGTTCGACCTCTTCAGCTGTCAATTCTGTCCCCTGAGATTCGATGTTTGTGAACGATTGATGGGTCAGGTCATACAACCTCGCCGTCGATTCCACGATCCGATTAAAGCAGCTTCGGTCTTCTGCTCAACCATCCGGCTGTTATGTGGACGTTATGACATTCACCTTCCCCCTCGAGACCCACGACCAGAGGGCTATCGTGATCTGTGGCATCGTGTTCAGTGTGCTCCCGACGATAATCGTTTTCCTGCGCGTCTTGGCTAGGCGTAAGTCGAATCGACCGCTCGACACGAGTGACTACTTGATAATTGCATCGTGTGTAAGTTGGAATAGTGCAGTCCTCGCTAGCGCTTCAGCGAGGAGTCTCTTCTTCGTTCGACGATTACTGACATCCTATCTTAGTTTTTCACCGTAGTCTATCAGGGCGTGGCTATATCATGTTCGTATTTGCCCAGTCGTGCTAGGAGGATTTGCGCTCGATCGTGGTAGCTAACCTTCGATGTTTAGCCGTTCTCGTCGGCGGAGTAGGCTTTCATGTACATGATATAGAAACCAGGTTTGGCGTCGAAGATGGTTCGACGTCGTTCCTTAAGGTATGCAGATGCCATCTATTATCCTATTGACACTCGGGTCAGTTTGCGACCAATGAACTTGGATTACTAACACCTATGGCGATGCATAGCATTTAATCGCCATCCAAGTATTATGGGCACTCAGTCTTAGCCTATGCAGGATCTCCATCATCCACCTATTTTCGAAGATCTTCCTGGTTCAAAGCTTCATCGTCGTCGCTAGGGCTACCTATGTTCTAATCGTCCTATGGTATGTGTCTTGAGGCATAAGAATTTTCGTCCCTTGGGGTCAAGCTCCTTCTTATAGGTCTTGTCGAATCGAATAAGCACTAACGAGTCGGAATAATAGGGCTTTGGCTGCCATATTTAGCGCCTTTCTACTTTGTGAACCTTTCGCGTTCAACTGGGATAGATCGATCGTAGGAGGGACTTGCGGAAATGCCATGATTTCCTGGATCACGACGGGGGTTCTGAATATGGTTTCTGACCTGATTCTCCTCGTTATGCCGATGCCGTACCTGTTAGGGTTGGAATTATCATGGCGGAAACGGCTGCTACTAGCAGCAACCTTCAGCATCGGGATATTGTGAGTCTTGCTGTTCTAAACTTGTGCGTTGTACCTTGCGTGCATTCCTAACATACAATCTATCGACAGAACTTGTGTCGTTAGTATAATACGTATCGACATGATGACTACGATCGACTTCGACGATGTAACTTTTACGATACCACACACAGTTTTATTTAGCGCGCTCGAGCCCTGTATCGCTGTCACGTTATCGTGCATAATTATTTTACGCCCCCTTTTCGGCGGTCGGTATCAGCCGGACGGGCCAACAGCCTACAATAATCCGTCCGTCGACGCACTGGCGAGAAAAAACAGTACCCGACGCTTTAAGCAGCTTAACGATGATTCATCCGAAACACGACTACGTCCTGAAGATGTCACCTATCGAGCATCTATTGCGAAATCGCCGGAGCCGTTTAAGGCGTTCGGTATGGGCGATATTGCTCTCGAAATGGGATCGATTTCGATAAAACACGAATGGACCGTAAAGGAAGAGCTGCGACCGACGAGTTCGACAACCCAAAAAGGAGCAAGCTGAATAAGACAACACGATCATATGTTCTAACCTTGACGCTCAATCAAATAAGAAAAAAAAAATAGAAACATTGCATGACAGTTTAGGTTTATCACTGGAGTGACTCGTGAAGGCTGTGACGAATTTGGAATTCTGATCTTAGCGTTACTAATAGTTTGAAGTCCGATTCTTGAACCGACTACCCCTTTATCTAGGCGAACATCTCTGCAGCAGATGAGGTTATACACCTACGAGATGTTTAAAAATTCGCGAAAAGGTATTTCATGCCTTCCCAGATCTCGATACCGGTAGGCAGGATTTGGTCAGCGGGCAGGGTGAACCCGTTACGGCCGGTATCTCGGAGTTCAATAGCCCATCTTAATTTTGGTTAGCGCATACTCGGACGAAGATTTCGACATAAGGCTCTGAGCCTCAAAACACTTCACTCACCCATATTCGGCTTTGTTGACATCGGTCACGTAATCATTGCTACCACCGGCAGTAGCGTATAGAGTAGCACATGTCGGACCGGCGGTAAATCGTGTGCCATACGGCTTCGCGATGGCGGTAGCGAGACTCCTAGCTAATGAGTTTTGCTTATCCTGGTTTGATGCTGCTGCCGTGCACGAATAGCCGTAAGGTCTATAGGCTTTATGTTAGATGGGTTCACCAAAGCACCGAGCACGATGTTTCATATACATAAAAGGGGCATGTATGAGCATAGTGATCGGATATCTGTGGGGTGTGCTGCATTGAGGAATTCAATCTTGGAACCTACGTCAGGATGTATTGGCCGTAGCTGTGCCAGTCGACGTACAGCTTAATGCCGGTCGTGTTGGTTAATTTATCACCCAGTGCTATAATCAATGAGCCAATGCTACCGAATTAGATATAAGTCTGGTCATACCTCGAATTCCGGTGTTCTCGGGAGTGTCGCCAGCTGCAGCGCCACGGTACCTGAACGAAGTTTGTTAGCATCAAATATTTTGGTCATATCAATCGTGCCGTTTGCCACATAAAGTGAAGTATCCTATTGGTTTTCTGCTGAGTAGGTACTCACGTTTCTGTATCCGGGAATCCCGGTTAGCGAATCTACACGACGCAGCGGGTTGGGCAAAAGGGCAACTTACCTGAACCGGGACTGGTGGAAGATCCTTCGCCATCCCACTTGTATGGCCAGTTCCGGTTGACATCAGTGCCTATGGCAGAGGAACCGGATCGCGTCTGACGGTTTTTACGCCACAGACGGTTGGAAGTTTGTGTGAATAGGAAACCTGGTGGATATTAGTCAAGAGTAAGAATGGAAAACTTTGATCAACGCACCATCGGGATTGACAATGGGAAGGATATAGAAGTCGTAGCTGTCGAGGGCGCTCTTGATTGTTGTATCGTTGCTGTAGTTGTTAACTAGTTGATAAGTCAAGTACTCGACAACCTAGATAAAGTTCGCCGTTAGTTCATATAGCCAACCCGATTCGGACCCATACGGCTGCTCTTTACCTTCGATGAGATCCATTCGCGAGCGTGTACATTGCCGTGCCAAATGATGGCGGGTTTCGAGCCTTTACCACCACTTCCCCAAAGGTGAATACCTTGGATATCGCGGCCTTCGAAGGACTTTCCGGCAGTAATGAGCTCCGAGTTCGACGAAAATGATGATTGTATGTCTTTCAAAAACGTCAAGTGGTCGGCGTAGGCGTGATACGCACTGAACCATGATAAGTTTGGAAGAGCAGCTGCGCTTAGTTGTTGTGCTGAGCAATATTAGAATACATTCACTTAATCACGCGAGATGAGACGATACAACTTACCGGGATATTCGGCAAGATCCCCCTCGAGAGCGATATCAGCACCGAGATCCTCGCTGAGTACTGTCGAGGTGAAGTTCAACTCTTCGAATGCAGAGAGGCTCTCAGGTGGGACGGCGACATCAAAGTGCTCTTCATCGACATGACCATGGTTATGTGTCAGGTCAATGGCTTCGAGTGATTCCAGATGGGATTCGAAAGCAGCGATGTCATCTCCCGGAGTCACACGGAAGATCTTGTAGCCATCGTACACGACTTTACCCCGCCGGTCAAGTTGCAAGGTGACGGCCAAGGGAGCGGTCAGCAAAACGTATTGGAGAAACTTCATGATGGCGACGGTGAGCTAAGACGAGAAATCTTCAAAGGCGCATCGCATCTCATGGAATTCGAGAATTGAGATGCGAGGATACACTTTATGTTGGAATCCATGGTAAGTGACACCGCTCTGATGCAATGGCCTACGGTATGTACCTATGCATGTCCCCGATCGGGCAGGTCGCCCTCGCATTCAGAGGTAGATCTAGAACAATAAGCTTTAGCCTGGGATATGGGATTTGCGGCTTTGACTGTCGGTTGCAGAAGGTCCCAAGAACAAACTGCGGAGGAAAGATAGGGAACCTTGGAAGGCATTGCAAAGCCAAGAATCAGGAACTAGGGGAAACACCCCGAGTCACACTCAGCCATTTTAGCCTGCCGAAGATGCTGGCATATACATAGCTGTATGGGAAGGTCCAGTGGGCAGCCTTAAGTTTACCGAGATAAATTATTGGTCAAGGGCTACCGATCTTGTTTATTAGGCTCGACATGCCGAGACTCGTAGTTTGAATAATAAGAGTCGAAGGAGGAAGGAGGAATGAAGTTCGAAGAGTATCATAAACGCTCCAAATCCCCGCATATCTACGATGTAGCTGCCACCCGTGAGCCCCTGTTCGGCATCGACCCCCTGTAACTTGCTTGCCAGCTTCCTACAGAAGATAGCCTGTCAAGGATGTCGTCAAGCTTAATTGTGTAGTAGTTACCAATTGAAACATCGAAGACATTCGATATTTTATGCAATAGGACGCAAACATCGCGTAATCGTAGAACCATCGAGCAGTGAGTGGTTTGCCTACCTAATATAGGAGTTCGCACCTGTAGCCCTAAATAATACGATATCCACTCCTAGTAGGTACTACACTAAAGTTGTTAAATTCTTTGCAGTGGATGAGGATGATATTCCGTTGTAGATAAGTTTATGGAGCCAACAGCTGTAGCTATTTTCTATTGGCAACCTTGGAATTGTCATATTGGCGATTTCAGCTATTATGATCATGTCCAAGTAGTGGTGATATCCATTATATCAGAATTGATGGCTCCCCGGAGAGGATGAATGACGAATCGTGGGTTTGGCGGGGATTTTCATCATTGCTGTTCTTCGTCTTTCTTCTTGTGCAACAAATGCCTCCCGACTTTGCGGGTTCTGGCTTGAATATTGTGAGTCGGACATGGGAAATGCTGTTGAATGAGGAACGTTGATGATTAGTAGGTAGCTACTAGGTAGGTAGGTAATGAGAGGTAAAATTGTTGGACGATTTACGATGCTTTGATATTGAACTGAATTGAAAGCATTTAAGTTCGGGCGTAATGGCGTTTGACGAAAGTCTCGCAGTTTAACGGAGTTTTGAGCCTTCAGTGCCGGAGATATCGGCATTATTGCGATCGGAAATTGCTGGTTTTTAAGTTTTCCAAGCTTGATAGCGCTCCTGATAGTGATGTCCTGCAGGGGGGATTTCAGCTTGCATCTAGAGCTTCTAAGCGAACCTAGCTTGCTAAATAAAAGAACCAACAGGCAATCGTCTCGAGTGGGCGCCTATGAAAAAATAGCTAGATCGATCTCAAATCCTGGCGACAATCCATTCTTGCGACGAACATTGTTTCATCACATCTACCTAACTTTTAGATAACCATACTTGACAGACGTCTCCTTTCAATATTCTTCCCCCTTCTGCAACCATGCAATTCATTAACGCTAAATATGCGCGAAGCTGCCGCCGAATCTTCATTCGAGCTCGCGAAGCGAAGTGAACCGCGGAGGCATCGCAGGCCCCGAAGGAGCCGCCGTGAAACTTGTCGAAACTCTTCATTTTAGAAAGGAGTCGACAAACTCCTTGATAGCATCGTCTTTTCACGATGCAGGAGGTAAGTTCGCGTGGAAATAGTAATCCTACTTTGCGGCGTAGCAAATACACATCTAGTATAATAGCTATGTCGTTCCCGGTGAAGTCACTCGATGCTATCACGCTCTCTTATTGTGGTAACGTTGTTGAGTTCTGTACAGAATCACTCTCCTTATTTTTCTTCTTTCTCTTCAATTCTCAAACCTGCCGCGCAGGTCTTTTCATTCGTTCTCTTCACTGGCTTTGGAAGCCATTTTGATTTAATCTTGTGATAATTGGTCAATTTGCAAATAGTGTCACAGTCTTTGGACATCATGCATTCTTCAATCCTTACGCTCCTTAGCCTTCAGTCGTTGGTGGCTGCATCACCTATTGCACCTCTGTCATTATCGCGGAGAACTGTAACAGAACTCAACCAGGCAGCCTTCGATGAAGCCCAACAACCAGATAACACGGCAACCAAGGCCATCTCTGGGACACAAATAAAGGTATTTACTTATCTGTTAACTACCTAGTTGAAGAATACATGGTGCTGATTAGGGATACCACAGACCTCCGATGGGCGATGCCTTTTCGTCGACGAGCTATCAGGAGACTTTCGAGCAAACCTCACCCCGATCCAAGTAGCCGAGTGCGATAGCACAGACGGCCAAGGATGGGATGTCATCACCGCCGGGAAGCACAACAATGTTCAGGGCTCGGCACTCATCGTCAGCACTCTGGTTAGTACTAGGTGTTCATCGTCTCTCTTAAATCACATGTCCTAATGAGATTTCTAGACAAACGCTTGCTTTAACTTTGATCCGCGACGGGCAAGTGGGAATCAAGTCATCCTATTTAGCTGCGGCGGCCGCGCAGACGGTGGCGGCGAAGTCACCGATTCTCAGCTATTTCCTTTCACTAGTAGTGCTGGAGCGATCACATTTACCCCTGAGAACGATTTGCAATCATGCTTCACCGTCAAGGGGAATGTCGTCGATGTTGCACCTTGCGCCGCTGGCAATGCTAACCAGCAGTTCACATTTGGCGATGCAGCAGCTTCAGCTGGCGGCAGTCAAACCACCACCCAGGTTTCGGGGACACTCATTGCTACGGCGACTTCGCAAAGCTTAAGTAAAGCGTCGACAACGTCCGCCTCGCAAACTGCTTCTTCGCCAGCAGTAACGACTAATGTGGCAGTCGGAGGAATCCCCAACCCCACGGAGTCTGTCCCCGTATCTCGCGCTGGTGGCATACTTCAACCCACAGCAGTAGCCGAAGCTCAGGCAAGAGACAACACCGCGACGCGCGCTTTCACCTCCGTTAGTATAAAGGCGCCTAATGGGCAGTGTCTGTTCATCGACCCGACTGCGGGAGATTTCCGCGAAAACTTAATTCCCGTCTCCTTGGTGGATTGTGCCGGGACGCCGAATGAGAAGTTTGATGTCATCACCGCTGGGAAACATAATAATGCTCAGGGCTCGGCATTGATCGTGAGCAGTCTTGTAAGTCATATCTTGAAATCACGTATCAGCACTGGTTTATTCTAACATTAAATCAGACAAATGGCTGTATGAGTTTCGACGGACGTCGTCCAGCAGGCGATACAGTGACTTTATTCTCCTGTGGAGGACGAGCGGATGGAGGTTTGTTACTATGTTTCCCTCAAGATACTGTAGACTCGAATGCTAACATATAAACCAGGGGGTGACACGAACAACGGCCAATTAGTTCCATTTACTGGTGGGATTAGTCTAGTCTTTGCACCAGAGAGTGAGCGTAACGCGACTTGCATCGTAGCTGGAAATGGCCGGCTCGACTCTGCTCCATGTGCCAACGATGGCTCGCAAGCTTTCACCATCCTAGCATAAGAGACTTGTAACACATGGTAACTGGGGAGGGGCGACATCTACCGAAGTTGATATTGTCCAAGATCGAGGGGACTACTATTCTCTGTAAAAAATACTAAATTCATCACATAGTTACACCTTTAGAAGGCATATTATATTCATCAGCTAACTCAATTACATTTATGTTCAAAGTTATATGCTGCCATTACACTTCTCCCATCAAGAACACCCCCTCACGACTTATGCGTGGTATCAAACTGACTTTCCTTAACTAACCACTTCTCCATCGTCAACATCTCAGGATGTTCCTTACGTCTAGCCGCAACATCCGCCTTATACCCATCACTCGCAAACCACCCGATCATCAACGCCAACTCCTTAGCTAAATACGTCAACACACTCCCAAAAAACCAATACGTAACCGGAACCGGCTCCCCCGTCGCATTAGCAAACGCCTCATTCATCGCCTGCCACGACAACTCATCACCCGCCAACCCAACTGCCCTCCGATTCCACGTCTCCGGCTCCGTAAACGCCTTCATAGCAAAAACACCAATATCCGACGGCGCAACCCACTGCAGCGGCTTATCCCCCAAATGATTCCTCAGCGCCGCCATGAACACCTTCGTCGGGAACCCAGGCGTCAAATTACCCATAAAAGCAACCGGTCTCAAAACCGTCCACCCCATCCCCTCGCCTTCGTTCCCCGGGCCAGTGACATCCCTTAGGTGTCGCTCGATATGGTACTTGGACTGAAAATGCGGGATCGGCGTCGGATTATCCCAAGACTTCTCATCGCCGCCACGCTCAACACTCCCATACACAAAGTGTCTCACCCCTTCCTTCACTGACTCATCGATCAGAGCTTTTCCCTGCGCGATTTCCCCCGCGAGAGTCACCCCCGTTCCGATGGAGATCTGCACGGAGTACACGCCCCAGACGGGCTCCGGGTGCGTCTTCCGCGCCGAGCGGAACAAGGCCCCGACGTCGTCTAGGTTCCCCTGCACAAGCTTGATCGAGGGCGATTTCTGCGCGAGGCGCTGCGCGCTGGGGCTGTTGGCGTCGCGGGTTACGGCGAGGATGGTGAAGGCGTTGGGGGCGTGGGTGAGGAGCGCTTGGATTACGGCGCCGCCTTGGTGGCCCGTAGCGCCTGTGATGAGGAGGGCTTTGGGTGGCATGGTGTTGGGGTTTTGGATGTGTACTCGTTGAGAATAGGTACTTAGGTAGTAGGTACAGGTAAGCTAGCAACGTCGTGGTGATGGTGGTGGTGGGAGTAGCGGCGGCTAGATCAGGAACATGTTGGGATTTGGGCTGGGGGATATTAAGTCCGCCCCGTTTTATCAAGGGATACTCGTGTCCGCATACGTAAACGACTTATCAGAGTTTACCTCTATCTAGTCAGTACCTACCTATCTACCTTGAGAAGGAGGCTGGGAGGTCGGTTCGATCATCCCCTGCCCCCTTTCGGCAAACTCAAGCCAGGGAGAAGGGGAGAGATAGGATGCCGTGTCGAACATTTAGGTCCTTAGCTTAACCTTCGTGCAGGCAGGTCGCCTCGTAACACAGCGTTGGGCCCGTATTTGGGGACCCGCCGGCGATTTCCTTTTTCTCTCATTTTTTTTTCTTTTTGGTAATGGGTTTATTAGATCCTTCCCGTCCGATGTATGTATGTCTCACTTACATACCCTGCGCAGGTCTCACTCGCTCGCTCAAATCATCTCCGTCGACGACGATCGATCGCCTGCACCACAGGCCGCGAAAAAAAGCAATCTCTGCGCCTCGATTCGAGGCTTACATACATACGATTCGATCTACATACCCACGCTCGCTACATATGTACCATACCCAGACCGCGGTCGTCGCAATGGACGAGGCCCGCGCCCGCCGCCTGGCGACGGTGCACGCGCTGTTAGACGGGTACGGGAGCCTCTCAGTGCCGACGCTGCTACGCCCTATGGCACCGGACTTCACGCACCAAGTATTACCGACGAGTCTAGGGATGAGGGCGCGGAACAGGGAGGCGTTTGCGCAGCACGCGGCTGGGATCTTCAGCGTCTTCGAGGAATTTAGGATGGTACCGAAATCGATCGTCCTAGACGACGGGCCGGCCAACACGGCCGTCGTGCACGCGCGTATGCAAGGGATACTGAAGAGTGGCGCCGGCGAGTGGATTAATGAGTGCGTTATGATTATCCGCCTCTCCCACGACGGCGATCAGGTCCGGGATATCATGGAGTTTGTTGATAGCGCGAAGGCGCTTGAGATGGCCCGGAAACACGCCCCGGACGATTTTGGGTGCTGTGCTTTGGAGCCTATCGACCGCCGGAAGGGGATGAGTGGGATGAGTAAGGGGGAGGCGGGTGAAGATGAGACGACGACGACGAAGTCGATGACGTTATTGTTTGGACTAGGGCTCGCCCAGGTTATTGTGGTAATAATTCTGTTGTATTTGGCTCAAGGTTGGGTCTTTTGAACTTTGGGTTGGTGCATTGGGGGGAGTCCGAGACATTTTGGGATTAGGTACCGGTATAACTAGAAGGGTGCCCCTTTTCCAGGGCTATGGCTTTTCACTTAAGCTCTGCTCAGATACCTAAATTTGTTGAATTAACTGACACATCGGAGTTCAATTTCTTGGTTGATTCACTTCACTACCTCCCTCCACCGTGCTCCTAAAAATCATATACGGCTTGATCGACGTGCACTTGTTTAATTAGGATAAGTACCCTAATCTACATAAGTACATAGGTAGAGTAGGTACAAGGTATGTATAGGGCCGTGAAACAAAAACATCTAATAACTCCCAACTCCCCTTCCAACTCAAAGTAAACCTCCGGACGGATACCGTTGCATGTAGCATGCAAATACGATATCAAGGAGGGGTACGATTGGTATAATGGGAGGTGTACATAGTAGCGATGTCGAAGAATAATAATGGATATCTTTTCTGTCCTGGCACTCGATGTGCCGAATGTGTGTGCAGGATCTGATTGTAACTGTTTAAGGGTAGGAGTTCGGTAGGTAGGTAGGCACCTTACATAACAAGTAATCCTACCAACCTAAATATCCTTGAGGCTGAAAAGCGCACGTCTTTACGCACTCTCTATTTAGTGATTCTTTAATAGCTGGAATAGCGCAAGCGAGCCAGCGACGATGGGAGTGATGAGGCGGACAGTGTTAAATTTGATCCACGTGCGAACATAAGTCTCGGCTTCCTTGGGATCGGATTTCCCACTCTTAGGTTCGCGCAAGGCATCGATCTTCGCGTTGATCGGCTGCAAGTTTGCTGCAGAATGTACGACCGTGATAAGATGACATAGTGCCGACACTGCATATAGCCTCCAGTCTCCGAGTTTGCCATCCGCTCCTTGGGTCGATGCTACCCACGAGGCGTAACCGTAGCCAAAGATACCGAACGTGCTGATAGGTCTGAAGAAATTGTTACCCACGACCCAAAATACCGGCCACTGTCGACCAAGCAATCGAGTGCGAGCGGCATGATCCGGTGACGTCGGAGACGGGAAGTCGACTAGCAACGCAGGTCCACCCATGAACGACTGCGTAACTGCATTGCCTATACACACATCACAACGGTTAGCAGCAGCGCTTGTCTAGTCCGGTCTGTCTAGTGATATAAACTACTAAGTAGTTAATAAATAGTCGCGGTTACTTACCGAATAGTATGAAGGAAAAAGCAACCGTGGTACCGACAACGGCTTCGACAGGGATAAAACTGGCCATGGTGGACTATCGGGGTATATATCAGATACTAATTTGCTTCTATTTTGTTTCTAGCGGCGGCAGTAAAGCGGTAGTGAAGCAATAGATCGGGATAATTTGTCTTGATGTCTCAGAGAATGCCTTAAAACCAGGTACGACAGAAGTGCCGGATGATTATATATCTATACCTAGATATGTTTTAAGGTACCTATGTTTTATATCTCATCGGCGTCGAGGGATGATTCTGACTGACGAAGCTCTGTGTAAACGTCACCGTTTGCGTTTCGAGCGGAGGATGGCGTGAGACGGGGGAGACGGAGGTGTTCGCTCATAGTTCGATACCGCGGAATCCGTGTTGGTGGTATGACAATGAAACTCCCTTTGAACGATTAACAAATCACTTGAAGCTTGTTTAGCTTGTTTAGGAATGATCAGTCGAAACTCTTTGTGCTTTGTCAGTCTAGGTATGACAGTGCTTATCGTAACGCAAAGCTCCGATCAACTAGTTGGCATAGGCTGATAGGTAAGCTCTAAGCAACGGCTTAGCAAGTACCTTGGCGTCTTAGAAGGCGTCTTATTAGAGGTTAATGCCTCTCTAGGTCTTAACAAGCATCTACCTGTCTGTCCGTATCTAATAAGGCTCTGTCGGTGCCGAGAGTCTTAAGTCGTATAAGCGCCGAAGCTTGCGTTGATTGCGTCGGTCGACACGTCAATTTCTTACCGGCCACTTGCCGCAGTGTGCCGCCGCCACAGGCGCCGCTATCTCGATTGCCATGTACGATCTATCGTTACATAAAATGCCGCCCGTATATTAATCAGCATGGACCGTGTCGGTTGCAGTAGAGGCCGTTACTCCGTCTATAGTTAATTATGAGAATTAATAACACGGCATCTATCCCCTTCGTTGGTTCTTTTCTCTGATGTAGACAGTAATGATGTGCATGCCAATGTGTCTGGACCAACGACAATTCCAGTACTGACATAATAGAGTCAGGAAAAGTGTACTGTATCGGAACAGAGTTATCCCCCGTGTTGCACAGCAGGTATTTCCTGCCAATCACAATAGCTGCAGCAGGTACGGGTTACCAATATGAACAGGGAAAGGGATATCTAGGTACTTTCACAGTCCAATACAGTAGGGTTAGCACATGGACGGTCTGACTAATATGCGATCCCAAATGAAGTAAAAATGCAGAAAATATCGGGTTTAGGTAAGTTGATCGTCATTATCTACCTTCCCCGTACGCCGGAGGATTAAATAATTCATCTATGTAACACACCCAACATCTATGACATATCATCTTTGACAGTCAAGTTCTGTCAGATTAGGTAATAGGTAATAGGTAATAGGTTTGGATCACGACAGGGCAATCCCGAATAGCTTCAACTCCAAAGTGGATCCTAAAAAAACACATTAGATGTGATGCAACACAATCTATCATTTTTCAGGCTAGCTAGCTATGTTTATCATGGGTAAGATTACAATTTCAACACCGTCTCAAGCAATGCTATCGGTACCCTCGCGTGAGTCTAGTTGGTATGCAACGACCGTAACTCGAACCGTCTATCAATCATCATCCCTTGCTTCGATGTGCCAAGCGATTTCATTCTTCATTACGCAATCTATACCGTCTCTATCTTCTGACTCTCGCTCTTCTCTTCCGACGTACCCTTTAGAAACTCCTCCTTCTCCCTATCGTACTTCTCGCTAGACTCGGCCCATATACGTAGAGCCTCCTGCTTGCGTTCCTCACTCCTAGGTTCGAATGCCATCTCAAACGGATCGGGCTTGATGATTAACAGTGAATTTGACTTGTCCGTAGGAACTGGTATCTCCTTCCCTGTAGCCGGGTCTATCTTGGGTTTCAGGTTAAAGGCCCAGGACAACGCACCACAGGCTACTAGTAATTCGTCTTGCGTGAGGGTCATTCCTAGACATTGGCGTTGACCCCAACCAAACGAGGTCATGCCCTTGACGGTCGGATACGTGGTTAGCGGTTCCTGGTAGGTCGGCCACGAGGGCTCCAGCCAACGTTCAGGCCGGAAGTTATCCGGGTCCGGATATTTCACTGGGTTGCGAAGGAATGCCCTATTCAACGTTAGCATCGGGCTCATAATATATACCTGATATTACAGGGACAGACGTAGACATACCAATCTAGAGGGAGGATCCTTGTTCCTTTCTCAAGGAAATACCCTCGGAATTCATCATCGGCTTCCATCTCGTGCGCGACCCCTTAACGCCTTACATTAGCTATTGCGATAATATGGAGCTCGGTATTACTTGGACTCACCGGTGGGTACATTCGGCCTCCAGCGCATCGTTTCCTTAATACAAGCCCGGAGGGTCGGTAGTTTCGGAGAGTCATCAAGGGTTGGTAACCGGCCCTCGCAAACCTCGTCAATTTCTTTCTGAACCGCCGCTTGCCATTTAGGATGATGTATCATGGATACTAGCCAGTACGACAACGGTCCGGCTATCGTAAAGATGCCTACTAGGGCCATCATACCTATGACGCAAGAGGCTTCGTAGTCGCCCGAGATATTCGATCGCTTCTCCCCCTTCTCAAGATACTTGCTAGTGATACAATCCCTTTGTTTACCCTGAGCCAAATTGTCGCGCGTGGCTAGAAGACGGTTCATCCACATCTCCTGCTGTTCGTTACGGCGCTTGAGTTCCGCGCTTTTCCACGGATTCATAAACAGAGGTAGATGCCAAAGGGGCGTTATAACGTTGGTGATAGGTCCGGCTGGCGACATCTGTCTTAGGAGACCCCACGCGTTCGTCGACGTCTGTTCGCTGAGCTCGAGGTTGTCCCACGTCAACTGGCACATGATCTTGGACGCCATATCCTCCAAGGAAAATAGGAAGTCGTCGGGGTTCTCGATGAGCCGGGCAAGCCAACGCTTCGACTCATGGTACATTACGCCATAGTATTGCGCATTGCTCGCTTCCATCAGGGCCGAGTGCGTGAATCGTCGTTGTCGCGCCCAGTATTCTATCTCACGTGTTACTAAGGAGACTGAGAGATTCAGATCCGTCAAAGACACTCACGGTTTCGCCCCATCAAGGGAAGGTACGCCATCGATCCGTCGGTGCTCTTGGAGTCGAATAATGACCTCACCATAGGTCTGTCCGAGTTGTGTTTTGCTCGCTTTACCAGCAATTCCTCGGCCACCTTCTCGTCCGAGACGACGAGGAACTTGGCCCCGAGCATCTCCGTGAAGTAGAATCCATTCTTACCAGCATACTGATCCGACCACTCCTTGAACTTGATCCACATAAACTGGATAGGAAGGTCATGTATGCGACCAAGGTACGGTATCAGGGTCGGACCGGGGATCTTGCCCGGGCGGTTTATCTCCTTGAACTGCTTATAGAAATGGAAGACGACGAAGCCGACAAGGGCGACGCAGAGGACCGCTGGCGTAAACAGTTGCATGATCAACCGCTGCGGAGAAATGTTAGATCGAGAGTGTGTGGGAGTGGCGTCAAGCGTCAACGTCAAGCGTCAAGCAGAGCAAAACTGAGGAAGGGTTGCGGGAACGGAGTGACGAAGACACACTTACCCGGTTCGAAAGTATCGCAGGGCTGTCATATGATTTAAACTACCTACCGTAGTACCAGACAGCTTAATGATACTTCTACTTCCAGTAACTACTCTCGATGGGTGGTAATAATGGTAATAATGGTAATAGATGAGGGCCGGTTCGGCATTCAAGGGCCAAGGGCGTGTTCGTGTGTGGTTCGATGTAATCCAGCCTCGATCGGGCGTCCCCTACCTAGTCTCACATCAAAGTCTCGCCGGGCATTACGTCCTATCACAGCCAGCCGTACTTACGTATTTATGCTTTTTAAGTTCACATCTTTCTAGAACGGCTGAAGGTGTTTCTAAGAATACCTGAAGTCCGAAACAAGGCACCAGATGTTGTCCAAAAGATGTCCATAGATCTTCGACATAGCTGCATAGTTGGGTTGGCGATACCCAAGTAGGCTATAGTGATTCATTATCGGTACGAGGAAAGTCGATAGGCTGAAAGCCACCCGCGTATGTCGTAGAAATGTACGATACATTGCCTGCTTAGACAAGCGCTAAGCAGACAAGTCCGGCTATGTAAGTCCGGATAGTCCACATACATGCCTACTAGGCAAGTAGGTAGGCTTGGTAGGCTTGGTAGGCTGGCTAGACAGCTAAGTAAGGAAATGATATAATATCGGCACGATGTTGTGTCACTCGACCTGACTTCAATTCCAGGTGATTCGCCTCAGATCTATGTACTATCCCTACGAGGATTATCAAAGATATGACATTACCCTAATGCCTAGGTACTAGGCACAGAGGGACGAGGCGCTGAATGTATCCTTCCGGCAATTTAAGCATCCGATCATGGCAATATAAAGGGTACGTCAATAGAGACGGTACCTACCTAGGTAAAGTCTTAAATGCCCTGGCGATCGAACTCTGCGACTGAAATGTGGTGGACATTAACGAGCAGGGTGTATATGTGGACATATGAACACATCTGGCCAAACTATTGGTGTGGTGCATATCTTGTCGCGTGCATGGGCATGGGACACACCCTCTTAGAAATATCCGTATGCATGCAAGATGCGCCATCAAAAAAAAGTCCCTGAGCTGAAGAGGTGTCGAAGATCCTCAAGACTCGAAGGAAGTGAATAAGGTAGGTGGGTAGATGAATGGTCGGAACGGCCTGGTTATAGAGGCGAACAGCGACTGGCCGTGCCTCGTTACATATCGGTATTTGTTATTTGAGCCGCCACTCGATACGACGTAAGGACTCAGAACTATGTAAGCCATCTGGGCAATCCCATCAAGATTCCGGGACATAACTTTAAATCCTAGACGTCTCAGCCCAGTGAGCAAAGACGTTGAATGTCTGTGGGTACTGGCGGGTGGCTGTTAGCTCATAGCTTCATAGCTCGTAGGTAGCTCGAATGTAGCTCTTGGCTCTTAGCTGAGACCTCGCCATTAGTCGGTCACTCTTCGTCCGTGGTCTTTTCTTCTTGTCTTCCATTTTTTCTGTAAGCCACGACGAATCGAACGAGAGTGCCTCGCATATTGGATGTGCTGGGTGTTGGCATGGCGGGCTGAGAGAGCCGGTCCTATATGGATATGCCCGTACTCCCGTGCTAGCACCTGCAGGATGCCGGAAATCGATAAATATGTCCATTATAGGTACGATGTTTAGATAAGTAGGTCTTATGGTCCTATCGAAGACTAATGAGATGGTGGATATAGCTAATGCGCGGGCAAGACGGGCAGCACGGGCAGCACGGGTAGGATACCGCTCTAGATAGGATAATGCATACTAGCAATGTAAGATTTGGGGTACCGGCGAACGTCAAAATATAATTGAGCCAATGACGTGTCCTGTCAGATTCTGCTTAGGTGGGAAAGGTGGATGTGAATATAGTTCGGGTCCGAGGAGGATTCTAAGGGACTCAGCCGCAGAAATGGTTACAGACTCGCACGGCCAACTCGCGTCAAAAGCATCTTGGATCTTCCAAGTTACACCCGGTACTCCGGTACAACTGACGTTCCCGTCCCTTTATATTGTGAGTAACATGGAGTGATTTGTTGAAGCGAGCCTAACAGTTAACTTGCCGAGCCAACCTTTACTCCTAATTCGTTCCTCCAACCATCTCTTTGCTTCTTTTTCCCCCCTGGCTCCCTCAGTTATCTTATCAACGCGAAGCTATCAAGGATTTTCAGACGAGGTCGGTCTAGGCTTTCGCGTGATATGGGTTCGCTTCACGAGAATGACTGTAAGCCGGTAGGCTCCTACCCACCTTCGGGTATCGACGTCCTCATCGTCGGCACGGGGCTTGCAGGGCTAACGGCCTCCATCGAATGCGTGCGCAAGGGCCACAACGTACGGGTTCTCGAGCGACATGATGACATAAACACAGCAGGTAAGCCAGAGTCACCGAGTGCAGCGTGCGTTATGTAATGTCTACGATGTATGCACGTAAGATGCTAAGAAGACTGCCTTCGCCCCTGATCTAGGCGACATGTACTTTATGGGCCACAGCGCTACTAAGTTCTTCCGCCACTGGCCCGAGCTATCGAAGGAGTATGAGGAGATATCGATGAATAACGCGTGGATCGAGACCTTCAAGCACGATGGAGAACGGGTCATCACGCCGCTGAAGGTCTCAGAACGCCTCCGCCAAGCGGGCATGGACCCCAACACCCCGCCAGGCGCCTTTCAGATGCGCCCGCTCATCTACCGGATGTACATGAACGAAGTGAGCAGGCTCGGGATTAAGATCGATTTCGGCCAGCGTGTCGTCGACTACTGGGAAGACGAGTCGCGTCAGAAAGCCGGCGTCGTGACGGACAAGGGCGACAGATTCGAGGCCGACATCGTCATCGCGGCCGACGGCGTGGGATCCAAGTGTCAGAAGCTGGTAGGCGGTCAGGTCAGGGCGATGAGTGCGGGTAGAGCCATGTGGCGCGCTGCCTTCCCAATTCATCACCTCGACAAAAACCCCGAGCTGAAAGCTTTCCTCAAATTCGGCGGTCCCAATGAGGACGAGCCAATAGTGAGGACTTGGCTTGGGTGAGTGGCGCACCCTATTGCAAATTAGCCGTGAACATCCCTATTTCCACTGTCGCAGAGGCTAATTATTCTCAAACCCGCCAGACCGGGAACGTATGCGATGGTTCTGGTTCGCAAAGAGACTTGTGTGTGGATTATGAACCACGAGGTGAGTTTCCCAGTTTCTTAGCTAGGATATACCTATCTACCTACCAGAGTACCTGAGTATTTCCCGACAGTGCATGCTAATTAATGTCAGATTACTGGTTCGGAAAAAGAGAGCTGGGTTCACACTGTCGAATGGCCTGATGTCCTCAGTAACATGGACAAAGGCCTAGGCGACCATCCATGGGATCCCAGGATTAAGGCGCTCGTGAAGGTGATACCGCCCAAGACAATTGTCAACTTCGAATTGTTCTGGCGTAACCCGCAACCATCGTGGGCATCCAAGGGTGCGCGCGTTGTCCTCATGGGCGACGCCGCGCATTCTTTCCTGCCTGCCTCTGGCAACGGCGCGACACAGGCGATCGAAGATGCCGTCTCCTTAGCCAGCTGCCTGCAAATCGGCGGAAAACAGAATGTGCCTGAAGCGGTTCGCACTCACGTACGTTTCCGCTTCATCCGCTGCTCGTGCGCGCAGAAGATGGGCTTCTCCAATGCCGAGCTGTTGCAACACCCCGACTGGTCTAAGGTTAAGGTGAACCCGAAGTTGGCGCAGCCGAAGCTGCCGAGCTGGATCTGGAAACACGATCCCGAGCAGTACGCGTATGAGAATTACGCGAAGATGGCTGAGACGATTAAGAAGGGGATCCCATTCGACCAGGTCGACTCGGTTCCGCCTAACTACCCGCCCGGCTATAAGTACAAGTCCTGGAACATCGACGACATGCAGAGGGAGGTCGACGAAGGCACCGTCGACATGGGAGGCGGGAACTGGGATTAAGAGAGGCTTTTGTCTCGGCGTTTTCGTGATAGAGGGGATAATACCTTTAACTAGGTAGGTAAAGTCCGGTTAGAATCTCATTTGTGACTGGGTAGATTTGCTTCCAGGCAGGCTGGCACATCTTACATTCGATTTTTGGGTTTCCCTCTCTTAAACCCAGGTGTGATACTGGGAGACGATACGATACAGTACTTATCTCTTTACTGTGCCACCCGCACGGGGTCTTTTGTATGCTACTCGAGCCGGTCTAGGCTGTCAGGTAGGACTACATGCAGTTAGAATATCATATATCATATATCACGCACCATGTGAGGTGCTTCAGCTGACAGGGATGAGCGCGAGCGTGATAACGGTCTCTAAGTGATATAGACCGGAGTAGGGGGTCTCGTATCCTATTAAATGTTCATGCTGGAATCCTGTCGGTCATTCCTTCGGCGTATTTTTTCCAGAACCGTCTTTACGGCGTAATCGTATTTTTGCTATGAATTTGCTATAAATTCTGACGAATAAACGAAGCCGGATTATGAATACATATTTACATGGTAGCTTTTTAGATCACCATAAAAAATCCTAGTATTTAAATTAAAGTATCGCGATTTTTACGCATTCTCCACACCCGGCGCAGCGGCGGCGAGCAACTTCTCGAAGTTGGGAGTTCCCAACCCGGTAACGGGATCCCAACCCGCGGTAGCGTTCCATCTCGCGCCGTTACGGAAGGCAGAGTTGCCGGAGCAGCCGCTTCCATAGCCGGACGTTATGTCGATTAGAGCGGCGCTGTTGTTGTACAGCCACGGGTTGAGGAATCCTAACGGTGGCTGACCTTGGCTCTTTCGGGCGGCGTTTAGGAGAGCGACTACACCAGCGAACACGGGGCTGGATGCGCTGGTTCCGGATAGCAGGGCGGACCTTCCCTTGTCGATGACTGCGAACCGGCTTCCTTGCGCCGCGACGTCGGGGAATCCTCTGTTGGAAGCGTTGAAGTAAGCCGAGTAAGTGCTGCCGATCGAGCTGAGGTACGCGTTCACCGCATCCGCTTGCCATGCCGGCTGGGCGTGAAGGGAGCTGAAACCACCGCTCGAGAAGCTGACGGCCTGTTCGGGCTCGACGTTGTACGTGGCGCCGACGGAGGTGACGTAGGGGCATCCGGCAGGGAATGAGGGTTGGAAATAAGGCGCTTTGTCAGATTCTCTTATGCATGAATCGCCGGGGCCGGAGTCACCGGACGAGAATAAAACGCTGACACCGCGAGCACCGAGCTGCATGAACAAGTTGCAGACCTTGAGGGCGTACTCCGCTGGTACCGACTGCTCCTCCTCTCCATAGGAAGTAGAGAGCGTCTGCGGTAAGGCCGAATCTTCTTGGTCGAGGAGATATGTCAAGAACTCCAAGTAAGGCTCGTTCGATGACGGACCAGGTTGGTCGGTGGTGGGCACAAGAGGTCTGGAATAAATTAATTAGCTTGATTCGTAGCTCGAGGTTAAATGTACAAGTAATGACAACTAGGGAACTTACCCACGACCACCGGTGCTATATTCGAGGATTGGCACAGGGCTGCTGATAGCCAGGACATATTGCACGTCAAGGTTAGCCTCTCCTATTTATGGGTTTAGTATTAATTCCGTCTAGAAATTTCGAGGTTCATGACGAGGATTCCTACGTACCGCTGTCGTCGCTGCTGCTTTGGTCGTTCAAACCTCCATTAACTAGCTGAACGGTAAAGTTCTGACCAGCGGCTGAGGTCAAGTACTGCGACTCGAAAGATTGAAGATCGGAATATCGTGCGTACTCCTCTAGGTAAGAGGCGAAAGCAACCAAGTTGCCCTCGGTGGACGCGGTGTACTTGATATTGTATAACGACTTAAGGCAGGCCGGCGTAATTCTCGAGGTATTGCAGTCAGCGGCCTTGATGGCGACATTTGCCTCGATAGCAGCATCTTCCTCGTCTCCAAGGATTTGCAAATCAAAGATGGTCGACTTCTTAGCACCGAGTTGACCGAACCGAGTAGTCGGCTGGATTAGATCAATGTTTCCGGCAAGCTCGTCGGGAACGCTGTATGACAATGTCCGCAGCTTTGGACTTTTGCTCTCCTCAAATTGATACCAGGCGAAGTTCGCATTCAGCAGATCGTTGGCCGTCTTCACGTTGGTGGTGAAGGTGATCCAATCATTGTTCACCGACGGCTTAATGCCGCTCTCGGAGAGCCAATTCACCACGGACGAAACCGATTGCTCCGTCGGCGCCGTGTAAGACCGGACTTGGTCACGCGACATATGCATGCCATAGTTCGGGTGACCGGGGGTCGAGATCTCCAGTACGGCTTGCTCTAACGCGGTCGCGTGTTGCTGCTGTAGACCGACGCGCAAAGTGACGGAATCGTCGGGAGAAGCTTGGCGCACCTCAGCCCAACCCTTTGGAACCGCGGGGAGACTATCCATCACCTTGGCCGTGGCGGCCGTGGCGAAGAGGAGGAGGATAGAGCGCATGGTGAGAATACTCCGGGGGCAGGGCTTACACAGGAATAGGAATTGTTGATTTCCCCTTCGCCAATTGAAGGTGGAGAGCGAAGGATTGATTCCTGTCGATCGGTGAGGGGGGACTGCAGGCAGATTAATAAACAACAGAGAGAGTCAGAGACAATGGCGTAGCAGTAAGTATACGACCCCGTTAACCCCTTACATATCACAATGGCGTGCTATATGGCTATGCCATGCCATGGCAGCCGAATTGATGGAACGGTTACGTTAGGAAGCCAAGACTTTGAAGGCATTTCCCAATCATACCGAATTGCTCGTAATCTAAGCTTCAATCCACTCGAGAAGCATTGACTTGCCAAGTCCGGGGTGATCTCCCGCCCATCCTCTTCAATTACCACCTCGCCTAAGCTGCATCTGGCAGGAGAGTCACATTCGAGTTATGCGCAATCGCCGTGATGGCTTGATAAGGTTCTTGGTACGAGAGATCTGATCTGGTCCCGGGTGTAGAGCCCCTCATGCGCGCATGGCGAGGGGTCACTTTCGGAATGTGGTTATTATTGTGAGGGGAGGTTGGAGTCCGAGAGATAGAAAAAAATACTCACCTCTCACCTACCTACCTAGTACCTACCTACCTACCTACCTAGTACCTACTTAGTACGCCGGGTTTAAAACTATACGGCTATTCCGCCAGGCCTAGACCTTATTTAGCAACAGGGAATGCTTGTTTTTAGTTCGTATTTATTACTACGCTGCCTGCAATGTTTCCGTACCTTGCTAGTCCTATCTTCGTGAACCCGAAGCAACTCTATCCTGAGCTTGTCTGGTGCATGCTTGCCCGTTACCCCTGTCAACGCATTCCAGACATGGGAAGGTGAGTCTCATTTTATCAGACTACCTAGGTAAGTCTTGGTCAAAAATGATCATAAAAGCAAAGCATTATATAATTGATACTCCCATAGGTAGGTAGCTTCTTTTTTTATAAAAAACCTGAGTGATACATACGTAGTAAGTACCTAGGTATGAAATAATCATTGAGAATTTATTTCGAGAGGAAAGACTTTAAGACACAATTTCAAGATTCTATAGCCAATCGATGAAACAAGTTGACTTACCTGATATAATATTTCCACCAATCTCCTGTAATTATTATGTTTTTAATAACTTCCGTTATACCCCTAGTTCAAAATTCTAACCACAGCTCGTAGAATTAAGACGAAGTGTGAGTACATTTTCTCGTATCCATCTGCTTAGACTCGCTATTTGGATATAAAATAGCAATTGATTATCCCAGAATAGATTTAACACCCATAGTATTACTTTGAGAGATGAGGGCCAGATAGGGCGATGTATAGGTAGAGATATAGACTTTGTCGCTGTTCACCTCCCCTCAACTCACCTCCTCTGAATATCCGAGCGAATCTACCATTATTCCGTACACATTAAGAATTACGACTGCTCTTCTCAATGATCATATGTGAATAATACCAACTAGTTAGTATCGTCAATAAGAGAGCAACTGTTATTCCGCAATATTCCGCAGTAGGTGTTCCGCAACTTCACCGAATCTTCCCATGCTCATCCATTTCCCCAATAACTCCCTCAAAAAGTTGCGGAAGAATCTCAGAGGCATCACCTTGGAAAAAGAAGTCCTCATCCGACAACCCCAGGGCCGAGTCGAGATCCGGGTTCACCACTGCGACAACGGCCCCCTTCGCCCGAGCCTTCTGCGTGTAGCCCGCAGCGGGATAAACGACGGCCGCTGTCCCGATTACTAGCATAATATCGATATGATCCCGCCTAATCCATTCGTTGACTCCCCCGATCATCACTATATCAAGCGACTCACCGAACCAAACCACGCCCGGTCTTAGCAATCCCGTCTTGCATTTCGGACAGTGCGGCAAATCCTCCACCTTGACGAACGGCACGGGGACGTTTGGATCGAGCAACGGCATCGTCTTATCAGGTGGATAATCGTCCGCCGCGGGCGCGAGAGCGGGACATACCGGGTCGCTCAGATTATTCCGATCGATGTAGCCACAATCATTGAAGCACTTATTATCAAGCAGGCTGCCGTGGAGCAGCCGGAGTTTCTCATCTGGATGTCCGGCACGTGGCGAAAGACCTGATGCGATGGCGCAAAAAAGCACACTATCAGAGGCTTGCAATGACATAATGTCACCCCCCTCATCATCAGCTGCGGAATAACTTACCGTCAACGTTCTGAGTTAGGCATAGGAAATTAGTTTTCTTCTTGGCTAGCTCGGCGAGGGCGTAATGGCCGCGATTTGGCTTGGCTGTGAGCGCCATGTGTCTGCGCCACGCATAGAAGAGCCAGACGAGGGATGGATCTTCTCTGAACGCATTTGGCGTCGCGAGAGATGTGGGTTCGTGGTTGCGCCACAGACCGCCAGCGCCGCGGAACGTGGGGAGTCCCGAAGCGGCTGATAGCCCGGCTCCGCAGAGAGCTAGAACGCGGTTGCTAGAGTTAACGAGCTCTTTAAACTCGTCGATAGATGTTCGTGGTGTCATTGTTTCTGCGTGGGCTGTATTTCGGGTCCAAAATGAACGATGTGAGGCGAAGATGGAACTAGATATTATGAGACGGCGAGGGAAGTATGATGATATTAAATATTGAGAGGGGCGTAACATGCTAGGCGACAGTAGATGCCTGGAGATACGCCTGATATCATCTTGTCTGCCTCGCCAACCTGAATTGCGGACAACCAACATACCAAGAACTCGCGATTGTCTTCTGCCCAAGTAGATTGGCTGAACTAAACTAAACGGACCACCTTAAAAAGAAATTGAACTGTCATTGGTTCAATGAATTTACCCCTGCACTTTACCATATTATCATTGGTTAAGATGTTTTACGCGGTTCCGCTTATCCAGCAAACGCGTCCAATTAACGAGCACCAGTACCGGAGGTATTTCTTCAACGAAATAGTAACATTGAAACGAAATATTCTAACCTCTTTTTATTTATACTCGAAAGCCAATTGTCGATTATGTTATTAGAACGATGTATCTCGGGATCTACCCCTCGAAAGCCTAGCTCATATAGGGGCTTCACAAATGTTCAGAGCTACTCTTCATCCCGAACACTTAGCATAGATCATTTTTGATTCGTTAACGTTCATGACTAATTTCTTCTATTCACAAGAGGTGCCTTTGTAGGTTTCCCCTATGCTCACAAACGATACAATGCGGTCCTGTTTCCCCGCTTTCATTTAGCTGTTCCCTTAGCTTCCTCATTGCAGTTTAGAAGGAGCTTCGTAGATTGATGCACGAGATTGACGCACGAGAATACCCGACTCGCTGGTTCGTTGAACACTTTAGAAGCCGCTAAACCTTTCTAGCGCCACGCTAGTCAAAATCTTGTTTGAATCTATGATGTCAGCTTTTGATTGGGCCTTTTATTATGTACCTGCCGATTCTAGTTTTTTATCATCCAATTCCAAGGCTCATTATCTACATCCAATAAGGTCTTGATTCAACTGCTCCTGCGCGAGGTCCTTGACCTGACCTATGTATAAATCGTGATCACGTCATAAACATTAGTCAAGTTACATTAATTCTTGAACGCTTCGTATCTCTTTCCAACGACGGTGCCGTTGCCCACCGCCGGGTTGGTATAGATAGACACAGTATCTGTCGAGTTCTTGTAGTCGACACCACACTTTTCGGAGAAGCCTTGGAACATGTCAACCCTCTCTTGCAGGTACTGCTCAAACCCAGACCTTGAGCATGTCGTTCCCGGTCCATCGGCACAGTTCGGTAACGGCTGAGGTGCGCTATTCACCAACACTCGGTAATAGTCACCATCCTCGTAACCATAGCTGCCCGAGCAGTTCAACCTCTCAATAGCCAGGTTGCTCAAGAACGGGAGTACATGCGAGCTTTTCCATGCCCGTCGGTAGTTAATCCGGTCGAGCGGCATCGTATCATTGATAGTAGCCTCGCTTCCACCAAACTCGGAGTTATTGAACAAGCCCATGGCCACAAACACCATTGGAGGCAACTCGCGGTGGGTAAAGCTGACGTATATATCATGCTCATCGCTCGACTCCCCCAAAAGCAAATTTGCCGACGCGTTGAACCAAGGCAATCCTACAACTCCAGAAATGGTATTGCCGTATCCCACATTGTAGTGGTACATAACATCGGCCGTGTACTCCCATCCTAGCCAATCATCTGGGCTAAACAAGTCCAGATCACAGAACGGCGAGCTTCCCCGAATCACCGATTCATATCCACATAACTCCATCATGCCGTAGACATCGTTAGCCGTGAAATTAAACCCGGGAGCTAACGCGTTCAGTCTCGCCATGATGGGTTTCGTGAACTTCTCCAGGTAAACCGCCGATTGGTCGCTCCCAAACGATGACGAATAGGCCGGGCAGCTCTTGTATGGCGTCAAGGAATCCGCGCCCGCTTCCTCCGATTCATAAATGCTGACCACGTTGATCTCGTTCTCGTCGAGCTCCAACCCTCTCGCTAACGACTGCGCCGACTTCACGGTGCGCTCGGCGGACGACGTCCAGATGCGCGATGGCAGCTTGAGGTTCGGGTACCGGAATGAGAGGGTGACGCCGAGCTGGGTGGCTTCGAGTCTGCCGACCCGCGTCAGCAACTCTTGCTCAGCATCCGTCAGCGGAACCGTCCAGCCAGCGAGGAAGCTCAGCGACGGGATCTTGGTCCAGTCGGTAGCCGTGTTGTTTTCTAACTTGGAGACGAAGGGATCGATGTATTCCTCGTAATCGTAGTCGTTGGCATAGATCGCAGCATGGCGGTTGAGATAGACCGCCCTCGACGTCGTGCAGCCCTGAGGAGTTGATGGCGATGCTGACGGATCTTGCGGTTCGAAGTATGGCGCTACACCGCCCAGATGCTCGAGAGGATTGAATTGGTAGGTGGAGTAAAGGGAGGCAGCTGAGCAAGTCTGGAGTGCTGGAAGCACGAATGCGGTGAGCTGAAGGAGCTCTTTAACGAATGACGGTGCCATTGTGTTGTTGCAAAACACGCGGTGTCACCTAGGTGTTGACATTGTTACTCGTAAGTTGAGAGCGCAAAGATTTTATGTCTTCGCTAGCTCTTTCAAAGATGCCGCCAAGACGATCGACAAAGACCGCATCCATTACGAAATGACGATAGCTGATGAAGGAGGTACCTGAAATTACACTTCCTAATGCAACTAAAATGCTGGATGTTGGCGTCATTAGGTACCTATGAGCTAGAGCCTAGACAGGCTAGACAGGGGTACGCCGGCAGCTAAAAACAAGCTCAAATGGTTACACCTGGGCAGCCCTACCTTAGTAGTACTAAAACGCTTGGGCGTTCTGGGTTCGGGTTCGCTACGCAGTAACGCAACAACGACGTCACGACTAAATTCGACCTCTGGTAACAGATAATTCTTGCAACCAGCGAATTAATACACAATAGCTAAAGAAAGAGTGGAAGAAATGATACTAGGTAGGATTGGACCTATGCAAACTTTTATCAATTTGTTCCACCAACGGTACCTGTTGATCAGTCTAAATATTTCATATCAAGTTTCCGTGTCGATGTTTCAGCCCCCCGGAAATAACAGCACAAAACAACTCTTTTCCGCGGGACACTTGTTCTTCTAACGGTTCACTAAACATGCCTATACAGCTCGTGAAGCGCAGCTGATAAGCCCAGAGTGTCCTGTACAGATAATCATATGGGACACGATGCGCCGACGAACAGTTTAATTTTAATTTCATCACTCTCATCCATTCGGTTTGTTTGAGTCCTATTACTAGACTTGATCACGTTTCTAGGTTATTATGGTCATTTTTATATTTTTAACAGTAAAATCGGGTCTTACGTGAATGGCATCGTCACTTGCTTTGCCAATGACTCCTATAGGTCAGCCCAAGGTGGAAGCAGTTTAAACCGAGTTTGCCAGTCCAACTGCTCTATAAAGACACATGGAAACATTCAGACAAAATAGCCTTCATACATTTTTTTTTTTAAAAAAAGAAACATGCCCATCCCTCAAATTTGATTATGAGAGTAAGGAATCATGAAACCACGATTATCTCTATTCTGTGTAATGAATGTTTTACAATATCTAGGCCTATGAAGCCCGCCGCTGAAGATGGCCAATCTCGAATGCGAATCTTATCACTCCACAGATGGTGAACCCTTGAATTCCTGCGACCTGAGCGGTTCGTCGCTAAACCTTCGTCTTTCTTGGGGATCAAGCACGCGTTGTCTGCTTCGATTTCTCCTGTCATCCTCGGATTTCCGAGCCGGAGACGGAGCCGGGCCAACATATATATTTCGATCAGCAGGTCCCGGAGCTACCGGCTCGTCTCTTACGGTAACGTGGGGAGGTCTTCTGCGTCTGAAGGCATCTTGGTCGCCGTGTCCGATGTCACGAGGCCTTCTCCGGTGACTCCTATCACCCTTCATGATATGTTTGACTTCTTCTTTGGCTTCTTTGGCGTCGTGGGTCCATGTTTCTTTCTCCCCGTATAAGACACCCTTGGGCCAGTATCTAGAAGCCGCGATTGAAGCAGCTCCGATGACACCAAGGAAAACCAAGGAGGTCTTGAGTATGTCTTTGCCACTATCTGAATGAGCCGGTACTGGTCGGTGTTGACGCGGTGGCCCAGAGTCTGAGGAAACGCTACTGCGATGAGAGTTGGATGATGCGTAGGTACGTGAGGTCGGCGAAATGGAGGGAGAAGATGATGTGTAGCGAGGCATCTCGTCTGTAGCACGAGATTGAATTGAAATGACGAAAAGCGGTTTGGGATGTTGAGATCATAGATTTTGGAACAGATCGAAGGACTATGAAAGGGCGAAACACCCGAAGTTAAATTAGCAAACCTACCTCTTTCTACGTTTACTACGTCTCCTCCACGAGCAGTGTCGGGTATTGTACGCATCGGCAGAAGCCAGCAAGATTCTCTGATATGATGTAAGAGGCGAGCAAACCGCCATTCTTATGTGAATTCATGGTGGGAAACACCAGACCCTGGGATTTAGGGCTATTCGTCGATAGCAGTCACAATATCCAAGTTGTGGTTGCGAATGCTGACTGCCCAGAATTCAGAAAGCCTTACAATCACGGTGGAACATCCAAAGCAAGAATCGGAGGGCGGTTCGGATGTCTAACTGGACGAATGGCAGAAGGGGCCACACGTACTTTATGCTGGTTGAGATAAGCTTTCCGGTCCGTCCTGGAGGTTGCTCGTGTCTACCTCATCCACGTAATCGGATGTGAGGCTCTTGTTTGGACCAACCGGATATATCTCAAGCAGATCACTACGTCTCCGGAACGCAATGTGAGATTCATCAGACATCGGAAGGGGGGTTAGATACGATTGTAAGAGGGTGAAGAGGGTGAAGAACATACGATAATTAGAAAAGTACACCTTTATAAACTAGTTTACTTATCTGGTAGCTACCCGGTGCTGCCGGTGGCGTACGAGAAGGTGAAGATCAGCACAATCGAGATCTGCCTTGAACGTGACACCATAGATAGGTAGGTATTGGGCTTCCGAACATTTGAGGTTTATGGATGTTTACATGAGTTGGTCCTGAGCTATACGTACAATTGAAATAGCAAGACTCTGGACATATGAGAGAACCATGATATGCACATTCTCTTGGTATACATTATCACTCACTGTGCACCTATATTTATTAGACATCATGTCATGGGATAAGGGCAAGTTGGACGTTACTGAGGTATTGTCTTTAAGCACGGAGATTTTAGTTGGGGAAGAACTTCTTTTGAACCTAGAAATACGAAGAATATTTGCTTCAATGATAATGTGAATTTTTGAAATTAAAGAAGCCACAGGGAATTGTGTCAATTGCCTAAAGTTGGAAAAATAATTGATATGAATGATTTAACACTTTAATTATAGGTAAGTTGCGAAGTTATCTGGCTATCTGAGTCCGAGTTGAAAGATGAGAACAACTTGGTGGGGGATGGGGTGAGTTGTATACTGCGGGGTGGTAGGCGATGCTGAAGTATGATTGGATGATTCCGGCTTACCTAGCAGCCTAGTAGCCCGTTATTAAGTGCGTCACAGAACATTGAAACTTGAAAGACACCGTTGACGCGACGGGCCCCACATTTTTCAATTTAGACCTTCAATGTTCCCACCGTTTGACGCGACTCCACTTTGTAAACTTGACGCGCCTCAATTGAAGAATTCCAAAGTTACTTCCATGTATTTGTACATTCGTACCTTGAAGTTCGAATTTGGAAGCTCACATTTACACAATATATTCATGCATCACTTCTCTGCACAATGCCTTTTTGCCCCTGAAAGCCACCGAAGACCTATGCATACCTGAAGACATGACAGAGTCTTCGCCAGCCCCGGATAGGCCGTTCGACCCGTCCAAGCCCTTCGAAGGTCTCGTTCTCTGCTGTACTAGTATTGAGGCTGACTTGCGTGTATGCTATCTCTATTAAGCCTATAGTATACGCCTATGTTATTTTGACTAATCGTATCGTTGCCGTCCAGACTAAAATCGCCCAACAAACCGCCGATCTAGGCGGTATTCACAAGTACGACCTCACACCGGATGTGACCCACCTGATCGTCGGGGACTACGACACGGCAAAGTATCGCCATGTCGCCAGGGAGAGACCCGACATTAAGCCAATGGCTGCCGGTTGGGTTGATGCCGTACGAGTGCTGTGGTTGGAGGACACCGATTTCGATTTCGATGCACTGGAAAATACCTGGAAGCTAAAGACCTTCGAAGCCGGTGGTGGTATTCCTAATAGCCCGGTCGTTGAACAAAGGGAGAGGATAAAGCTAATATGCTGTCTGACTGGCTTCGAGGACAGTATGTCGTCTACTTTCTTATCTACCTTCTAACTTGAAGACTAACAAGTGAAGATGAGACGCGCTCTGCGATCGAAAGCAAGGTTAAAGCGAATGGAGGTGAATACGTCGGCGATCTCTCCAGGGCCGTGACCCATCTCATCGTAAACAAGCCTGAAGGGAAGAAGTACATTGCTGCGCGGAAGTGGCGGATAAGAACCGTCTCTGTCGAGTGGCTACACGACAGTGTCGAGAGAGGCATGATCCTCAATGAGGAGTGCTATGATCCTACATTGCCCGCAGAGGAACGTGGAAAAGACGCGTGGATAAGAAGAGACCTAAGGCGAGGTGCATCACTAGGCAAGAGACCTCGTGATGGCGCGGTCGGCCCTTCGGCAGACGATGGTCGAAGAAAGCTTAGAAAGACCGCGAGCATGAAACTCACAAGCCAGAAGGATAATCTTTGGGGTGATATTCTCGTAAACCAATCATCGACCGACCTATCTAAGTCGATGATTACCACTAGCGCCAAGGAGATGACTACTGGCGTACCCCCTACTTTACACTCTACAGACTTGATAACGCCTCCTAGCGGTGAGGTTCCGCGGCCGAATCACGTCCAACAGGTTGAGAGTGGTGTCTTTTCCTCTTGCCGCTTTTACATTCACGGATTCTCTCAGGGCAAGCAGGAAATCTTAGGCCATCATATCTTGTCCCACGACGGACGAGTAACCCGATCTATCGAGGACGCCGCTCTGTCTAGCCATAACGAACCACTAGATCGACGATATCTTATTGTTCCCCAGACGTCTCAGCCTGAATCTCACCCCGAGCTTCCGGAAGGGATGCACATCGTCACCGAGTTCTACATTGAACGATGTGTTCATAATAAAACATTGTTCAAGCCGGACGACCACGTGTTGGGACAGCCGTTTCCTCGGTTTCCCATTGAGGGGTTTCAAGACTTAGCGATATGCACTGCTGGTTTTAGGAATGAGCAGCTAAATCAAGTACAAAAAGCCATCACCCAGCTCGGCGCGAAATATTCCGAGCGATTAAATTCGCAGTGCTCGTTACTGGTCTGTCCCTCTCTCGATCAAGTTAGGAAGCAGAAGCTGGATTTCGCCACGATTTCTAAGATTCCGATCGTTAGTGCCGACTGGCTATGGCAGTGTATAACGACGGGTTGCTTTGTACCATGGCGGAGCTATCTATGTAAGGAACTCGCTCAGGCTACGTCTATCGAACGGGAGGCTCTTAAGAACAAGGAAAAGGATATAGTTACAAAATCAAAGTCAGAGCCTGCGCACAAGATCCTCCCCAAGACGAGGCCATCAGCACCGGTACCTACATCAGTAATGAAGCATGGAATCGATATGACCGCCTTTGATGACGATACGCCCATGCTCCAAGATGCCACTATGCAAGAGCAGGAAACTAATGAGGCCAACGGGACCAACTATGAGACGGCCCCTACCCACCAAACAGAGAATCAGACAGAGAACATCAACGTTGAGCCTACACCTATCTCCAAACCACTATCAGAAATGACACCAAACGCATTGAACAAGTCTCCATCTCCGCAGAAGACATCTCCGCAGAAGACGTCTCCTACACCGCGAAAATTCAAACGTGTGCCGACCGGAGGCGAAGTGGGGGACTCCGATGGCTGTGACGATTCCGATACCCCGATCCCCCCATTACAAGAGGATGATGGTTTCACGAACAAGGAGGAGGAACAACGGAAGCGACAAGCTAAACAATCTAACGCGACAGAACTTGATGAAATGTCAAAGATGTTGAATTCTCTAGTATCTCGCGATGGAGTTGTTTTGGAAGGTGATAGCTTGAAGCCGCAACCAGCACCAGGACAACGTCGACAACGCAAGATACTCGGCCGCGCAGCAAGTAACGTCTCGGCAACATCGAGCGCGAGCGCCGAATCCTCAACACATGCAACTAGTTCCAAACCCAACTTTAGGAGAGCAGAGTCCATAGCATCTCGTCTAGATTCAGTGCAGACTGCAACAGGGGCGTTCGGACTTCTGGATAAGATGATGGAGCCAAGCGATGATAGTTATCAAGCGACGAGGAACGGCGATAGCCCACCGCGCGCTACGCAGCTCGAGTATGATAAATCAGAGTCCCGGCAACTTCGGGACGCTTATTATGGTCGTATCAGCAAGCAAGGTAACTTAGCGGACGGGCAGCCGAACCAGGAGAAGGTTTCTTTAGCAAGCTTAAAGAACGATGCAGGGCTAGGCGGCAATACGCAAAGATCTTCGACTAGAAGAAGTGCAAAGCGGCGATGATCTTGTTCATGCTGAATGAAGGGGGTATGAAATGAATGATGTGTAAGACCCAGTATAGATAGACATGAATGATGTTTAATACCTAATTGTCTAGCTACAACATAGCCTAGGTGAATAAACCAGGCGAGATTTAATGATGACTGGATAAATGATATTCACACGCCAAGCTCTTCACATGCACATGTCTACAAGATATTCCAAGTGTCAGTACATAATTTGTTCCCTATCTGAATATATATCGCTTGACTCTATTGGGTATCGAAAGCATCCTACAAGTAATATGTATACCACCGCTCTGCTCCCCAGGTTCCTAGCATCACTTGCAGACTTCGTAGACGGATACCATTAATTCCAAATACTAGAAGATAAAACGAGACAAGACGCGTCCGAATCCCGTTCATAGGTACTCGAACGGAAGACGGGCGATCCCTCCCGCAGCTCAGCTAGCAGACCGGATAGCCTTACCCTGATACAAACAAGCAAATGGTATCGTGTTCTCGTGATGAATCATCATTTTCGTCTCGTCGTTTTATGTTCTCTCTCTCTCTCTCTCTCTCTCTCTTTTCTTGTTATTTCTTGCTTTCTCTCTCTCTTGCTTTCTTCCTTTCTTCATTGCTACACTTTTTACACTTCCCCCCCTACCCCTTATCCCCTAAACCAACTAGAGAGCAACTTAAATCCTACCACCCATCCACCAACTTCAAACCCCTGCCCCATTCCACAAATCCCCTTTCTTCCGCGGCAGCTTCCATACCCGGTACTAACACACCAAGCGACCAGCGCCCTTCTAAAGCGCCGCCTCGCTCAGCATACTCAGCATCGCAGCCGCCGCGCCCCCAAGCCCAACAGCCCGGATCGTCTCGTCCCGCGCCTTCTTCTTCGAAGTGCGGTCTTCTTTCCGCCCACTACCCCCGCTGTAGTGATCATCGTGGTACTCCCGATCCCGCGTCCGTCGGGACGTCGTACTCGACCCCCCACCCCCGTGGTACCGGTGTCCGGAACTGCGGTGGCGGTGGTACTCCTCGTCCCGATCCCGATCCCGATCCCGGTCGCGGTGTGAGGAGGAGGAATGGTACTCTTTGCCGTCCCGATGATGTCGCTCTTTCGATTGCTCCCGGTGATATCGCTTTTCCCGATCGTGCTCCCTTTCCCTATCTCTATCCCGAACCCGGGACCGGGACCGTTCTCGCTCTCGCCGCTCCCGCTCGCTGCGGCGGTAGGGTAGGCTGCGGGATAGGGAACGCGAGGACTCGTCTATGATTTGCGGGTGGGGGTCGATGCGCACGTGCGGGTCGTCGTTTTTGTTCTTGAGGATCGACTTCGGCTTTACGGTTGCGGCGGGGCTGGTCCCGGCGCCGTTGTTGGTGTCTTTGTCGTTCGGCTTGTCTTTGCCGTTGCTGGTGGGGGGTGGTACGATGAAGGGGTAGGTTTTGGTGCCTTTCGTGGCGTTGGTGTTTTCGGGGTTGGGATCGCCGCTTCCGCGCCGGGTGCCGTTGTTGTCGGTGCCGCCTCGGGCTCGGAAGTGAACTCTCTCGTCTTGGTTGGTCGATGTGGAGGGTGCTGTGGAGCTTCGGCGTAGGTTCTGTTGGGAGTTATGGTAGTTTTCTAGGTAGGAGCTGGAACGCGGGTATGATTGGGAGTACGACGAGGACTCGTGGTGGTCTCGGTCTCTGTCGCCGTAATCTGCCTCGCTGTCGGAGGTCCCCTCGTCGTCGCTTGAGTCGTACAGCGCGCTTACTGAACTCGCCGTACTTCCTTTTCGGTTCCGACGACGGCTATTCACCACGTAGGTTGCACCATTGTCATCAGCGTTGGAGTTGTACCCATCCCTACCACCACCTCCATCTCGCCGCCTCTCTTCCTCCTCAATCACATTCCAATTCCGGTACTTGTCCGGATGATACTTATCCTCAGTTCGCCTCCCACTCACACCATTCCCCGCCGCAATAGTAGCAATAGGGGTAGCAGCAGCATTAGCAGCACTTGATCGCCGGCGTCTCGAATTCCTAGCCTCGGTCGTCCGCCGCGCGAAGTCGGCTACTTGGTCCCGGCTTAACTCTCCTAGTACGGCCACGAAGTCCGGCCGTGCTTCGTACCGCACCCCGGCCCCGGCGAGGACTTCGGGCGATATCAGACGTCGTGAGATACGTGTCCACTTCGCCTCGAGCGGGATCTCCCGACCTTGGCTATCAGGAGCTAGACGTGCATTTCGCTGTTGTAGTGTCGCGAGCGCTTGTTGTTGCTCTAAGCTACTACCGGATGGTGGGATGTGCCGCGAGGGTACTACGGATTGGTCGACGACGACGTTGTGAGGTTGGGATGAGGATGGAAGGGCGGGACGGGATGTTGGGGGTTGAGGATGATGATGATGGGTTGGGGAAGTTGACGTGTGGTAGTTTGCCGACACCGGGACGGTTGGGGAGAATTGATATTGTTGGTCCAGACGCATGGTCCCGGGAGACCTCGCAAGGGTCAGCTCGGCGGCTCGCTTATCGAGCGCCATAAGCTCCCGCGTGGACATGAGCGCCATCGTGTCCTCGTCATCGTCGCCGCTTGAGGAATGACGGTCATAGGAGAGGTAAGTAGGATGATTCGGCATGCTGTGCGGCGGTGGTGGTTGTTTTCGTTGGTCGTCGTCGTCGTCTTCTCCTTCCAAACGCTTCATCCTCATGGATGGAAATAGTTTCTCCTCGTCGATTCCGGACTGCAGCTCCTCCGGACTAAATTCATCCGACGTGGTATGGGTTGGGCACGTTGGGTACGGAGCGATCTGTAGGCCGTCATGAGCCTGAGGCCGGTAATGCTCCAGAAGCCCCCGCACCGAAGGAGTGCTGCCGCCGTTGGCGCTCAGCTGCTCGTCTAACTGGCGGATGTAGGCTCTTATGACGTCCTAGTGCATGAACACATGTCAATATCATGATACTAGATGGGAGGGCCGACAGCGATGATTGGGTTGAATATTAATGAAAAAAGATGAAAAAAAGAAAAGAATGGTCGACAAACCTGATTCTTACGCAACACCTCCCTAGAGAATCCTGCACTTTCGAGCCCGTCCCTAAAACGTTCCCATAACTCCTCTTCGTTCTCATCCGCCAAATTGGAATTCTTCCGCTGGCATATGCGCGTCGCGATAACATCCACCTTATCTTTGATCGAGTCGAGATCCGCGCTATTCGTATCGACCATGCGCCGGGACTTAGACGGGTTGTGCAGCTGGATCGTGTCGAGGAACATGTCGATGTTCAGCTTCTGATTTGCAAGCTTCGACCCTATCACGCCGATCATGTCCTTCTCCCGCCTCTCCAGCATCGTCCACCCCTTCTCCCCGTCCATCCGCATCTTACCATCGCCACCGCCTCCTCCGGCCTTCTTCTCCAAAATGGTGTCTAGCTGCTTCAGGGCAAACTCCGAGTCCTCGAGGATCGGCGTCAGCTGCCGCGCATATACGGCGCTCCCGTCGTCCGCGCAGAGCAAAGACTCAGGATCCTCCGTCTCGAATTTCAGGTGTTTGAGCACCGTGTGCAGGCCGCGCACCGCCGTCGAGATCTCGTCTAAATCAGGACCGGCGGCTCGAGCCCGCTTGTACAGCTTCCGCGCGAAGGCATCAACCCGCTCGATGTCGGCGGGTAGAATGCGATGCGCGCCAGGGATAGATGTACCGGATGCTGACGGTGCTTTGTTCTGGTCGTAAGATGGCATCGCAGGTTGTGTACGTGCGTGCATGCGTTCGCACTTTTTTTCTTTCTTTTTCTTTTTCTCTTTTGGGAACAGAGTCCCTCGAACTCGAGACTCGATCTTTTTAATACTCTCTACCCAGGTATGCTCTGAGATGCTCTTCTTAGGTAAGTGCTAGGTACCTAGTATTGTATGTCGCGGGTTGGTTTATGTGTTTAGCCAACGAGCCAGTTAGCTTGGGTGATGTGATGTGAATTGAGGTATATTGGAGAAAAAAGAATTGGAGAAGGGGAATAGAGAACAGGGAACGGCAAAGTGAAGCGAAGTGGGATTGTGCTGTGCTGATGATGGTTCGGTTCGCCTAGTCCAAAGTTGGGTTATAGACAGACAAGGGTCCAACACGATTGGGCTCGGCTGCGGTCTAGGTCGATCTGGAGATGCCGGAGGCTTATACGGATGTATGTATTCCAGATTTAATATGTCCAAATGTGCGTTTGTTGGTATCACAAAGAACTCGTGGGTTTGGAGTAGGAAGATGCAGATATCTTGTCCAACTTCAAGTCAAGCAAGGAGAAAAGACCAAGCTGACAAGGTAAGGGAAACGCTTAGATATCTGCCCGGGTTTGCTTCTACAGATTCAAGTTGATTGCTACTTTGTTTCGACGGTATCGTCATAGACCAGCCAAAGGTAATAATAATAAAACAATAGAACCCCCTAGCTAGCCAGGATTGTGGTCGTACAATTGTTACGGTATGCTATTGTGAGAATCGATAGATGTGATTCACTCGACGATCGTGTCCTTAGGTAGGTACATAAAATTTCTATGTTACATCTGATATCCAAGAGAGAGTGCCAGAGCGCCTAGAAGGAAGCGGAGTGAAACGCCCTGGCAGCCTGGCTCTACTGTGCTGCCAGGTTGATGTATTAATCCGAATTGGATAAGCGCCGGTCAGACAATCAAGGCACAAGCGAAAGGGACCGAGGGACTAGACAGCTAGAGGAACGCAACGTGTCTGTACTGTCGCCCATATCGAGTGTATGGGGAAAGATGAAGCCGGTCGATTGGAACGATGACCGGTGACGTATGTGCTGATTGCGATGGGCAGGGTGGACTGGATATGTCATCATAATTCGTACTACTTACAGTAACTTTAACCACACGGCCAAAATTCCTGAAAAACACGGCCACTTTCTAATTCGGACTAGCTCAAAGCTCGGACACTACACCTAATTCAGCAGTTTTTTATCGCACATGAGTGCATACTTACTATTAAATTTCAACAAGCAGTTTTAAAGGTGAAATAATTTGATAAAATGACAATTTTTATTGAATACGTAATAGCCAACTAGGAGAATTGATTGATTCAGGTTGCACGTTTATCATACGTATGAATGTTGAGATATTGTATGATAAAGCTTGAGCTGGATGGATGAGTAAGCATATATGTTGACTTCAAGGGGTACTAGGTATCACGTGCAGTAAGAAAGAAAGTATGACTCTCCCACTTTCAACCCTCATAACTTATTCAATAGTAGCTGCATCGAACCGAAATCTATATCAATCTGCTTCTTAAAGCAAGGGCTTCATAATGATATGTTTCATCTGATTGTTAGCATTATATACGAGAAGTTATCTTAGACCTAATATTAGTAAGCAAATCGTGCGATATTCTTTTTCGATACGCGCCGCGGGCGTTAGGTGGCTTACGTAAAGCAAGCGCCATTATGTAATCAATTGATGTGGAGATTCGACAGGTAATTGAACCAATAGTATGACTAGTTAATATATTTGCTTAATAATAAAAAACTTTTTGACCTTTTTACTAAATTAAGTGTAGTGTCCGAGCTTTGAACTAATCCGAATTAAGAAGTGGCCGTGTTTTTCAGGAATTTTGGCCGTGTGGTTAAAGTTACTGTACTACTTGGATCAAATCGTGGCAGGGCTAGCCAATCATCTTCTTCCTTTCCGTTTTTCATCCTTGACGGAATGTCCCAGTGGCTATTCTTCCCCTGTTCATAATCCCTGAATATCGAATCCCAGTCTGACAGTGTCCAGTGCCAGGCACAGCAAAGTCAATCTTGACAGTTCAGACGCAAGACGGTATTCTATGTAAGTAGCTGGGCGTCCGGTGATGGCAGCGGTTTTGAGGCTTTCGACCTTGATCCTTGGAAATCTCGAAACTTTACGATGGTTGGATGGCGAGAAGGACTAGAAGACCTGTCTGACCTGCTGACTTTTGACTAGTATTCGATGGGGTTCCCTGCGCCACGCACCTACTAGTTGATCTAATTACTGACATGCATAGCGACCCGTCTGCCCGTATTTATCTGCCGTATCCATGTATATGTCATGATAGGAACGCATATGACCGCATATTTTTTTCTTCTTTTTGCCTTCTCCATATCCTGTTAGTCATACTAGCCGTAGTAAATCTCATCGTTTATATGCAGGGTCCTCTGTCTAGATTTTCCGGCAACATGGCAGCATGGATATGTATCAACGCTGCAAAGTTGGTTTATTTATGACAGACGGATATGCCCGAAGTGTCTCAGAAATAGTCGCGCAGAGATGTAGTGCTACTGTGAGCCGTGACACGACCTTCTCGCCATGGCATTATTTTTTTCGTTCCTTCTCCGCAATGCGATTTCGTCGATCTGGGGAACCTAGATAAAATGTATAAGATTACCGGGTTGCCAGTAAGACGGTGACAAACACCGATGGCTATGCCTTTTTCTTCCGTAAGAAAAACCATGGCTCACCTGTCACAGCCTTACCAGCCCCTCAGCAAAAATACGGTGCAGCGAAGACAAGGCAAACTAAGACTGACAGACCGAGAATCTGAGATGAATGAGGCGAGGCTCCGACGCGATCTACAGGACCGCATCATTTGATGACAATGTCCGATATCTACCTACGTATACATGCTATGTACAATGCAGCACCTATGCAGATGACGCTTAAGATGGTGCTTCTCCACGTCAATCGTTTGTGGATTATCGTCGCATAGTATCAACTGTATATGTGCTGGACGGCAAAATCTTACATATTGATATAAACCTCCTGATGTTTGCATGGCCTCGGGTAAGTAGCCTGCCTGAAGTTGACGCCGCACATGCCGCTCGAGTCGGTGTACTTACTGGCTTGGCTGTCTGTATGTTTAGATACCTAGGTATTTACCTACCTACCTAGTACCTACTACGCCGTATGAGCTGACCGACGCTGTGTTGGATACCTACCTACCTAGGTGTGTGCATGGATGGAGCTTCAATTTGGAGCAATATGGAGCAATATGGACCTTAAGTCTCAACGCTAACTGGGCTAATTTCTGTAACCTCCAATTGAATCTGATTGAATCCAAGATGACTTTGTCGTCGGGCGGAAAAGAAGGGGGGAAGTGTGTGTTCGCCTCCGCATTCAGCCGCACAAATTGACATAAATGTCATGAAAGCCATATGCTGCCATACGTGCGAACGTGTGCGACGGCGTCATGTTGCGGCTACACACTAGATGCGTTGGTGCCATCGTACTACGGCGAGTATATTGAGTAGGGCACGAGAAGTTTACAACCCGAAGTCGGCAAACAATGGGATTGGGTGAATGTACAGGTATTGTTTCCTATCACACCCATCAAGGAGCTGTGGTGTTGCGTTAGATGAAAAGTGCACAAACAAACAATTGTCGGGATTGTACTCGACGGGAGGTTTGTGACACGACCTTGTTCAACTGTAACTCTAGATTTTGGAACTCGGTCCGAAAGTTGTGACGAGTCTCTAACCACAATCTATTGAGATGCCAGTTGGCACAACTCATAAGATAGGGAGATGGTCGTGTGGGTATCGACATTGGGTCTAGAATGCAGCTTCGGTTGAGCCTCATTAATTGGGCGTAAGAATATACCTAGGTCCTAAACCAACAAGAATTTCACAGTCCGGTAAATAATCTAGAGCCGCAGCGAGCGCGAATATCATCGGAAATCTTATGAGGAACGGGCCAAAGGAACTGCTAATAACCTAGAATCTCGTCACGGGCCGTAAAGCAAGGTCAGTAAAATAGGGAATGTTGAATGAAAATTATGTTGAGCTTCCGAAAAGGACCGAGAGTCCAAGTAGATACCATTCACAACTCTTGAACACGATAAGCGTATCTAGAAACTCGGGTTGATTCGCGATCTAACAAATCTGTTAGGCCATTCATCGGAAGAGCCTCATATTGCAATCCTTTCTAACGAGTAATGTCCGACCTGCTGACTCCTAAGATGACCAGTCTCCCTTTGAGACCTGTCAACTACCTCGCCACCTGATACAACCTTCTGCGCAGAGACTCCACCTTTCGCCTTGAGCCCCAGAGGCAATGCTTGAGAGCCTGGATCCTTTACGTGTAGCGGTATCGGCCTCATTTTGTCCACAACGCCTTCGACTTTGGTTTTCTTCGACGACTCGCAATACCTTACCGCCTCGCTGATAACACCACGGAGGTAGACAGCTTCTTCTAACCCCTCTAAAGCTGCGCTAACTTCGAATTTAAGAGAAGCGACGAAATCGCCGGTCTCATCGGCTGCTAATACGGCGTCGTTGAGGAGCCAACCGCCAGGCCCGATAGAGTCTACGCAGCGTCCGAGAAGGTCTGCGATGAGCTTGATAACGCCGTCGGGTGGAGCGTCAAGGTTTGCGTCCTTTTCGAATTCCGTTATATCTAGGTAGCGAGATGTCCACGCACCCCTGACCAACTCGACACGGAGGAGATAGATTAGGGACAAGATCTCTTCCGGCTTGAATGTAGCTCGTAGTGCTTTGATCATAGAAATGTTAGGACAATTGCCGAGCTTTGCAAATGCCACACTTAACCCAGAACCACGGATACCGGCGTCTTCGTCTAGATAAGACACAGTCCTCTGGATTTCATCCTCGAGATTGTCTAGTTCCATGCCGATGTTACTAAGCTCTGAATCTCCCTCTCCTTCGCCGTCCCCATTTGCTTCCCCATTTTCAATTATTTCTTCGGTTGTGCCATTGGTAAGAAGCTTTGGCGGCAGTTGCTTAGGGTCTTGGACCAACTCGAGACTCCTCATGATCGTCCGTACAGCAATGACCAGCTCCGTCGCCCCAAGATTCGTAGCAGAGATATAGGAGACAAGAAGTTCGAGTGTAGGATCGACATCTGCAAGTCGAAGCACAATTTGTTCAGCCAAGAATGAATCCGTCTTTTCGTCGTCCCTGATCACTTCTCGGAAGCTGGTCTTCAGATTAGAGAGCGTTAGGTGCCCGGCATCGACAAGGTAATTGACGATATCGCTCTGTGGTAGCTGGCAGATAAGCCGAGGGATAGTTGGGTCATCGCGGAAAGAGTCATTCCATTGGAAAGCCCGGCTGATGGCGTATACAATCCATCTTCGGTCCACAGGAGGGTATGCTGCCCTAGTCTTTGGCCATATCCACGTCGACGAATATTTCGGTGGGTTGGATAACCCTTCCCCTGCTTGACCTACACCATTCGGCATTTGAACCGCATTTTGGACTTGGATAGAGAATTTTTGAGCCAGCATTAATTCGAGACCGCGTATATCGTTCGTGTTAAGTAAGGCGTCGGCTTTCGCTTCATCCGTAGCCCACGATTCCCAATAATCACCTCTGATAGAACCTGGGATATAATTGGAAAAGAGGGAGGTTTTTATCTCTTCGCTTGAGGGCTGAGTTGGTTGGGCGGAGGGCCTTCTAGGAAGCTGCACGCCACGCCCGATAGAATCGATCAAGAGGCCTTCAGCCCGTCGCTTTCTCGTTCGCAAAATAGGGGCCTCTAGTTGAATGGCAACCAAATTGGCATCAATAATGGCAACGGCAAGTTCCAAGCGGGAAAAGTAAGCAGCAAGTAAGCAGGCTGCCGGCTTTGGGTTGGCGGTAGAATCATCCTGAATACCGGAATCGATACGTACGGAATTTTGGAAAGACCGGTATATCGGATTATAAATGCTTAGGTGGGTAGGGGTAGAACAGAGAAGTGAAGTTTTGCTGAGGCGTAGGAAGGATGTTGCGTCACTCAACTCTATGGTCGACGTTATCCTGGGGATACTTGTCGTTAAGTCATATATATTGAATGCTTGTCCACGGAACTCTATCAAGCTTCCAGACCGAATATCAAGGCGGTACGAGGCTGTACCAAACCCATGCGCAGAAGTAGGGATAGGTACAGCATGTAACTGGATAACGCCTTGTTGATGAGGGCTGCTGGAATCGTGAGAGGGTGGAATTATCGACAGAACATGGAGTCGGCGGCTCTGTTGTCCATCTAACTCGTGACTCGAGATGAGCACCAGAACCTCGGCATCGGTGTTCAAGCCTTGTTTGATCTCTGGGAAGAGACCAAAAGCATCGTCGCTACCCTTGAATATGCCTTGCACAAGATCAGATAGAAGCACGGGGTAGCAAGAGATGATGCTGAAACCGAGTTTTGAAGTTGTGGGGAGGTCCTGTTGTAGAACGGCAGGAGACGAGTTCCATTTTCTCTCTAGAGTGTCTGGATTGAGGCAGATGACTTCGCCATCCTCCCTAACGATAAGGAGTTCATCCCCTAGCGTTTGGCAGTTGGTATGCCTTTGTGCCGTTGACACGGCAATGGGAGCAACACAAATAATTGGCCGACCAACACCCAAGGATACTGATTTGGCAATAGAATCAGTGTTGCCAGAAGCATCCACATAGTCTTTGAATAATGTGACCTTGTTTTCGTGAGATTCTCTCGTCGCGGCATACGTGTGCCTAGAAACCTCTTGGGTTCCCTCTACCTTGCGCCGAATGGAAGCTATAGAGCACGAGAATGAGGATTGGGGAGGAACCGGGTACGATGTGACGAGTCTAGCTGAAGAGACCTATATAACATAGTGAGCAATAGCCAATCCACATTGCGATCGAGTTTCGACATTCTCACATTGTAGATATTCACGGCTTCTCCGTCAATTCCTACTGCTAGTTCATGGCGCTTTCTTTTCCTTGATCCGGGCGCAGATCCATAGACTTCGCTAACGACATATCGGCCAGTAGTAGGGTCAAGAGGTCGTGGTAATGAAGCTAGCACATATGGCTTCTGTATTTGAAAGTGTGAAGCCATACTGGACCTAAAGTCGACAGTATTAAGGATTTAATAGAGATGATCTATAACCATTTATAACGATTGGCTGTATGGTTGCGATGTGATAGAGAATGGATGAAAAAAAAAGTTGTAAAATCGGAGGCAGTTTGCGAAAACACCGATCCGACGATTAGGCGGGACTAGGGTGCACTACAGGGATAGCAAGCCTTTTTCTTGGTGGGGTTATTGGTACTTAGACCGGTCCTAATTGAGTTAGACGTTGTAACTGCACCTCTTAATTGATGGCCAAAAGGCAGTCGCGTAGGACGCGCAGTAATCCCTAGTCAGACGCGACTTCTTGAATATTGAGTCGGCGAATTCACATCAAATTCACAATTGAACTGAGCAACTTTTTATTTTTAGTTTTCGCCTTCTCAACTTTCTTAGTACATACATACCTAGTCACCTTCAGTTGTCTATCATCATATTCCTATCATATTATTACAATTACATCGTCAAAGAATGGTTACAATATCGCATTTTAACTGTGTCCTGGATACCTTTTAAGGTATATCTATCAATGATAACCATAGACGCCGTACATACTAGATATCTGTACTACTATCGTCATCATGAACGGGCAGAGCGACAACGCCGATACGAAATGCAAAAAGCTTCACCCGTTTTTCTCGACAAACAATAATTCTAAAGATGGCATGTTAAACGTCACAACTCCCGTTACGCCAGATCCATCGTGTAGTCCCAATTCTGTCGACGCTGCCGATACCGCCGACACTGCTGACACCGCCGACAATGACGCCGATCAGAGTCCTCCGTCTAGCATGCTGAAGAGAAAGCTAGGCGAGACAAGCGATGCCCAAGACACATCCATGTTAGGTACGAGGCCTTAGATGACAATGAATTACTGATTACTGTGCACCAAGTACCTTATGATATAATACTTATCTCTGACATAGCTTCGACTTCTAAGCCTTCAAAAGTATTGAAATTGAATCGCGCAACCGGCACAATTGGCTCCCCCCCGAAACCAAAACCTACCACGAAGAAGACATCGAAACGCGGCCGAAAACCCAAGACGTTCCTGGTTTCTATATGCTATGGCAAGGAAGATGACAATTCCCGGTTTCAAATTGGGAATAAGATACACCAATTGCTTACCAGTCCTAATTCCCAAGCGATGATAGCAACGGCGCCGAAAGATAACACTTCTATTCTCCCGGAAACACCACCCTCGAGCCGAGATGTTGAAGCAGCACCTAAAAAACCCACTCATCCATTCTTCCAAGGGAAAACGAAGACTACCACAATAGAAGCAGTAGAAGAAAAGCAGAAGCCCCAGAGGCGAGTATTCTTCAGCTCGGCTAACTCGTCGAAAAATACGCGGCCGGCTTCTGGCAGATTCGATCTCCCAGCCCCTGGCGTCAAGTCCAACACTCTCAAGATACCGGGAGCGCAGCATCCAGCTTGGCCATCGAAAGAGACGGCACACGTACGTGGTGATGTGTCGCATCATTTCAGCAACCCTAGTCCTGCAGACGAGGAACAATGCCTATGTCTTCAGAATAAACGGAAGGCAAAAGGGCAACAAGTCCAGATCCCCGAATCAGAGTCGATACTACGTCAGACTGCGTCGAAGCTAAATTTAAAGCAGCTGAAGAAGGACATGAAATTTTACGACGACGAATTCCAACCTCCTCCGCCCGTCTTAAGGGTCCCCACTAGGTATTTCGAAAGTGGAAAAAAATTACAGGTGCGCGTATCTAGCGAGTTAGTGACATTTCATCCGCGCAGTAATACCTCGAAGACGCACCCAGCGCTCACGCATGCGTACAACTCTATCGAGAAGAGCCTATCTGCTTTCGACAAAGCAACATGCGAAACGAGCGCGTGGTCCCAGAAGTACGCACCCTCATCCGCAGAACGAGTGCTTCAGAGTGGCCGGGAAGCCGAATTATTACGTGATTGGCTAGAGAATCTCAAGGTGCGAGCCGTAGATTCGGGATCTAAGCCAAAGATAGTGGCTCCGACAAAGGCAAAAGGCAAAAGGAAGAAGCTAGACGGGTTCGTTGTTTATAGTGATGAGGAAGGGAGTGAATACGAGTTGGACGAGATATCTGACACGGAAGGGGACTGGTCACAAAGCAGCGGCCAAGGCAATGCGAAGAAGACGGTCATACGGTCCGGTTCTGCTCGCCAAGCATCTCGAGATGGCGGTCGCTTTGCCAATGCCGTGGTCCTTAGCGGCCCACATGGTTGTGGCAAGACGGCTACTATATACGCCATCGCCAAAGAGCTCGATTTCGAGATCTTCGAGATTAATTCGGGTTCTAGAAGGAACGGGAAAGACATTCTAGAAAAGGTCGGTGATATGACTCGAAACCATCTCGTTCAGCACCGCAATAAGGAAGACGTACCCCAAGAAGAGGACGCCTTGGAAGACGAGGTAGATCGAGATTTGAAGTCTGGCAAACAGGGAATGATGACTGCGTTCTTCAAACCGAAGACAACTCCAGCTCCAGCTCCAGCTCCAACCAAGAAACCCACTGATTCGCCCAGTTTCAAGGAGGCAAAGAAGTCACCTAAAGCTCAGAAGCAGTCTTTAATTCTACTCGAAGAGGTCGATGTGCTGTACGAGGAGGACAAACAATTTTGGGCAACCATTATCTCTATGATTGCTCAGTCAAAGCGTCCTTTTGTAATGACATGTAATGACGAAGCATTGGTTCCATTACAAGGTCTCAATCTACATGGCATTTTTCGTTTCTCTAGTCCGCCAAAAGACCTTGCCGTCGACTTGCTGCTTCTGATCGCCGCCAACGAGGGTCACGCTCTCCAGAGACACACAATCGAGACGCTCTATGATTCGCGCGGTCACGACTTCCGTGCCTCGATAACTGAGCTTAACTACTGGTGCCAGATCGGAGTTGGAGATGTACAAGGAGGATTCAATTGGTTCTATCCGAGATGGCCTAAAGGGAGTGATGTTGACGAAGACGGCAATGTCATCCGGGTGGTTAGCCAAAATACCTACCAAGCTGGCATGGGCTGGCTTAGCAGAGACTCGGCGATCGATAGTTTATCGTCTCGTGCGACTGAAGAAGAGCTGCATCAACAAGTCTGCCAAAACTGGTCTCTCGATACGCTGGATTATCGTCCTCAAGATGAATATTCTTCTTGGGCGGCTACAGCTGCTGAGCGATGCTCTTCAGCCAAGGAGAGGCTTGAGCTTTTGGAGTCAGTTGACTCGTACATCGGCTTCATGAGTGACGCCGATCTTGGCTTGTCCGACTTCTCGGCCATACCTAATAAGATTTCCATGGATCCGACCATCCCCAGCCTACCAGCGAAGGCAAAGGATGATTTTATCATTGGTCGGCAGCTGATCGAAGTATCCCCTGCCGTTTATTATGATACCACACGTTTTGATATGGCTGCTAGTTTAAAGCACCTAGGAAGACGACAATTACAAAGTAGACAAGATATCGACAGGGTTTCAAACATATTCAAACCACTAGACGAGACCGAAGTCACCACTAGGTTGAAGGACCATCTCAGTGGACATCTAGACACACAGCCGGCTGTCGCACGAATAGATTACAGTCTCGCGTTCGACCCTATCGCCGCCTCGGAGAAAACCATGGCGGCAGGCTACCTCGATCCCTCCGTGTTCGACGGGACCATGGAATCGATTTGCATCGACGTAGCCCCTTTTGTTCGTAGCATCGTATCATACGATCAGCGACTACAAAAACAACGAGTTTCCCGCAGCAGTCTGCTCAGCGAAGGCGGACAGGTGGGAAAGAAACGTATGCGCACAACAAGAAGTGCGTTATCGGCCCTGGAAGGCGGTCCACGGGCTAGTACAAGACGAGAGAAATATTTCTCCGCAAGCATCAATCCCTATCTCGTGATGCGGACGGGTGGTAAAGGATGGGATGGAGTTGTGGCTTCAGTTATGGACGAGTCAGGGGTCACAAGGAAAATCGCAGCGAACCCCCATGTTGAACCAGGGCAGCAGGATGTGGAGTAGAGGTGACCCGATCGAACTTGAGCTGCGATCGGATATCTCGACGTTGCGTAGCTAAGTCTGGGTGTGTATATACTCGGGGTTCATAAATATCGGACATATCCATACACTTGTGTTGCAGTAGGTATATCTTTAGGGCTCATAGGCATTGCGTGGCGTTGCATTTTATAGGCTGGCTACATCGGTGCTGCAAGGGGGGGTCCGACGTTAGACGATGGCTAGGCATATCATACATTCTTCACATTCACGCAGATCACATATAGCTGAATGAAATACATAAAAAGCGACGATGCCCGACTACTTAGGTGGTATGTAAGAAGTCTTTAAGATATTTCTATTTCGACCCGAAACAATACAATGCTACCTATGGATACAAGTCATGATACAGATGAATGAATGCGCGCTATAATCTATACCTCGGCGTACCCCGCAGCCTTTAGTAATACGGTGCTCTCGTCTCTATGCCGTAGACAAATATACACCGCTAAATGAAAAGTGTGGTATCATGTTAAATGTAAGTTTCCCATTTCCAAAATCATTCCTCATACATATTCGATTTCCCATGTCTAATTCCCGTCTGTCTGCCCGTCTGCCCATCTAACCTTGTTTTAGTCGTTGATATGAAGATATCGTGTGCTCGGACAGGCAGGGATTACGCGGCCTTCGTCAAGGACATGCATGGTTGACAACCGGTATCTTGCAGGATTTGAACATCCCATCGAGAACCGATAAGACAGTTGAGCCGAAATATAATACCTGGAGTCTAGAACCTGGGGCAAAGTCGGTAAAAGTGTGAGGCGTTTTCAAGCCCATCAAGCCTCTTCTTGTCTATTTGTTTTTTCGTGCTTCCTGCTCTTAGCGACAAAAGCAAGACATACAGCCACACCTAAAGCGGCAAGGCCAATGCCCATATAAAATGCTCCTCGGTACCCTTTTAATAAATCCACTGGGTTTCCTCCACCATTGTTGACCTGCGTTTCGACCGTTCCCGCAAATCCCAGACCTAACGAGATGCTGTAATTTACTACCGTGTTAACCAAACTCGCAGCGATTCCCTGGTGTTTTCGGTGTACGGCGTCGGACAGAATAAGGGTCGCTGCTGGGAAGCTCATATCCATACCCCAAGGCATAACGATGATCGAGACGAAAAGCTGTGCCCAATAAGTCTGCTCGACGGGACAAGTCGCGAGGATGGTTATACCTGCCGTGAAGAAGACGAGGGCCATGGTCATGACAATTGGCGGTCGTAGACGATGCAACGAGTAGCCTGTGAAGAGCGCGGCACATAATCCCGATAAAGCAGCGGGAGCGAACTTGGCAGTCGCTAGCAGGGGAGAATCGTGTCGAAGGTTGAGCTGGAACTGCCAGGTATAGAAGAACCAGATTCCAAAGCAAGACCAACCACATGCTATAGCACCCAAGACGAACGATACGTCGTACGAAAGAGCGTGGAAAGGAATCAACGGGTTCTGTGCATAACTCAACTCATACACGAAAAACGCAGCAAGGAGCAGCAAGCCGAGAATCAGCGTCACATAGACATACGGCTCGGGCCAACCAACAATAGGAGCCTGGTTCCATGCGAAGTTAACCAGGACGAGGCCGGCTACACCGAGAATGGTTCCCACCATGTCGAGCTGTTGTAGCGTATCCTTGAAACCTTTCGGCTTCTCATGGTGATGCGTATTGGAAGCTTCGGGGATGGCGTAGTATCCTATGACCATAGTCGCGGCCAAGATAATACCAAATGCGAAGAAAGCCCAAGGCCACCAAGCCAGGGCAAATATAGCAGCAAATAACGAACCAAGGACAGATCCGATAGGAGCCATAGCACCGAAGAGGGCGAATACCATCTCCTTCCGTCGTCCGGGAGCATAGGTAACGCCGAAAATAGCTAACCCGTTCGGAAGGACGACTGCGGGACCGATACCTTGGAGGACGCGGGCGAAGATGAAGAGGACGTGATTCGAGTAGACAGCAAGTCCGCAGATGACACTCCAGATAGAATACCAACCCATGCCGATCAAGAACATGGTTTTATGGCCATATAAATCTCCCAGCCTTCCCGAAAATAGGATGAAGGTTCCTATCGTCAAACTGTATCCGGCCATGAACCAACTCAACTCTCCAGGATTCGTGATGCCGAAGGTGTCGCCAATGGTCTGGATGATACTGATCGCTTGACCGAGACCGGCCTCTTCATGCGGATGTTAGCCAGAGGATATCCCGAGCATGGGAACAAGAGACTACGACTCGAAGACTTACGTGTGAAAAGCTGTCCCGAACAAATAACCATGACGAATAGGGCCTCTTGAGGGAAGGGAAGCGTTGCGGCGATGGACATGTTAGTATCGGTTTTGGTCAGGCTCCGACCCTTGATACGTCTCTCATTATCTTCATTGTCTTCATTTTCTTCCCTCTCGATACCCTCCACACCATCCTTCTCCCTCTCATCGCCACTCGTCCACATGTCATCTCGCATAGGCGTCCGCGTCCCGGCGCTCATTATCATGGAACCGGCAGAAAGCGGTGGCACGCCCGGCGAGTCTGGCGCCCTTTCCGTCCAAAAGCTCCCATGACTTCTGAGGGGAACTTCGGTGACGCTAGAGGCCCCGGAGCTTACGATGCCATCGCCGGGCACGTTCTGACGCTCGTCATCGACGGCCATATTCGTTCGGTACGCAGGCCTAGGATGGACCGATGTCCTGATGTCCCGACGTCTTGATACTTACCAGTATCTCGATATCTTCTTGCTTAGATAGCTAACGAACAGGCTTCGAAGCGATCAGCGAGCCCAACGTCAGAGAATGGCATAAGAATCAAGAAAGCAAGGTAGATCGATCATCAAGGTATGAAAGAATCTACGCCGCAACTCTTGATATTCTAATGAGAACTCGAGAAGAATTCCAGAGGCTCAACAGAGTAAATTGACGGGACCATGGCACGCTCATCAGATGGCGAAAAGAGATCACATAATCCCAGACGATAGATACGTACCTTCACAGCTGAATGGGTCCTGAAGCATTTGTAAGGATTAATAAAGGCAGTTCGAGAAGGAAGATAAGCTTACTTTTCTCCCGACTCAGACCCAGCCTGGCTGTCCAGGGGCTTTCCTTGCAAGGATCTTTGAGGGTGTCTACGGTACCGATCCGCCAACGGCCGGGCTTGTCAAATAAGAGTTAATTCTACGCCAGCAGATGGATCACAATGGATCTGCTCTAGTGGCCTTATTCGATTTTGCATTAATCAAATTGTATAATTACCTAGTATCTCCTAGTACCTAGGGAATCTAGTCTGAGACAAACGGCTTATTGACGGATTAGGAGTCGGAACGCCGAATAAGTGCGACTAGCCTCGGAGTTTTTCGCTCTTTTTCTTTCAACGATTCCAACAATTTCTCTTTGACCGGTTCATTTAAGTAACTAAAGTCACTAAAGTTACTAAAAGTCGAGTACATCATCGCGTAGGGCGGTATTTATCTGCAGGCTGCGGGTATTAGAGTCGCCATTAGTTGCCCTATTCAGATTTCCAGATTATCAGATTTCTACATCAACGCATCAGAAGTTCATAACTTGGAACATTAATTACCTAGTACATAGGTACTGCTACCTCTACCCACCTTCTTAGCATTTGCATCTGCATCTGCATCTGCATCTGTATCTGCGACATCGGGCCGTAAGATGTCCTCCGTATCGTCGAATATTACTAGTATTTAATATGACAACTTCAACAGACGAGCTGAACAAAGTTAGACAAGGTCGGAGCTGGTTTCTAGCTTCGGCCGGACCCAACGTGTCGATGATGCAAAGATGCAAAGTGATCCACGATGCAAGGGGGGATCTGCAGCCGTCCGCCCTAAACCCTGCTCTTATCATATGGCAGCGCTGAGTAGGTACCTACCTATTAGCTCTGGGCAACTCTGGGCAACGCTACCGCACCTGCTCACTCGCATATCACTGGCCGTTAGCCACTTGTTAGCGACTATGAATAGCGGCTCGCATGTGAAAATGCCTGTAAATGCCTGTAAATGCTTGTAAGATGCCTGTAGGATCATTTCTCCAACAGCCCCCAACGACCTCCAATGGCACCTTTTTAAAGAAGGTCTGCGTCGGTATTTGGAAACATGAGGAATCTACACTGCTACCTTATGCTCCCACACTCCCACGCTCCCACGTTCTCATGCTCTCCTTTATCTAATGCATACGAAGTTGCATATGAAGTTACATATGAAATAGGGCAGGTAGGCACAATTGCGCGGGATTTGCAAATAATCCTAGGATTTTACGTACCTAGGTAGGTACGGAATCCTGTGGGATCTGTTTGACATTGATTACCTGTGGTATTGCAGACACAGGCGAACGTGGTTCCAAGGTTCGCGACGTACAGAGTACAGGTAGGTCTGCATCTTTGATTCTTCATTACAGGCGTGTCTTAAAACCGACGCATCGCACCCCAATCACTCCAATTATCGTCATCGTTTACGCATGGTTCCCACACCGAACGAGGTGATAGGTCATTCGAGACTCAACACATCCCTTTTCGGTATGCCGATTAATATCTACGACCACCAACACTACCGCCACTACCTAGTACGGATACAGTGGTAATAATGCAGCCTCCCGGGACGGGCGGATCCGCACAGGTCCGTCCGTAGGTAAGGTGAGAGTCTCGGGTGCTCACCGACACTTATCAACGGGTGGTCGCCTGCTTACCTATATATAAGCCATGAAGCCACAAAAGTCGTAAGAGTAGGTGAAGAGTTGCACAAGACGGTGGACAAATACGCCAGATCGAAACCGGATCTTGATTTCGTGCAGACGCAGACGCAAGACGCTTATGCCGGAACCCTAAACTGCGCGGCATGAACGCCTCTTCTGCCGGACACGCATATGGGTATTTAGTGTCATTCTGCATAGGTACTACCTACACTCCAACCTGCCTACTAGGTACCTACCTGGGTACCTATGTTACTTGGCTCAGTTCTGTGATGCCTATAAAAGGGCCTCTCCTATAATAAGGAATGGTTTACCGTCCGTGGCCCTTTTGAGCCGCTCACCTTCTTCGATATGCCGGCTAGCGAGACAGCACGAACGAAAGCGCATAGTTGCTTTGGGTTTGCCGGTGTTTGCGTAACACCGAGGTGACGGGCTGAGGCAGATTCATCCCGTCTATCGGTCCTGACAAAAGAGCATGCCATTCTGCGGAGAGCGAAGGGGATTTGAGATGAAATGGCTGTACCTATTTAACGTTGAGGTGGCCGGTCGATCATGGCCGCATCCCTCTTCTGCGGTTTGTCGGAGTAGTGCCACCATACCTCTCACGTATTACAGCAGGAGTTGAACCAGGCATATCGTCTTCTAACCCAGGTTCTGCTGTTTTCTTTTTCTTTGCGCTTGTCGCTGGGAATTGCCTGACTGAAACATGACTTCGCCGAATGACCCTCAAGCCAAGGTGTATTCCCACATCAACGGCACCGAGAGCGATCTCCAAGCTAGACTGATCGTCTCCGAGCTGTGCAAGGGTTGGCCCGTCTACCGAGACGCATCCGAGTGGAAGAACTTCCGCTCTCTCTTCTGCGATGACGCGTATGTCTGGACAAGTTAGTATTCACCTACCTGCCTCTATCCATAGCCAACCACCTCGGGTATTTCAAGGCTAATCGCTGGATCGTCTAGCTTGGAGTAAACGTCAGACTATCGACAACTTCATCGAGAAATCAAAAGAGGGGAAATCGAAGGGGGATTTTATCATGCATCGTGAATGCGGTACGTTGGTTGAGCTCAATCTTTCGAAATCCAGGGCCGTCGGCAAGATGAAAGCGACTATTACGCAACGGTTTGCGATTGGGATGGACGCTTTGATGGGGACCGAGCCTATCGTATTCGACGTGGATTGCGATTGTCGGTTCCATTTCTTCTGCCTTCGCGACTCCGGCTGGAAGGTCAAGTATGTCAAGTTGATATACGAGAAAGACAAGCTCATACCCGTTGACGGCAAAACCACGCCGAGCTTCGCTAAGGAAACCCTCGATAGGTACCCGGAGGGGTACAAGTATCTTGGTGCGGCTCAGAACATGCTTGGCCACGACGTTGATATATCTCTTCCAACTATCCAAAATCCGGATCTCGGCACAGCAAACCCCCTATGGTTGGAATTATACGACAAGATGGGGGAGTGGCTTGACGGGGAAGATGTTGACTTGTCGACCCCTTCATAGCTGGGGGGAATCAGCGAGAAGGGGGCGAAACGGGCATCGGCTAGATGGTATTATGAGTTACATATAAATGAAATGAGAATATCAAAACGTGTTGAAAGATTGGCATAATATGTCGGTTTGCTAGAACTCAAAGTAAATTGCTCTGGGTAGGTAGACACGTAGTAGGTAGGTAGACCTATATTCGTTTGAACATCCCACTTCTTATGCATTTTTCATGGTAAGCCATGGTCATACCTATTAGCAGCCACGCTTTTTAATCACATCAAGAAACATCCGCATCAAATTTCGATTAATCTAATACAGAAACATTCTCCGAGCGGTCGGTCGATGTGAAGGATGCCGTCGCAACCGATTACATCGCCTCAGCTCGAGCGGCTTTCGTATAGGTACATGACTGCATACCTAACCAAGGTTCGCATCGCCATGCGCGTATCACCATCGAATAATCGACTCCAAAACGCTCAGCTGAAAGCTCGCGTCGAGATTCTCGTATAATAGTTCTTGGCCTCAACTTATACGGCGTACCGAATGGCGCTTCTGAGTTTATCATCAAAAAGTCAAGGCATAATCGCACCAATCTTCCAATCTACATACCTGCCCTTATGAGAATGACGTTAGGCTGTTTACGTACGAATGGTTGTATTCGGAGCCGCAACGTTCCATCCCTCGACGAGCGTAGTAGTTGAAATTAGAGTGTAATATAGCAAACAGGTTGTCAGATACATCTGGGTGACTGAAACTTCCTCCAAGTAGATTAGGTACCTATGGTCACCGATCATTTAGGGCAGCTAGCCAAGATCCCGGTTGTGCGCCTATAGAAGAGGCGGGATAATCGGGGCGACGGAGATCTGCGATTTCTTGGCTCTCCTCTTCCCCCCCTCTGCTAGGCGGTTGCGCTCAGGGGCAGAGGCCAATTTTGCCGAGGAACCGACGGATCTACAGTGGTGCGTACATAGGCGAGAAACGCTTCGGTGAGACTGTCAAGCATCTCATGATGATGATTGCAACATACCTACTACCCAGTTGCCCAGGGCTATGATTAATCTCATACACACAGACACATCAACACGATGGGCAATTCAGCCTTGGTAAAGCCCAGGGTTGTTGATAGGCTATATTCCAAGGTGTAAGGGAGCTTTACGACCGCTCGTCGTTTGCGGTAGCCAATTATAGGTTGAATAAGGCCGTATACCGAGTATCTGGCTGCTCGTTTACTTTCTCCGCGTTTTCACGGCGAGCCGCCCGTTCTTCAAGATGCGGGCATAAAAACTACCAGCGTTGATATATAAACCCTTAGGTATGCTAGACACGATCATCGAGACAAATGTTACTCTCCTACATAGAGCACTAATCCACCTACTCATCACGAATCTTAGAACTCATCAATACCGTAATATATCCTCAAAACTCTTAATCCCCGAGATCTACCCCATCCCGCCCGCCAAAATGTTCCATAACAGCGTCTGGCTAAGCCTCTTGGCCCTCTCCACCCTCACTAATGCCTCCGTGCTAAACCGGGATCCAACCCCCACAACGACAACGGCTCCGGGGACTAGCTCCACCACATGCGAAAACCCAAACCAAACCACCGGTTATCCGGACTACAACGCCTTCTGCCAGTGTCCGCCGTACACGGCCGATTCCCCCGCGTACGGGAACCCATACCTCGGCCTCGTCCGCTGCGACACTAAGTGCGCCCCCGCCAACCCCACCCAGGTCGCCACGCACCCCGAGAACGGGAGCTTACAGGATTGTATGAATGCCTGTACCGGGTCTTTCGAGAAGGCGAAGAGAGCGGAGGAGGGAGGGTTAGAGGCGAGACAGGGGGATCCGGATTATTGGTTTTGCCACGGGGTTAATTTTATACAAGGCGAGCTATGCGAGTTCATTGGACAGCTTGGTACGAGGGAGTTTGTGGAGGGCGGTTCGGATTGCTTTTATGTTGACGGACTTGATTCTTGAGAGTCGAGTACCCGAGTACCCGAGTTTAACAGGATTTAGTACTGACTATGAAATGGAAATGTTGTAATTACCGCGATATGAAACTTTTCATGAAGAGCAGAACTAGAGAAAAGAAAACCCAAAGAAACTCTTCTCATACAATTACCCTCGTTAAACTCAGGTACCTATTTGTACGCGATAACCACTTCCCACGTCCCATTTCCTTTAACGATCATTGTCAAAAAGGGCGTTAACGCCGGCAGCGTCGTCGGCGGGGTTGTTAGCATCGGCGTTGTTAACATCGGCACTGGTGCCGCTATTGGCATCAGCATTCATAGAGTACCATAGGGTCAAAGGATTAAATAGCACTAGTGCTACTGAGAGAGAGCGGGCTTAGGCGTTTGGTTAGACATATGAGAGAACGCGTAGTGTTCGAATCCAACTTCTCTCGCCTTTAAAGATGCAGCAAGGACTTTCATTCGCTCACCTCGTCCCCAAGCGTGGATGTTCGTCAAAACATCTTGTAAGCGACGAACCCCCTCAATATCTATAATCGTATACGCCCCAACGCTGTCCATAATATACCAAGGAGCTGACATCTTATTATCAAACCACATAATCCAAAGTTCTGCTAACAAACTACCTAGGTACTCATCGATAGCGCGAAGACGACATTTTGCTCAAGCGGGAACACATCTCGGGAAACGGTAAGGCCACCGCACAGGAGGTAAGAAGCTGATCTTCGGCAGCTGCGCTGTTTCCAGAAGCCGACTTGAACTCGGTAAAGAGGTGGGCGAAGACAGTTCCCTCGGCGGTGATTTGACAAGTTTTGTACACATCGTACGCCGTATTAAAATCACCGGTTACTTCTGTGGCCCAATCTCTGGTATAGGTACCCTACTACTAAGTCAGGCCTAGTAGCCTGAGGTACACTGGATACGGAAACAAGTTCAGACGCAGATTAACATCTGCTTTACTACGCCCAGTTTCAAAGGAGTGTCTGTAAAGGCGGTTGTTATTGGACAAGCCGTTATGGGTTAAATTTTCGCCGTAGGCGACCCGGTAGAGAAAGTTGTACGTTAGGCAGAAGAGGAAAAGGAGTATATACCTAAATAAGTCTTTAACTTGGTTTTAGACGTGATCTCGTTTTTATCAAGGACCTCGTTGAACTAGGTAGGTAATCTCCCTCGCGGCGACCTTGCTTTCTAGGAGCCACGGCACTGAAGACTTTATGGGAGGAGGGATTGATTTAACTAGTCGCTTTGAGAGACAAGATAGGTAGACTGTGGACGGGTTTCAGTGACCGTCTAATGCTCCAAAGTTAGGAGTTACTAGGTATATTCCTAGTGGCACTTGAAATCATGTGTACCTGACTTTGACAGTCGGCTCTTACATTTTCGGATTAACCACAGCTCCCTAATCGTATGAACACTTTAACTTATACCTCGATAGGTAAGTATGCTCGCCATTTAAACTTACCTACGAGAACACATCCACTACGATATAATATTATGGATGAAATGCCGACTCCAAATATATTACAGGATTCAGAGAATATTCCCATCATAAATTAAAAAGGCAATATCACTCTATCGCTTGATAAGGTTATGTGTAGCCACGATGGCCGGGGCATCCCCGTGTGGCCCCTAATATCGAATAACTAAAGGTAAATTTAAAGGGAAAGTGATTCACTCGCAAGCTTATAGGAGGTAAGGATAATACTTCCAAGCCTAGGAATCTGCCTGTGACCACCTAAGCAAGATGATTACCTAAACACTAGACATAAGTTAAGAGCCCTTCCGGGGTAAGAAAGTCGTTGTCGAAGGAATCGGCAACGCGACAGCGACAGCTCTTTTTACTTGTAGAAAAAGGTTGCTAAAGTGTACTAGGGCTACTGACGAAGCAATCTACCTAGCCTGCGGTATCCCCATGGACACGGAATATTCATGGCCTACGATAATTTATGCCATTGAAATATTTCCTTGACGATAATATGCCATGGCTAATGGTTAGAGGGTTCGAAGACTTTGCTGGAGACTATGAAGTATTGCTGGGTGCCGACACGACAGTTGAAGTGGACGTCGTGATATTTTGCACAGGATACGAAGCTGACCACAGCATCCTCCCTGAGCTGGAAATGGATGATTATAGCGTGCTGCTGATTAGGAGGGTAGCAGACGAATCTCGTGATAGCACGGCGGATCAGAAAGAGGTCGAAGAGGACGTATCGGAAAAGCTAGACACAGATGGCCCGTTTATTCCAGATGATCCGTGCTGGGTATCGTCCGTAGTTTTCCTATGCTTTCCTGAACGAGATGGATGTGTAGATTGACGCGTACCATGATTGGTAGTGAGGTGAATGAGTGAAGAGCCATTCGATGATTTCTGGTTACGCCCTTCCTCCACGATGCGGCAGGTACTGATGTGCACGATAACACAGACTACATGTTCACCGGCCGCGGCTGGGCACTGTGGTGGAACGACCGCGAGCTGTGGAATCGGCTAGCTAAAGGTCCGATGAATGGTCATTCCTGGAAGCCGTTCGAGACCAATTCCGAGGCCGTGCCTGGATGTGGAAGGAAGACCTGTCCTGATGCCAGAAAGGCAGTGCGAGAAGCGGTGTGTTTTGTTTTCCCGTCTGGCACGATTTTAGGGCTGACTAGGTACCTAGTAGGTACCATATTTAGTAACGACGTATGAGTCTGAAACTTACGAAGAAAATAAACTCGAAGTGCAATTGAAACATTAGGAGAGACGAGGGAAGCTTTTTTAATTAGGTAGAAACGACAAGGTTATAGATCATTATACGGAGTTAACAAAACGAACGTGAATGGATGTTTAGACATTAGGTACCTAGGCAGGTAATATTTGTAAATAAATACGTACCTTACATGGAGTATAGAAATGCGATGGACATGCCGATATCATCATGGCCACGGCATTATAATATATAAGTTTTATGACTTCGGACTATGAGACATTGGGACTGCCTTGGAAATATCTTGCACCGCTTTACCTCTTCCTTTACCGGTTGGAAAGAAATGCAGTTGGTAATTGGTCAATTGATGAATCCTTCGATCTTGTTGAAAAAAAGGTATTGTCTTGGCAGGCAACATTTCGACTTAATGTCTTACATCCATGTCCCTTGTCGTGTACATATTAAAGTAGGTAAGTACATATCCTTGTATCCGCGTATCCGTTGCATCGATGTTTTTAACGTTGGAACTACCTTGATACCTATGGAAAAACTATGGAATTCGGGATTATCTAATCCCCATGGGTCTTTCACTATCCTGAAAACGTCTCTGCGCCTTTTTAAAACAAATCGTTCGATTAATAGAGGCTTGATAGCCTGAGAAATTGATTAGTTTCTTCGATAGTGTCAATTTCATAACCCGAGATTTTCCAGATGACGAGGCGTTAAAACTGCATGTCAGACCGCTAGCTTAGTGGACGGCACCAATTCACTCCAATTCTTTTTTTATGATGACGACATGGTGGATATCGTGGCTGCGAAGCCTCGCAGTCGTTTCAATCGCTTCACAAGCTGCCGAGCATCCCGTAATGCACCGCTAACATTGTCAAATCACCTAATTTGGAATATCGTGCATGGACGAAGTACGTACTTCCCTTACACGAGTCGAGTCGAATTAAGGTTAAATATATTAAGAGTTGAAGAAACGCGACACTGGATTATGAAGAATAGTGAATCGGTTTCGCGCATGATAAGGCTAAACCCATTCTTGCTTTACCATCTGGCACAGTGGCACCTGGCTTTAGATCGCTACAATCTCGTGTGCAGCTCGTCATCCCGGTAAGTCGGGGAACACACGGCATTTCAAGATAGCTAAATCAGCTAAATCAACCTTATTAAGGACCCTAGCGAGCTTAGCCAACCAGGTAGCCCGGGTTAGCTAGACCAGCCTGAACCGGCGAATCTAGATACATATTTGGTTAGTCGCTTCAGATAAATGCCGTAGCCGGAAGGTATGTACATACTAGTAGTATGTAACTCTAGAATCTGATGTACCTAGTGTAGTGTACTAGGTACGGTCGGATATGTCCATACTTAGGTGATGGGAATTGTGTTTCTCGCCTTTGCTGCCTTACTTCGCCTCGTCGGCTAACTTCTCAAAATTTCCGAACGATTACAAAAACCGTGACATTGATGGAAGAAAGTTCCGGCTCGTCTCTCTACATATGCGGTGTGACACTTAAACTTGCCGCTCCAGCATCGGAAATGCAGCTTCTTCAGAGCTTGTGTATGCATTACACGTACATATTAAATGCATTGAGTGTTCTTTCAGGGATTACCTAGCGATTACCAGAAACAGCCTGGCCACGGCACTGTACTTGGTACGCTACATGCGCTACATGCGCTACATACGGCACTGCATACACGCTATTGCGCCTCTCTTTTCTCTTTCCTCTTTTTTTCTTGCAAGGATTTTATGGATTTTATTAGAACGGACGCCATCTACTGGTTCGCAGCCGTTCGCTTGTGACGTGGGAACTATCTCTGAATCCTCACATGACTTGATTGTTCTGAGAAGTGATTGCTGGCCCCTGCTAACGCCCTGCGAGGACCCGCGAGCGCCTTGCTACGCATGCACTTTTCTTACGAATTCCTGATTTGGAATGGATTCGGCTTGTACGGCGATTGATGGATCGATCATTGAACATCTATGTAAGTACCTCGGTACATAAGAAATAATCGTTTTGGATACCATCGTCTGCGTTGTGAGCGCGTGGGGATGTCACTTGTTTGTATTTGAGACTACTGTATATGCGCATTCGCGATAAACGACGAGTGATTTAAATCCTGACATGGGCAACACTCTTCCCGACCTACCGAACGTTTGGGTTGGCATTTAGGAACGATAAATAGTAGACGGGAACGGCCAGGACGGCTTACCTACGCAGAGCTACACCATATATCTATGGGCGTATCAAAATACAATAAAGTCACGATATCAACATCTATATCGACATTCATATCGATATCCACATCAACATTCATCGACAGGTTCTCCGCTTGAGCATTAGCGGGGAGGTGTCGTCTTATTAGCTCTTTACTTCTTTCGAAGCTGCCAAGCTACCAAGCTACCGGCTTATGTCAACGGCACCAGCAGGGGTCTAGACGAAAGCAATACATCATAGGAAAATCATCTGCAGTCTTTGTTATCTTATTAGTCGCATACCGTCATCTGCGATTTTAGAACCACCTCTAGCCCTGGAAGTTCGACCCGTTCGATCCAACCTCCATCAATATCACATCAACTTGTCGAAAAGGTAACGCAGACCTCATCCGAGTCATCAGTCATCAGTCATCCTGCCCTCCTTGCCCTGCCCTTTTCGCCTGCCTGCCTTCCCCGTCCTCCTGCCCCCTCACCGACTTACAAGAAGAGAGAAGCCTAGCGAATAGTGTCGCGGTTATACCCCAAATAATCGCTCAGGACCCAGCCGACCGCATCGTACAGATCATACTACCATACTTACCTCCCTTGACCGCACCAGGTCCACCCAATTCACCCGTACGACTTTAGTCTTATTTTTTCTGTGTTGCTGTGTCGCCGAAAACGTTTTCTCATTGTTGCGTTCCAACCTTACCTAGCATTGCACTATCTGCACTATTAGACTATGCGCATGTACGCTAATCATTTCATCGTACCTTTCTGACATTTTCAAGTACACATACACCTACCTACATATATTAACATACTTACCATATACTTGCACATACCTACCTAGTACTCACATACTTTATTATAGGCGGGTCCGCAACCGCAACAGCAACCGCAACGGGCGTACTAGCTTCTGTCATCCCGGAACCTTGAGCCTTTCCGACCAGGTGTTTCCTACCACACGGCTATTCAGCAGCGGCGGTACTCGTTACATAGAATTGGACCTTCCCCCAGTTGTCCCCTGGTTGTCATTGATGACTTGGTTATGATTCACCTTGTCGTAGGTACTTTGCCCTGCTGCTCTCCGCTTTCCTTCCTTGCTCTTTTCTTTTTTTACTCCCTTTCACCTACCTAAGCACATACATGTACGCACATACTCGCATACTCGCATACGCACTTCTCTTTTCGGTAAAAAGAGAAACCCTTTATACTTTTTTCTCTTTTCTCTCGTGGTCTGCTATTCCTAGTTGGCGTTTCTACCTATGATGCCTATCACCACACACCTCTGCCACCGCACCAGCTCCCGTTTAGCATAGGGCGCCGCGCATGACTTGGTGTCGTGCCATCCCATCTGTTCGCTTGGTCGTCGGTCATACCTACATCTCGTAGTCCTCGCCGGCTCGCATGTGAGCATGTGCTTCTTGGACGGACGCAGACATATCCCCATAAGAAGCACATAGCACATAACCACATATTCATCCGATCCGGCTGGCGGACGACGACGACGAGAAAGCTCGCTTGCTCGTTTTGCGCATTCTCATTAGCCGAGTATCTCTTAATTATTTATCCCTAACAGTACCATCATGACAGAAGCAATCGGTCGAGATCGTCACCGCCCGGAACACCACCACGCATATCCCGTAGCCGGCAACGTTTATTACAGACCCAGGTCAACAGAACGGAGGCACCGCGCAACTCCGAGTCTCCCTACTCCGCATATTCGGCCTCGTCCGAGGAGACCTCAGTCTATCCACATCGTGTCCTATCCCGCCGGGTACACGCCGCCTGACCTGAGGCCAGCCGCGCTAGCCAAGTCTAAGTCGTCTAGGTTCAGGAAGGAGAAGAACAGCAGGGAAGAAGCGAAGAAGGATAGGAAAGAAAAGAAAGAAGACGGGTCTGTACATAGGAGCTCACCGCGGCGAGTAATCGAAAAGGTGTTGGGACCGCTGAAGTTTCACCTCGCCCAATACGTAGCCGTAGATAATCCTACGCCCCCAAACGTCGCTAGCGCCACCGGCGATTTGATTCCGAGACCGAGACCGAATACGATAGGCGCCCCGCGTCCACGGCCTCATTCCATGCTCGCAATTCCCCCTTCAGCCACGTCTTCAATGCTCGGCACAGCCAGCATGACAGGCTCAACAACCCAATCACCAATTGTGGCCACTGCTGCGCACAGTTCCCACAGGAATAGTATTATGTCGGTTCGCTCAGCTAAGAGCATAATGAGCTCTTCGGTGACGGAAATACCAAAACCAGTTGCGAGCGGGAGCGGGGTCTCTTGTTCAATCATACTAGCAGAACCGAACGTATTTCTTACGGGCTTCGAGCACGACGGGCACCCGCGAAACGATGCGGCCAATTCAACGGCATTACTGAGGGGCAAGTTGCAGCTGAACGTGTCTAAGAACGTGAAGATCAAGTCCGTCACCCTCAAACTCCACGGCAGAGCCAGGACGGAATGGCCGGAAGGCATACCCCCCATTAAAGTCGAGCAATTCGAGGAGGAATCCTTAAGGACACAGGTCTTGACGTTCTTCCACGCCGCGCACGAGACATGGGAGACCGAATTCGGAAACCAGTGTGCCTATTCGTTACGAAGCAGCGCCGATTGCCCCGCATCTCGAAGACCTACATCCCCCTCACAATCGACGGTGTCTTTGGCCTTGAGGAATAAGCCTACCGGACACTTAACGGCCCGCGATTATAAGCGGCTGTCGCTACAGTCGGTACAGTCACGCAGCTTCGGTAAAGGAGACACGCCCAATCCGAATATCGTACAGCCGAAGACGTACAAAATTTTCTACCCAGGCACCTACGAGTATTCGTTCGAGTTGCCCATCGACCATCACCAGCTCGAAACAACCAAGCTCCAATTCGGATCGGTCAAATGGGAGCTCGAGACTATAGTAGAGAGAGCAGGCGCCTTCAAGCCTAACCTCCATGGGACAAAAGAAGTCTGCATTGTCAGGGTCCCCGATCAGCTATCCCTCGAAATGACGGAGCCGATCTCCATCAGCCGGCAGTGGGAGGATCAGCTCCACTACGATATAATGATATCGGGGAAATCCTTCCCCATCGGCACAAAAATACCTATAGCGTTCAAATTGACACCGCTAGCCAAAGTGCAGGTTCATAAATTGAAGGTGTTCGTCACCGAGTCAATCGAGTATTGGACTAACGACAGACGAGTTACCCGAAAAGATCCGGGGAGAAAGATATTGTTGCTGGAGAAATCTGCGGGGAAGCCTCTCGACAAGCAGTTCGAGGCGTCGGATATAAGTTTTCTGAGCGGTGGCGAACTGACTCCGGATCAGAGGCGCGAAGCGCGGATTGCGGCGCAACGACGACGAAGCGCAGAGGCGTCGAGGGCTCATACCTCACCTCAGCCGTTGCCCGACCCCGCGGAGAATCTGTTGGGTGATCTGGATCTAGGGCTCGAGGCGTATTGGGGATCGACAGAAATCGAAATGAATGTCCAGATTCCGACCTGCGATCAGATGGCCAAGGACAAAACTCTAAGGCTTCATCCGGATTGCAGTTGGAAGAATGTTAACGTATATCACTGGATAAAGGTATGTTGGTTTATCCGCGTATTTCCCCGAATGCAGTACGCGTATCGGAAACTTCTTACTAACCGGTGCTGCACAGATCGTCATGCGCATTTCCCGCCTCGATCCCGACGATCCAGCAGGTAAGCGGCGTCGACACTTCGAGATCAGCATCGATTCGCCCTTTACCGTCCTCAACTGCCGCGCGACGCAGGCCAACACCGCCCTTCCAGAGTACTCGGGTGCCGAACGCCCTATATATCACCAGCAGTCAAGTTGCGGATGTCCCGACGCCGCGATACTCGCCACTAATCCGAGTCCCGCATCGAGTACCGGCACGATACCCTCTGTTGATCCTCACGTTAGCGTTTCCAGCGTCGGATCTCAGGGCATTGCATTACCGCCAGCCGCACACATACAGCAGCACCCGGCTGGTGGCTCGCAACCCCTACAGAGACAGTCTCAGCCCCCGATAGCGCCGAGGCCCATGCACCTTCTCAGGCATCCTAGTTTCAATCCCCCGGCATTCGATGATGACGACCCGCCACCCCCAATGCCCACGCCTCCGCCGCAGTACGATCTTGTTGTCGGAACGCCCAGCGTAGATGGTCTCGCCGACTACTTTGCACGGCTAGCAAACTACGACGGTGACTCGGATAGCGCGGATGAAGACGGCACGCCTAGCAGACTCACGGAGCGAAGCGGTCGGGTCAATGTACCACATCCAAGAACGCCAGGGGGTAGGTTAGTCCCGAGCAGGAGTCTAGAAATACAACGTCCCCCCGTGCCCGCGGCACTAGGTATAGCCGGCGATTTATCAACGCGTAGGGGTTAATATCATGGTTTACGTTACCTTGGATGAATGAGTATTATCACAGTTTTGTAAGGAAAGGAAAGATGGCTTATGGCTAATGGAAGAACTTGGGTTTTCCGAACCAGATTTACAATTATCATCATCATCGGTATGGGAGTATTGGATTGATACCCAAGCACGGCATATTGCGAAAAGTTGCATCCAGGATTCTCATTAGAGGCTGGCTTGGAAGGGCGGGAGGCATACATATTTCCCAGTGGTTATGACATGAGTTGCATTAATAAATATAAATACATTGTGCTGGGAATATGTTAAAATGACTTGTTGATGTGATGATTGATTTACACGATATGGTGCTTTTCCCCATTGATATACTTAGGTATGTATTTCCTTAATTTTTGGATAGTCATCTTAATGACGGTGGCCCGGGAAAAACGACGCGCTTCGGAAGATAATGTGGGATCGGTTAGCGAATTTACAACGGGAGTCGTTAAATTATGGTTGCCGGCACGGTTCGCAATAATTATTAAACTTCAAGTACCCCAAAATCCGAAAGGTTATCGTATGGAAATAAAAGCTTAAAAGCCTATGTCCGACGTCGTTTACCTTCATTCTTTACATTTTATTATTAATTAATCGAAGGGGTTCGTAACTTAGGTCGGCTCCGTGTACAGAGTAACTGTGATTCAAATCGAAACGGAAACCTGATCTGTTACTTACCTAGGTAACATTCCGGCCTCCGCCATACGATAACATAAGGTCATTGCTAAGGTCATTGCGAATTTTGAGTCATGAAACATATGAAGATTATAAATGAAGCTTACAAATCTTCGGCGCTACGACTATTGCGCAATCCCACAAATTCCGCACTACCCCCATGACTTTTTACTAGCCAGTTCCCACCCAGGACTATTTCCACTTTGGTTGCACTCCAAGTTACCAATCGCCGGTTTCGAAACGCTTTCCGGTCAAGCTCATGTTACAAATTGAACTAACCTAGAAGGTTCTCTTAGCCCCTTACATCGTAGGGGAATCTTCCATAAAAGATGGCGGCGCGGCCTACCAGTTTATCATGTCGAACAGTTTAAACCACATCATTAACACCACGACACAACCAACGTTATCCCCTATCCCCGACGTGAACCTAGAAGACTTTTATAGAAAATGGCCCAATCATCACGCCTCTTCCAGCCGCTAAAAATTGGCAATGCCACCCTTCAACACCGCGTAGTAATGGCGCCCCTAACCCGGTTCCGGGCCGACGCAAACCACGTGCCACTTCCCTTCGTCAAGGACTACTACCAGCAGCGCGGCTCCACTCCAGGAACCATGCTCATTACCGAAGCCACATTCATCGCCAAAGAAGCTGGCGGATACCCCAGCGTCCCGGGTATCTGGTCGAAGGATCAAATTGCGGCGTGGAAGGAAATCACGGATGCCGTACACGCCAAGGGCTCGTTCATCTTCGTACAACTGTGGGCGCTGGGTCGCGTGGCGAAACCGGCTGTTGCCGAGGCGGAGGGATTTGCGGTTAGGGGCGCGAGCCCTATCCCCGAGGCCGAGGGCGGAACTGTGCCGGCTGAGCTGAGCGTGGATGAGATCAAGTCATTCGTGGCTAACTACGCGCAAGCGGCACGTAATGCCGTCGAGGCCGGCTTTGATGGTGTTGAGATCCACGGCGCGAATGGGTATCTCGTTGACCAGTTTCTCCAGGATACTTCCAACCAGCGCCAGGACCAATACGGTGGTAGCATTGAGAACCGCGCTCGCTTTGCGCTGGAGGTTACTAGCGCCATCGTGGAGGCTGTGGGCGCGGATAAGGTCGGCATTCGGCTATCCCCTTGGTCCAAGTTTCAGGGCATGGGTATGAAGGACCCGATCCCCCAGTTTACTTACGTGATCAACGGTTTGAAGAAGCTGAAGCTGGCCTATCTTCATGTCGTCCAATCATACGTGGAACAAAGCGATGCGGATATCGAGTCGAGCAAGCAGATCACCTTCGCGCTCGACGCCTGGGAAAATACCTCCCCTGTCCTGATCGCGGGCGGGTTCAGAGCTGAGTCAGGGAAGAGGGTCGTCGATAACATATTTAAGGATAGGGATGTCGCGGTCGTGTTCGGTCGATACTTCATCTCAACGCCGGACCTGCCGTTCCGGTTGCAGAAGGGTTTGCCCCTAACGCCGTATGATCGGGATACATTCTATAGCCCTGGCGCGACGGCGGGATATATAGATTATGCTTTTAGCGATGAGTTTGTCAAGGCTGCAGCTTAGACGGGGGTGGAATGTTGCTTATTTGACTGATGCTTGTATTGACTAGCGATGATACTATGACAAGATCTGATATCGAGCTGTTTAGAGGATTGGGTTGAGACAAACACAGGTTACGAGTTTTATATTGTATTGATACTCAGGAAGTGTGAAGCAGCGGTTTGTTAATAGTACATCTTATACCTGACAGGATTATCAGTATCCGCCAACCTGCCAATTGAATTAATGTATACAGTATAGTACAGTACAATAACGTACAGTATTATGGGTGGTGCCTTAAATCTTACAGGGGGTCATGGCGCTATAGGGCGCTGTAAGCCCTGTATTTTATAGGGGTTATAGCGTATAGCCTTTATACAAGGTACCTACTTATCTCCTAATAAGGCTCAGCGTATGCCACGTGACACCCCCCGTCCTGAACCACCACGCGAATATCTACCTACTGCGCATTTAACTGTATCGAGTTAATCGATTGAATCAGATCAGTTAATTGATTTAATTCGTTTCGAAAAGGTTTAAATATTAATAATAACCTTGGAACTTTTAAAGGCTTTAGCGCTAGCTTTAAGGCTCTTTACATTTATAAATGCCTAACAAGCCACTTATAAGGCTAATGCGCTGTTGAAATAGACGCAGGTTATGAGAGTAATATTCGTTAGATTAGAAGGAAGAACTCCTTACGGTAAGTAGTGGTACGTAGATAATACATATATGCCATAGGTATGGGGCGTAAGTCTCCAGCCACCTGATTTCAGCCACCCGATATTCCAACATGCGCTATAAAGCCTAACGTTACAGGGCTTCCAGCGCTCTGTAGCGCCATGACCCCCTGTAAGATTTAAGGCACCATGTGGAATACCCATAATACTGTACGTTATTATACTGTACTATACTGTATACATTAATTCAATTGGCAGGTTGGCGGATTCGACCACTCTAAAAGGGCGTATTAAAAACATTTTACTATAGGTAAATCCTAGACAGCTGGCAGAAAAGTGGATCACACCTGTGGGCTAACTCTTAGCATGAGCGGTCGCAGCTGCCGACTAAGTAATGCTCAGCAGCCAGTAGCTGCTCCACGGCTGCAGCTCGCCTCACTGACAGCTGCCGACAATCTACCTATGGTAAAATGTTTTGCATGCGCCTTCTCTACATGGATGTGTTTTAATAACACAGAAGGATGTAATAAGTAAGAAAATCAAATATTCTTTCACCGAAATTTCATGAACTAGTGTATAGTTCTACGATTCGTATATCCCGTGTTGTGTTATAACCTGCTTAACCGGCTCCCCCTTAACTAACTTACTTCCTACCTTAAGTCATTATGGCTTATAATATCGCTCAACGATGGGATAACTACCTCTTGCAGAGGCCTTTCCCGAAATCTGGATCACCTCTCCTTTCTTTAAAAGACGATATTAATAAAAATATCACACTTGAAGGGTATGAAATACCCCCCCTAAACGAACAACGGAGCAAGCGAAGACTTAGCTCAACATTTAGAGGCGATTCCCCCCCCAGGAAAAGGCCGGAAACTTACGCTACTTGTTGTATTATTCACTGCCCTCACTGCCATTTCTACCAAATAGAAGAGGCTCATACGACAGATAGGAGGCTTAGAGTATACCCCCCGCTCCCCGTCAAATACGTGACGATACTAATCAGAAGGTTATATAGGCTACGTCCTGTCCAGAGGCATCTTCGTTCCGACGCTCGACCGGTTCAGCCAACGCCGTTGAGCCTCCCCCGCCTCCGAATCCAAGCTCGGATCCAAAATCGAGTCCCCTAAACAACTGGGTGTCAGATCTTCGACCAGATCCGCCAGCTCGAAGTATAAACTACCCTAAAGATCTGAACGAACTTCACTACGAATCAGGTTCCGAAAGCTTCGACGATATGTCTGATACACCTAAGATGTCTAGTCGATCTAACTCTGGGCTTCCGAGGTACGGCTCTGCTACATATCGAGACTCATTAAAAAGAAACGACATCCTTTTCAGGTTCGAAACAACTCCTCCAGTCAACGCGTTGAACGAACAGATTTATAAACGCAATACGTACGCTAATGATTCGCTATTTCGGTACCATGCGGAACTATTACAATCAATCTGCGAAAAGCACGTACACTCGAATGAAACGAAGTGGGAGACTTATTTATATTCATGTTTCCCTCTTATACCCAACACGTTCTTCGCCTTTTACTTAAATGGGTATAACAAACCTATGGATAACGTCAACTACTCTGGGCACTCTGCTAAAGTCGGGCGCCACAAGTCAGGCTTTGGAAGTGTCAATTCGCACTTGACCTTGTTCCCACACGCAGAGCAACTCAGGTCTACAAGGCCGGACTTGGTAGCAGGGTACTGTACGGAATGGATCGACAATGCTTTATGCGAAGATAACGAGCTCGCCGTTAAGCTACAATCAGCCTGTCAAATCACCTCAGAAGGGACCATCTTTCCTTACCTTTTTCTCGAGATCAAGGCGAATGATGTAGGCGATGCGGCTGAAGATCAGCTTGCTACTTGCTGTGCGGCTAGCCTCGCCGTTACTAAAGACCTATTCCCGATCGAGGATAACATCGTCTATTCGCTAGCGATAGGTCGGACTACGGCACAGCTCAGGCCTATGTGGATTGATACTAAGCTCCCCAGGCCTCGATATATCTTGGGCCGTAGCATCTTCTTTTTACTAACCCGGGGCGAGGATATTCGTTTACTGCAAGATACTGTGATGAACATTCACCAGTGGGGTCTGGGCCGGCGATTGAATGCGGTGACGGAGCATGTGAAGGCCGCGTTGGAGGCTGGAATCGAAAACTACGCATTTTATAAGTTGATTGACCTAGAATAACTTGGTTTCCTCGGCGCTAGCGGCTGCTTCAGGTGCGGCTTTAGACGTAACGGCGGCACGTCTTAGGAGCACCGGCGCTGGCGATGACTTGTAACTTGTAAGGAACGATGGAAGTGGATATCTCGGCGAGCTTAAAGTGTAATTTGAGTTGAATGCTACAACGTGTTTGTCGCTTGGGATGCTATGAGTTCATTTATTGTCATGTTTCTTATGTAGGTTTTAAGATAATTACTTAAGGTTTAGTAAACTAAGATATATTAGGTACATACTAGGCACCTACCAAAAGATATTATGTATTACATGACAGCGTTACTTATAATGTACATAGCCATGATAAGGTAAGTACATAGCTCATGTCCGGGGACGTTATTTAGTTAAGACCCCGGTTTAGTAAGCGTGATAAATCTTTGATTTAATTGGATGCATCGATTCATTAGTCTTTCTACCCCGCGTTAACATTCTCGATATTTTATTAGGCGCTAATGCTGACCCGCGCCAATTTGTTTTGATTGATTAAGGGAATTAATGCATTTAAATCTTCGAGGGGCTAAGTAACCTGGCAGCCTGGCAGCTTGGGAAAGGAAATTAGGTCCTTAGTATAATATATATCGTAGCGCATCTTGATTTGAGCGATTTGCCTATAAAAGCTCTTTAAAACGAACTCGGCTTGGTATTTTCATTAGTTTATTTGACAGAAGAAGGATATGTTGAATGTGAAGTCTATTCTTAAGTGATGAAAGATTTAATAGCTTGGTTGTAAAGAAAAGACCGTTCGCATTGCCAAAGTGTTCTTTTAACTTCAGGCTTTTGTCATGCCATGGGACTGAGCCTCAGGTTCAGTAGATCATACTTGCCAATTGAGCCAAACTAAAAGACGAGAATCACAAGTCGGACAACTTGCGATCTTATACAGGTAGCTCGCGTTCTTTGATTGGTTGAAAACCCCATCGATATAGCCCCCGGACTAGTTTAGGTACATCCTGCCACATACAAAATATGTAGTTTCTTGTCAATGTACTGATTCCATTAAACTTACTGCCCATCTTCTAGCTTAAATAACTTTCCTAATGTTCCTTCAATTAAGATGCAAATTGTCAAGCGTACTAGGTATCAATTAGGTAATTCTTAATCGAATGAAAATCGTTACATCAAAATCAACGTATAATTGGTAAAGATATGATTAAAAGAACAAGTATAATTAACTTCGCTACCTAGTACTTTTTAGTTTTATTCTTAACTGTTTTAGCCGAGTCGACGCTGCCCATTCGTGGATGTTGACTAAAATCTTCCAAAATTGCTTGAAGTGATGGATGTTAGACATGATGAAAGACTCAACTTTCATCATAATATAATACCGGTTAACCTGATCTTCATACCTTTCGTCGATTGGGTCTGGGCTTGACCACATGATGTAGATATCTGCGACCTCATCGGTCATGGCCACACTAAAGATAACTTCTCCATAACCGACCATTTTTTCGGTTTGATATAAAGATATCGCTGAACCGCCCATACATTGGTTTGCGGCATGCCATAAGTTACCGCCCATTTGCTTAAACTCCACAATGAGGTAAGGGAACATAATCATAGCCTCGTTACAATAGGTTGCTATCAACTCATCCGTCCTCATATCTATATCATTTGTGAATGAGTAGCTGGGGTATCCGAAGATAATATCAGGCACAGGCCTTACGGCCCCTAACGATGTTGTTATTGTGAACGGTTGGCATCTAGCCTCCCACGTTTCCAAACCAACTTGATCGGCCGACAAAGGATCGAGGTACCTCCCAAGCTGTGTTTTCACCATTTCCTCGTTTTGAAGTATCTGTTCTTTGTGTAAACTATTATATAGTTTGGAACAGTTAAGCAGCAATAGGGCTTCAGAAGGGTTGGTGGTCGAGTTTGTTGGATCATGCACGGGGCTGTTTTGATCGACGATACGTTCGACGATAGTTTGGACCCAGGGCGGGATAAGGGATTTATCGTTCGTCTCACTCCACCAGTTAGGACAGTTCATTAGATGAATACCCTGTGGTTTGAGGATATTCCATCGGTATAAACTATCGCCGGAGATGGATTCGTGGGTTTTCGAGGTTTGAGTCCGGATAGACCCTAGTCCTTTAATAGAAGGCATCGTGAGAAAGTCTTTTGCTGAACCAGATACGGATTCGGAGTCTGCTTCTTCGAATGCGTTTTCGGTAGTAGAAGCAGTTTTGACCCATTGTTCTAAGCGAGGAAAGTGCTCTGGGTGGAAGGTGTAGTCCTCGGGATTAGAGGTATTATCGTCAGAATTAGAGGTAGAGTCTTGAACAGTAGTAGGATGATGCTGTTTCTTACTCCGACGACGCTGTTTGGGCGGAGATCTAAGTTTTCGCCTCTTACTAGATGAAGTCAAGACGCCCGCGCATCCGGAGGTAGATGGCGCAGCTTCGGAGGATCGTTTTAGAGAGAAGATTGGTGATTCTGGATGAGGTTTAGGGGAGCCTCTATGAGCAAGATCTCGAGAAGTCATTGCGAAAGGTGATGAGAGGGGGTTCAATACTATTAGGGGAATCGTATTGGTGCCTTATAACGGTGGTAGGCTCCAATCCTCGGAAAAGAACCTCTCGATAAGTATGTAAGAATAATCGGTACTTGTGCGCTTATAGTAATTGATATGAGGCGTGTGGTATTCAATAGGACTCGATGGACAAGGCAAGCGAAAGTTAACATGTCGTCGAAAAACGTCATAAACAAGAATTTCCAACACTGCAAATAAGCACATTATAAAGAAGTACAAGCTTTTTATATGATTATACATTACTTTTTAAAGTATTTTATCTTAAAGGATTAATATCCTCGTAACGAAATATTTATGTATTATCACATTAACGAAAGTAAATATATTACTATAAAGAAATATATGCATATATAATAAGTTACTTTTAGTTTATAAGTCAAAACCTCTGTATCGGTCTTATTTTTTAATAGTATAAATTACATAAGTGTGGTTCAGGTTTAAGCACGCGATCCCTGATTGGCTGAAACCTTTATCGATAACTCTTCTAACATTAAAACAAAGTAGAACAAGGCTAATCGCTTCTCATTCAAATAACTTCACCTCTCAATCTTCAAACACTTGATAGTTACCCATCGTTTGAAGCCCTCGATCCCGCACTTCTATAAATACCATTTCTGTGTTAGTGCATCCAGTTTGAGCTGAGATATCCTGAACTAGAAACGATTCAGCTTGACATTTATACTTGAGTACTTTTCAGAAGGTGTCATGTGACTCACATGATCCCTTAGCTTTAGAATTTCTCTTAGATGGTATTCCTTCCTGAATATCTCACTTAAACCAAGTTTAGGTTGGATGCAAATAGTTCCCATGGACTCTAACGACATTAATAAACCAACTAAACAAGTTGCATCATAACTGCTTTGAAATGGTGAAGTCATTTAAGTTTAAAATTGAGTGGCAGAGTACATTAATGCGCCGGTATTTTGTATGTGCGGTCTTGTACCTGCGCTAGTGATTAGGGCGTATCGATAGGGTTTCCAGCCAATCAGAGAAGCCACGCCCGGACCTCCTGTTCATATCCATATGGATACCAATACTCTGTATAACCTCAACTATGTACATCCATGGATGTCTCTTAATTATGGGGTTTTTATGAAGTTCATCTTTAAGAAATAAGCCGCATTATCTTCATATTACAAGTAATCCCATTCCAAATCTTTAGATCTCTCGTACCTCTTTTCCCAAACCTGTTATATAAACCGTCACTTTCTAACCTAGCCCATCTTCCAGCGTCGCCCAGTGAGGAACCGGTACCAACTAATGCTCTTATCGCCATTTTGCCTCCCAATCCTCGATCAGACCGACGATGTGCTACATTCAAAACATTTATCAAAAGTGATAACTTTTTATCATCCATATTTCCTGCATTCAGAACTTCTACAACTTCGGGCATCTGATGACGCTAGCGTTCATTAGAATGTTGTTTATTATACTTGCTATGTCAGACATCGGTCTTCCTCCAGGTTGGTAGCTAGAGGTCTATGGGATCGGGATTCGGCCCGTTGAGTCCCCGTGAGGGTCCTGTTGGCCGCTAGTCCTAGGAGCAGGACAGACAAAGAGCTTCACCTGTATGTATACCGTGTTCTCCATAGCGAGAGTGTTAGGAGCTCTTCGCGCAACAACGTCGTTGTTTCCTAGTCTTTTGGTTCCGCCTCGTGAAAGTTGTACTGATCTAGGGACTGATTTACTGACTATTTGACTGACTGTTGAACTGGCCGTTGAGCTGATCGAACGACTGATCCAGGGACTGGATCCAGGACTGACTTACGAACTGATTTACAGATCGATTTACTGACTTCGAACTGATCTAGGGACTGATCTAACTATTGAACTGATCTCGGCACTGACCAGACTAATCTACTGACTGATCTACTGACCGTTGAACTGATCCAGGAACTGATCTGACTAATCCCTGAACTGACTGTTGAACTTATTTGCTGACTAATCTACTAACTATTAAACTAATCGAACAACTAATCCAGGGACTAATTTACCGACTTTTGAACTGACTTTCGAACCGATCAAACAATTGATCCTGTAACTGGACCAGGGACTGATTGACTGACTATTTAACTGCTAATTCAACTGATCGAATATCTGATACAAGGACTGAACTAGGGACCGATTGATAGACTAGTTGATTAGCTGTTGAATTGATCCAGCTCCTGGATTAGGGACTGATTTACTGACTATTGAACTGACTTTTGAACTGATCCAGGGACTGATCTGACTAATCGTTGAAATGACTATTGAACTGATCTAGCTCCTGGATTAGGGACTGATTTACTGACCGTTGAACTGATCCAGGGACTGGATCAGTGACCGATATACAAACTGATCTAGGGACTTTTGAACTGATCTAAGGACTGGATCAAGTTCGAAGAAGCTGTTCATCGCAAGGAAACTTTCCCAGTCCTTCTGGCGGATATTACCTTTTGTTTTTACCTGACTTTCCTTTCCCTTAAAGCCCCCATATATCGCCCCTGTGGGTCCGCTAATGCCTTTCGGAGCGAGCCTATGGGATCTTTTACGCTGATAAACGTCTATTTTTCAAATAGAATTACGACTGGAACTGAAGATTTCACAACGGCCTCACACGCATGGGCCCAGCTCAGTGGTGTCCAGACCCATCCTTTAGATCGACATCGACCTGCCGTACGGCCAGCAGATACTTCAAGACTAAACTACTATTGGGCACAGACAATAACGATAGATATAGACGCTGCAACAACTTGCGCGAATGCGAGCGCGGTTTCCCAGTCACCCCCTCCCCATCTCCAGAGGACTAGGCAAAGCCAGATGAAGGCAACTCCAAACCAAGCACAGGAGATTCTGAATGGCAATTCTATCCTCATTCGATCTTTCTGCAACCCCAGAACGAAGTGTAGACCTCTCATCCGAACTGTTCCCCGGAATTTTTGGTTCGGAAGAGGTAGCAAGACTCGGTTCGGCCCCCTGGCTGAGTCAGAATATAACCGCTCCCAGAGTATAGATATGAGAGCGATGGAGGGAAAGAGAGATGGAAGGAGAAGACGGTATACTTACTTTGTATCGTAGATGCAACTCTCTTGCGCTAAACCTTCCATCGTCTGCAGCCCATTGGCTCTTGCTGAGGCGCGACCACATTCCTTTAGAAGCGGTAGGAACTGAAGCCGGTTGCGGCGCTCTTCTGCTTTCTCTGCGTCAATCCTAATACACGGTTGGGACCATACCTCCATGTTAATACGGCATTCGTCATTGTGACAGTAGTCGTCCAGGCATGCATCGTTAATATCAATGTATGGACCCGATGGATGCCTTTTTATAATCACCTCGCACTCCTCTGAGACCTTATCGGGGTTCACCGGTTCCATCCGGATAGGATAGCGTCCATCTGGCTCAACAACACCAGCAAAATGAAACTACGTTTTTAACAACGTCAGGTCTCTCCACTAGCATGATGTTTTCAACCTTACGTTGACCTCTAGCACTTCAGTGATTCCGTAGTAAGGCAGCAATTTCTTCCACCAGCCCAAATACTGATAGCTAGTATCTACCAATCTCTGATAAATATCGTTATCTGACTCGCAGGCATAGTTCCAAGGCATCGTCTTCTCATATATTGGTTTCGGATTGTCGGTAAAAACCTTAGCTTGTCCCACCACTCTGCGGGCCTTCGCTGGTCGAAGGCACGGCACGAGGACAGCATACTGTCCCTCTCGAGGATTCTCTAGGCAGAGGAAGCAGCCTTGCCCCGCTCGATCTCGAATATTTGGCATGTTTCTGGTGACCTGCGGAAAAGCTTGGATATCGAGGCCGGCCTGGCGTTCAACGTCATACGCATAACTGATAAGAGACATTTCTAACGAATGTAGTGGAATATTGGCTTGAAATGGGATGTGGTTTATATAATGTTATAAAAATGCTAGGGAAAAGGGAGACCAGTCCCTCGCGGGCTTCGCGTCTACCTTTCGTTGTAGCTTTCCGATGGAAGCCCGTGGCAAAGATAAGCGGCGTATCGATTGCGGTGAATTGCAATTCTCGTCTTAGAGTGGACCATAAGGCCGAATCCGCCAACCCGCCAATTTAATTAATGTATTGAAATGTATACAGTGCGATACAGTATAATAATGTACAGTCTTATAAACATTCCACACAGTGCTTTGAATTTTACAGGGGGTTATAGCGCCCTGTAGCGCTAAAAGTCCCTGTAACTTATAGGCGTAATAGTTCAAAACGAGGAATATCACGTGACACACGCTGAGCCTCATCAGGTAAATGTTAACAGCGTGTACTATAAGTTTAATTGAATCTTAACGTAGAAATACTGGTTTTAAATTAATAGAAATGTATATATATAGAAAGATCTTTTAAAGCGCTTTCGAATGAGCCTATTTTATTTGCGAGCGACCGAAAATTGAAGCGTATAAGATTAAAGGTATCCGAGTTATGAGCTATATATCCTGAAATACTAAGGTTACTGGAGGTATGTAAAAAAAGCTATGCGCTATAACCCTTATAAGTTATAGGGCTTTTAGCGCCGTATAGCGCTATAACCCCCTGTAAGTTCTAAGACACTGTGTGGAATAGTTATAAGACTGTACGCTATTATACTATATACATTTCAATACATCAATTGAATTGGCGGGTTGGCGGATTTGTTCTTATGGTCCGCCGTCCCGGGGTTTTTCTTTAAGAGTTTTCGGGTGACGGCATTTCTACGGTGGTCATCCCTGAATGGGACGGGGTCTTTCCTCCCTGGGAGCCTCCGCCAGAAGACTGTTCATTGTCATCTTGATGCACAAACTGAACCCCCGTTTGTTGACCAAATGACACCGACCGTCCGGGTTGTCCAACGCCATACAACGGTAAGGGCTGTATAGGCTGTCTAGATGGTCTAGCATTGTACGGTTGTTCAAACTGCCACGGTTGGTTGTTCGTAAACGGCGGTAGGTAGAAGATGTACCCAGTCATCTGTGCCAGAAAAGAATAAGTCAGACGGAGCGTTATAAAAAGACTGATTGTTATATTGCATTGGCTCTTCAACGTGTTGTAGAAAGAACGGCTGGGGGGTTGCAAACGGTGTCGGCCGCTGATAGTATAGTGGTTGCAGTTGCGTCGATGCCGACAATTGCGTAGGCGTTGGCTGCCCACTACGCGCCGGCGGGGGGCATAGTTCGCGGCATCGCTGGTGCTGGTGGGGTCGGCGGGGATGATTCTGCTGGCTCTGGCACATTCCCGCTGAATATTACTTGATGTATATGCTGGAGTCTTCGGGTTGATCCCCACTTGATGATGTTATAAATATAACGTCGCAAAATGAGGAAGTGCGTCTGTTCAATCAATGTGAAGCTTTTCACTATCCTAGTCCTGTAGTGCCCCGAGTCATACCAAGTAACATATAGGATTGCTTGGCTGCGTTGCAAAAGAAGGCTGAAGACAATGTTATTCTGGGTAATTACCCTTCTGTTTACGTTGAGGCATGCTGAGGCGGTGCCAAGGAGTCGGTTCACAGTGGCGCACTCGTTCATATCCTCGTTTATTTCCACTACCAAGTAAGGTAGCCACATCGTGTTCTTGTTGTCCACAGTCCAGCTTTTATGGGTAGTGTCGTACGAGGGTATATTTTTCAATTGGTGGTAGTTGTATCCGACAGTCATGGCGGGCTTTGGGATGGCCATCATGAGCGGCCCGGGCATATCGTCGACGAGAGATTTGAGGCCGAACTGTAAATCTGAACATAGGAAAGTATTTTCCCACGGGGTCGATTTTTGCAACAGCAGGCCAGCCAAGATATGGTCATAGATAGACCCCATCGTGTCTTCGTCGTCGGCATTCAACTGCCTTATTATGGCTATATATAATTGCTTAATCTCTTTAGTCGTTTGATTATGTTCGTCTGTCTGAGTAACGGCAATACGCTTGACGAACTCCCGGATCCATGTTGGGATATAAGTAGACCTGTCATCCATTTGGATCATCTGAATCTTGTTACGACCAAGAACAAGAACTCGATACCCAGCGGTTGATGGATATTCTGCTCTGGTCTGAAAGGCCAATGCGCTTTGGACCTCCGAAGCTGGTTCAATAGACATGATTTCAGACATACTGTTAGATTTGATGCTTTCTTGATCTGTATCGCAACGGGAAAACCAATCTTGGATGAGGTTACAGCGAGGTCTCGAACCGTTCTCTTCGGGTGGCGTGTCAGGACTGTTAATTGAAGGGTACGGAGATGCCGTTAAACGTCGTTTAAGAGTGATATAAGGTGGCGCTTTCGGCATATTTACAAGCAATTTCGCGGCTTTGGTTGACGGAAAGGTTGTAAATAAGTATAATTGATTAAGGTTCTTTGGGTGTCGTTGGCGGAGAATGAGAAGTTGTGAATGGAATAAATTGTTCGTGAAATGACGAAAGCTGCCGTTTAATAACGGGATGAAGCGAATTTATTATAAAATAAAAAAAAAATTAAAAAAAAATAATAAAAAGTTATTTTAAACGTAATTATATTATTTTAATTATAAAAATCGTAAAATTATAAATATATTAAATATTTTATCGTATATAAAATTATAAAAAGTTTTCGTGCTGGGAATATATATTTCGAATTTTAAATTCGTTAATTAATTTAAAAAATTGCTTTAATTATTTTAAATAACGTTAAATATTTTTAACGTTTTTTTAACTTTAATTATTAAAGCTTTTTATTAAATGCATTTTTTAATATTTAATTTATTAATTAAGTATAGTTTTTTTTTAACGAGTTTTATATTTTTTTTATATTTAACGAAATTAAGTAATTTTTTTATTATTTTAAAACTTTAATTACTTAAATTTAAATTATATATATTATTTTTTAAAAAGTTTTAACTTTTTAATTAAATAAATTATTTATTTTTTTTTATATCGTAATTTTATAATTATATTTAATTTCGATAATTTTCTTATTTATTTCTTTATTTAAAATAATAAATTTAATAATATTTAATATTTAAAATTAATTAATAATAATAATTTTAATTCGTTTAAACTTACCATTTTTAATAATTATATATATATTATTATAAAATTTACTTTTTTTTTAATATTTATTTTAATATAAAACTTAAATATGTTTTTTTTAATATTTAACTTTACGCTTTATATTTTATAATAACGAAAATCGGCGTTAATATTAAACTATAATAATTAAAATGTTTTACTTTTATTACGCTTATATTTTTTAAAAAAAAAAGGAAAATTCTTTTTAATAATTTAAAAAAATTAATATTTTTTATAATCTTAAATAATATTAATATAATTTCCGATAACTTCGAAATTAAATAAATATTATCGTTTATTTTATAAATAAACGAATTTAAATTTAATATAAAACTTTTTACGATATATTTAACTCCGTTTATAATTTTTAATGTTTATTATTTATTTTTTATTATCGTTATTAACATTTTTTTAATAAATATAAAATATGTAAATATTTTTATAAATAAATTATTTATAATTTCGAAAGTTTTTTTTAAACTATTTAATCGATTTATTATAAATTTTAACGTGTATTTTAAAAAAAAAATAAAAACGTTTTATTTATAATTATTAACGAAATTTATTATTATTTAAAAGTTTATTATATATTTTATTAAATTTAATAATATAATTATTTTAATTTATTAATTAAACTTTATTTCGTTTTATTTTATTAATTTATTATTTAATTTTATCGCGTTATTTATTATTTATTTATTTTATTTAAAATAATAAAATATAATTATAAATTTTAAGTCCGCGATTTTTATTTATTTAATTAAAATTATTACCGATATAAACTTTTATTAAAATTAATATCCTAAATAATATTATTTATTTTTAAATTTAAATTTTACTCTTATTTTATTAAATATTCTTTTTAAAATTAATGTACTTAAATATATAAAAAGTTATTTTTAAATAAATTTAAATTAATAAAAATTATTATATAAAATTACGATCGATATATTTTTAAAATTTTTATCGTGGTAATTTTTAATGTTTTTAAACTATTTATTAATCTTTTATAAATCTTTTTCTAATATTATATTATATTTATTAATAATTAAAATATTTATATCTTTTTATATTATAATTTTTTTTAGTGTAAACTTTTTTTTTTTTTAAAAAAATAACTTAATAATAAAATAAATTATTATCTTATTTATATATATTTTTATATTTTTCGATATTATTATTATTTAAATTTTTTTTCGTAATTTTTTAATTTTTAAAATATATAATAATATTTTAATTATTATATTTTTTCCCGTTTTTTTTTTTTTAAATAATATAATAATTATATAAATATAATATATAACTAATTTAAATCTTATTTTTTAAAGTTATTTATTTTATTTAAATAATTTATAACGATTTTTAAAAATTCGATTTATTTTTCGTTTAATTTTTTATTTTTTATTATAATTTTTATTACGTTTATTTAAATTTTATCGAAGTAATATTTAATTATTAATTTTATTAATATATTTTAATATATTATAAATAAAATTAAAAATATTATTTAACGTTAAATTATTATAAATTTATTTTCGTTTATTTTTAAATTATTATAATTATTCGTATTTAAGTTTTATTAATATTATTAAATTAATCCGTTTTTATTATTTATTTTACTTATTATTTATTATTATTTATTTTTATTTAATAAATTTAACGCGTTTTTCCATTTTTTTATATTTTTAAATAAAGTTATTTTAATTTCGTTTTAATATTTATTTATATTAAAAGTTTCTTTATTTATATTATTAATTATTTTATAATAAATATATAATTTTAAACTTAAAAAAAAGTTTTTTAATTTTATAACTTTTTTTATTTAAATATATTAAATAAAATGTTATATATTACGTTTAAATAATAATACGTTTTTTTTTATAATTTTATTTAAACATTAAAAAATGTTATATAAAAATACGTGGAACTATTTTAAATTTTCCATTTCTTTTTCACGTTTTTTTTTATTATTTTTTCCGTTTAACTTTTTTTCACTTATTCCACCATTTCTTAAATTCGTATATATATTTTCATTTAATTATATTTCCTAATTTTTCCGATTTTATATTACGTTTTTTTTTAATTTACGTAATAAATTAAAATTTTTATTAACAAATTTTAATCGATTAAATAACTATTTATTATATTATTTTTAAAATTAATTTAACATTTTATCCTTTTTATTAAAAAACTTTTCTTAAAAAATAAATAAATTTAATTTAATTATAATAATTCGTTTATACACTTTTATTTTAATAAAATTTAAAAAATAACTTTTTATTAATAAAAATATTAAAACGTTAATTTTCTTAAATATATATTAATAATATTTACCTTTTCGTAAATTACCGTTAAAATAAAAATGCCGTTTAATTTATTTTTTTTTTAACTTTATTATAATGTAAATTATTAATATATAATTTTAATAACATATATATTAAAACATTTTTTTTTAATATAAATAAATATTTATTTAATTTAATTTTATTATAACTTTTAATTTAATATTACCTTTTTTTTTAATATTAAGTTTTATATTTTTATATAAATTAATATTAATTAATTCTTTTAAATATAACCATTTTTATCGTATTACTTAATATATTATATTATATAAAACTTATACTTATTTATTTTTTAAATTATAATATATATTATATCTTAAAATATAATTATAAACTTTTATTAATAAAATTTTTCGATTTAAAAATATACGATTAAAAATTTTAATTATTAAACTTTAAATAACGTTTATTTTATTTTTTAAATTTACGTAAATATTTATTTTTTTTATATTTTCGATATATATTATTATTAAAATATATTTTTAACTTATAAATGTATGATTTTTTATTACGTAATTTATTATGTAATAAATAAAAGTTAATGTTTTTATTTTAATAAAAATAAAAATAAAGTTATAATTATATTTTAAAATATATATTAATATTTTATTAAATCGATTATAATTTTTTAATTTTCGTTTAATTTTTAAAATTTTATTTTACGTTATATAAATTATTTTAACTAAAATTCATGGTTAACCGAATTAACATTTTACATTTAAATCGCTTCGTTTTTTTTCGTCGTTATATTTTCAATATATCGTTATATATTAATAATATTATAAAATAATAACCATAAATTATACTTTATTTTCTTACTTTTTTTTAAAAATTTTTATATCGTTTTATAATATTTCGAATAATTACTTTTTATTTTTATATTTTAATTTTTCTTTTAAAATAAACTTATTAAAATTTTTTTAAAAATGTTTATTTATTTATATTAAAAATTTTACCATATTTATAGCATTTTAAAATTTACTTATTTTTATTATAAAATTTTTAATATTAATATTTCCATAATATTATAAAAATTTATATAAATGAAAAACTTTTTTTATATTCGTTTTAATTATTTTAAAATATATATTAATAAATTTAAACGCGTTATTTATCGTTTTTACTTTCATTATTTTTTAAAAAAAAACTTTCATATATTTATAAAACCATTACATAAAACTTATTAAATTTTAATTAACTTTTTTAAACAACGATTTTTACTTATTAATTAATAATTTAATAAAAATTTTTTTAATTTTTTTATAATATTTTAAACCCTTAAATTTTTTTTCCATTTAAATTTTAATTAATAATAATAAGTTATTTAAATTAATTATAAATTAAATTATTAACATTTCGTTTTTAATAATTAAACTTTTAATTTTATTTTATTATTTTATCTTTTCTTTATTATTTAATAATTATTATTATTTATATATAAATATTTTTTTAATTAATTTTTTTATTCGTTAATTCGTAATAAATTTCTTTTATTTAAATTATTCCTTTACTTTAAAAAATTCTTCTTTTATTATAAACTTTATAATATTATATATATCTTTAAATAAAGTTTTTTTTATTTAAACCTTATTAATTTTAACATTATTATCCTTAATAATTTTATTAAAAATTAAGAATAAAAATATAAAATATATTAATACTTTTACTTCGTAATATTATAATAAAATAAAAACTTATTTATACATAAATTAAAATTTTATTTATTTTAACATAATAAAATATAACTTACTTTTTTAAACTAAAATTTTTCTTTTTATATACTTTTATATTATATTTTTAATTATTATTCGAAATTATTAAACCTTTTTATTTGTAAAATAATAATATAATAAATATAAATAAAAAGTAATATAAATTTTTAAATAATAAAAATTATAATTTAAATTATATTTTTATATATAACTTTTTTTACGTTAATTTAATTATTATTTTCGTTTTATTTTCTTTATTATTTTTCTTTTTTTTTTTTC